CTCTCTCTCTCACTGGATAAAATTACACTCTGGCGCGTCCGCATATTTCCATATACGCTTAGGGGTGGAAAGAGAACATCATATTTAGAGGTTTCAACTTGTGTGACTGTGTGTGTGTGTTAATGTGTCGGTAACGGCTTCGGATCACAAGCTATTTCGCAGAAGCAGCCGTTCAACGTGAATGCGTTTGAAACCACCAAACTACACGCCAGCCTATTAAAAAAATTCCACTATCAAACAGGGCATAAAATTATTCAATCAATTTCTTTGGTTTAAAAAAAAAGAAAGGAAAATCAGAACTGATATAAAAGTATCAAAAACGACTCAATCTATTAGAGGAACCTTTCGATCATATCTTTGGGCGCAAGGATCAAAACCATTAAAACTTCTTCTTCCCCTTGCACAAACCGTGGGCCTGTTAGCTTTTTAGAGCGTCGAAAATTCTCTCTCCGATCAACAGAACGGACCGCATCAATTAATGATCCCCTGGGCCGCAACGCCCATTTATCCCAGCAGGCGAAAAAAAAACTTGAGAGCTGAGCACGCAACTTTAAAGTCAGGAAGTTGGTCTGGAAATCGTCGAATGGTTTGTATAAGAACTTCTAAACGAGGCTCTGATTGATTAATTGTTTCATACAGAATGAAAGGGAAGGTCAGACACCGCTCTTTTTTCTATTTAATTTACTTAAAGATCGATAAAAATGATACGATGTTGGTTTGCATGCATGAGTGTTTATGATGATTAATAGGTGGAAAACAAGCGAGCGCGGTTTGCAGCTACACGTCATACTCTAATTCGGATAACAATAACACAGAGAACAGGCCGCGTGAGATTTTTATGCCCGGTCATATTATGTGGAACCACACCCGACGACGAGAGAGGCGCAGCTTTTTACTTTCGTGCGCGCGTCTAAATTGATCTACGCTTTATAAATTTATTTCCGTTTAAAAGCTGTGCTAATGAAGAGATAAATATCGTGGTTATTTTCCCGAGTTCCGCGAGGCCACAATTATATTTCTCTATTAAGATTTTGCGTGTTATTTTTGCTGGTGCGTTAACGAGCTATACATGAGGAAATTTGGCCGTTTTATTGGATTTTAAATGCCTCTCGGCTGGAGGAAAATTAAAATCCCACATTTTATACTCTTTTTGTGATGTTTGCTTTCAGATTGACTATGCCAGAAAGAGAGAAGAGATCTCTTTATTTTATCGCTAGAGGAAAAAATCTGCCCCTGCCATTAATGGGCCGTAAAAGATTCAGATCAAGGAAGGAATTTACAGATGAGGAAAAATTCTAGGACGTCATAGTAAAGATTTTTTCCCCGTGTTTTCACTTCGTACACTCGCATAAAACAAAACGAAATTTTGTCAAAATTTCACATATAAGTATTTCTCAATAAATCTATAGAGATATTCCATCGCAAATGATAAAAAATGAAATAAATTAGAATTGTCACCACGATAAGACGCTATAAATTCTGGATCACTCAGGGGCATTCTTTTCCGTTCGCCGTCCAAAAATAAGTTTGAGCTGATCGGAGGATAAATGAATGCACGTCATCTTTTTTGGGGCGCGCGGGCAATAAATGGTTGAGCGGTGTGCGCGCTGCGCTTATTGACACTTTTCCATCTCGTCGGTCAACACACGGGTGCTATCTTATCGCGTCAGGACTGGGGATCGACGCTGAACCCGGCTCATTTCCTCCAAACACCATATCCCGCGAACACTTGAACCGATCAATTAATATTATCCTGACTCATACGCGAGAGCGTTTATTGCGATAATGCCGCGGGCGGCCCCCTTTTGTTAAAATATCGCTTATCGCCTTAATTAACTTTCACCGCGCGCGCTCGATCTGCGCACTGCAGTTATATCTCGGCAAATAATTAATGGCCCACTAATTGCTCTTGCCTGTCCCTGTTAATTACCTGTAATAACCCGATTGCGTGCTTTTTAATTCTTGAAACGTTTTTGGACGATCTGTTATCAATTTAGTATAGGCTAATGCATTATTTATTCATTTAATAACTTTTCAATGAAGTCAGAGTCTAATATAGGGCTTTCATATACACAATAATTTGCTTGAATCTAAAAAAAAAAAAGTTTAATTTTTTTCCTTAAAAACAATGTAACTCATTCTTTCAAACGTTCAATATTGATGTTTGACGAACATGCAAGACCATTTCGTAAAAATATGTCCTGTGGTGCGTTTTAAGAAATTATAAAATAGAAATATATATTGATGAATTATTAAGATAAACAAGAAGCGTTTCCTAATAATTTTTAAACTAATAATGGTTTTATTAATGTAATTTTAATAAAAACAGCCGCGAACACAAATTTTATACACCTCAAATGAAAAAAAATACTGTTTAAGTGTGCATAACGCAATACATATTTGCCTTGTTGACAGTGAGATTAACTTCATACACTACTTGAGAACTTTTTATAAGAAAAACCATGAACAGAGACTTGACTAGTCAAGACAGTATTTCACACTTGAATGCCTCTGCAATGAGAGTTGCATTGCTGCAGCATAATATGCAATTAAAATCCACGGTTAATTGCTTTTTGATCTCTGCTGGCGTGTGTGGGGCAAATTTGCAATTTGTGTCAAAAGAGCGCCTCTTTGGTGCTTGGGCCGTGCGGCGTAGATTCCCACTCTTGCTGTGTTTTGAGCTTTCCAGCTCCATGTAGATATGTGTGCACGTTACAGATACAAATGTATTCGTTTGACTGCACGGAGAGCGCGCGAGGTGATTAACGATAATTGCTTATTATTATAATTGAGCAACGCGCGCTCTCTTCTGCAACGTTGGCGACGGTGGGAATTTATGCGCCAGATGATGATAGCAATAATTGAGCGCGCTTGCCGTGAATTTATTTTACGCGATGAAATTTTAATCAAGCGGCTAAGCGCTTTGCATGCAGTTCTATATAATTTGAATCCTACTCTCATCGTCACGTTAGAATTCAATATGAAAACAATGAAAAGAGTGAGCGGCTGCAAAAATTTTGTGAGACAATTAAAAAAATCTTTAATAGTCAAAAGGCTTCCAAAGAAGGAAATATAATAATATGAAGCGTTTTTATGAGAATAAAAATTCTGCGAATACCATGAGTTCTTTTTTCAACTTTTGCAAAAGCGGGGATTTTTAATTTGTGCCGTAAAGCAGGAGCTTCTCCGAAAGATGCTTCGTAATTAACGAGAGCGGAGGGAAAAATGAATGCGCGTCGCTCTTATCCTTTCCAAGGGGCAATTAAAAGAGCAGGCGACAACAATGGCATAATGAGAAGACGAAGCGGAGAGTCTGCCCACCGAGGAGCAGCTCGGCGCATTGTTTGCTAATCGAAACACGCCTCAAAGGCGAGAAAGCGCGCGCAGGGCGAACTTTGAATAAATATAGCCTCAAAACCCTCCTTGCCATTGTGTTCGCTGCAGGTTCTATGTTGGTGCTGGAAATTAACCTATCGACACCGCCACTTCCAAAGTCAATCTGTTTGAAGACCAATTTCGTCGTTTGGTTATTTGGGTGGCCAAAAACAAACACGTAGACGCGAGTGAGAAAGAAAGGGCGCGCTATCCTATGACGGTGCCAAAAAGTAGATTGAAAAGCGCCAGGCAGCGATTGGCATCACGCGAAGATGACTCGCGGCGCAAAAAAAAAAAAAAAAAAAAAAATAACAAGTCCCGCAATCGCGCACCAGGTTTCATCCTTTCCTCTGAATGAGATGTCTTTGACAGAGAGCTCATTTATAAATAACTCTTTGGGTGTGCGGCTGCTCTGAAACTTTATGTATGCGAAGACCCGCGCGCGCCCACACCACAGGAGGACAGACACATCATATATATGCGGGCCAAGACCAAAATGCAAGATAAATGAGCGAGAAAATAGGTACACGAAAGGGTACATCCGTATTTCACTCCTGCGGGCAAAACCACTTAATATATTTCACTCTCCAAATAAATCCCATGGTGTAAAAAAAAATATGACAAATAATATAAAATCCCAAGAAATAAATAATTCAAGCCTTAAAATTTTTTAATTCATTCGTATTTGTATCAGTTATCAAGAAATTAACTGATAGGAATTTTTGCTCATTATTGGTAGTGGTTTTAAAAAAAGGAAAAATATTTTTTCGTTTCAAATTAAAATAAAAGCTATTGAATCCAATTTCATTTCTAAAAACTGTATACTTGGCGAAATTCACTTTGCAAAAGTGTCAAAAGCTATAGCCATCAATGCGAATGGTAATGTTAAGCTTATCGTCCGCCCATACCTCTCTATTTACATGCTTTCCACAACGATTCCGAGTTGATTTATAGACATGCGGCATAATGCAGTGTGGGGCTGATGGGTCGTAAGTCCGTTTTATTGGGCTCGAAGATCAGAGAGGTTCGGCGCGGCGGCGATGACAAAAAAGGCCATCTCGCAATAAACGAAAAGTAAGAGGAGCAATCTGCGCGCGAGACACCTGCATTCCTGCCTCTCTTCTGTTAAACGCTGTCAAGCCCACTTAAATAATGGGCGCGGCACCCAATCGCTCATATTCCAACACCTCTTCAATTCAATGAGCTGCGCGCATTTACGAGCGCAAATTGACTGCGAGCCTAAATGGCTTGTGGCAGGCGTTGATTGAAAATTTATTATTCGCGCGCTCGCTGGTCCAGCACACTCGCTCTCCACGACTCTCGCATCCCCAGCCATGGGCGCGCGCGATGCCAATCTCGAAATTCAATTAATGAAAACTGACCAAAGAGCCGCCCCAGCAAAGTTTGACTGATGGTTTCGCAGGTGCGCTAGCGTCAAATATCTGATTTTGCACGCCGTGTAATTCCCCCCCCCCCTCAAAGTGCCAAAACCTTTAAATAATTAATTACGAATAAAAACTAATGGTGTTACATTTTCAATCATTTATAACCAAATAGTTTTTACGATAATTTTTTTAAAAATCTGATTAATGCGGAAAAAAATAGTAACAAAAATTGTGTCCTACCTGCGTTTCCGTGACGTTGAGAAGTTTGGCCATTTCAGCTCTCTCGCTGGAGCTCAAGTACTTTTTGATCTCAAACTGCTTCTCCAACTCAAAGATCTGTCTGCCAGTAAAGGTGGTGCGCGCCTTCTTTTTCTTAGCGCCCGGACCCCCAGAGCCGCTGTCCTCGCTGGCACTGCCACCATCCTCACTGTGGACCCCGTCAGGGGTTTTTGCAGGCGCCGGTGGCTGTGGGGGCGGCGGGGCTGCTCCATTCAAAGTGACCGCCGCCTCTTTTTTGCGCTTTTTGCTGGGAACGTCTGCAAGAAAAACACAGAAAAATACGTAATATATCATTGCTTATTTCTAATTTTTTTAAAAAATGGTAAAATTCATTTTTTTTCCTTAAAAATTTCAATCCTATAATTCTATTTATTTGTTTCAATAATACTGATATAAATTATTTTATTAGCTTCTCTTGAGCACATAATTTATGTAAAAGTTCAAAGTAATGCATAAAAGTTAGCTTGACCTCTTCCGTCGTCACATAACGGATTGGATTTGCATAATTACTTGAAAATGGAATATTAAATGTTGCGTTTGTGGCTCATACGCGAGAGCCAATTAAAACTAGAATTAGCACTCAATCCTCGCCGGCATTTCACGGCGTTATCGCCAAAGCTCTCTGTGGCTTGAGCTTTTAAATCAGTTGCCCACGCAGAAATCAAGTTGGTCTTCTTTGAAATAATGATACATAATATTATTTAAATAAGGTGCTCGCATATAAAAAGTGGCAGCGAGAGAGATTACCAAGGGGGAAACACTTCATGAGCCCAAGAGCGAGCATACTGCTGGGTGTATTCTCTCGCCAGGTTGTGGTTCAGCTCGTTAACGCTCATAAAAGCTGTCTTAAGTGGTCTCAATAAAAAATACACGTTTATAATTTCACTAATGGATTATATGCCCGCGGGCTTCAACTTGAGATTATAGTTACTATTATTATTATTTTTGTAACTCAATCCGGCGGCAATGGTTGCTCTGCCTGTTTAAATCGAGATTTTTCTTTCGCGCAACGGTAAAGTCTTTAAATTTTATATTCCGTAAACCATTTTAGAAAGGTGATTTTGCCAAAGAGACGAGCGCCATCTGAAATTTTAATGTCCTTTTTAAATTTCTCAAAGCTCCAGTGTCTCTTGAATAGCGTCGTCCCGCATTCGACTTAAGTTGACTTTTTAATGAATTGAAAAAAGACGGAGGGTGGGCACTAACGAGGAATTAACGCGGCGCCTCAAGGATTCGAGCGTCTCTATGGTAACCCGGTGCGGTCTCGCGCGCGCAGAAGCATTTCTTTGCCCCTTATTAGAAGCACGTGACTGGTAAACAAGCGGCTTCCGGGCCCTTTAACCCTTTGATAATTCAATATTGGAGCAGCGAGTATCACACAGAGCGGCGGCTTCTTGTTTTATATATTGGATACACAGCAGCAGTCATTCAGCGGCAAATACATAATATACCTGCTGCCTTTCCCAGAGAGACCACCAAAAAGTAAAAGAGTTGGAGAGCGAAGGAGCAAGTCAGAGGGATCAAAATGCTATATATAAAAATATATGCCAGAATACTTGAGCTCCAAGTTTCGGTTTAGCTGCAAAGGAAGCAGCAAATTGTTGGCGTTTGATATTCGATTACAGAGAGGGGAATATTTTCATTAAACGAAACTGAATTTTTTTTAAAGAAAAAGCACAAAAACTATATTATTTCCTAAAAGTGCATTAGATTTATGATGTTATGTCAAATAATGATTGTAAATTTTGCACCTTTAAATTGGTAGGATAATAAGCTTTTTATTATGAATTGCATTGAAAAGTAAAATTGAATTTATTCAAAGTCTTATTGGGTGGCAGAGAGAGTTTTGCATATAAGACGCTCTCGGCTGCTGGTACGCTAATGAGGCAGCAAAATAACAAGCGTGAGATCGGATAACTCTTGCCGAGTCATTTTTCACCGTAATGCTAGCTCCCATGTAAATGAATACAAATTAACTTCAAATACGAAGAGCAAACATTTTAAGACCAAGCCTCTCTCTCTGCAACTTTGTGAAGGGGAATCTCCTCTAAGTAGTGCGAGCGAAGCGTTTAATCTCAAGACGTTATGCAACTTTCTTGCAAATATGCAATGAAAAGAAATTATTTTTTATAAATAGCAATGGTTCATTCAATGTATATTAATTTTAGTTATTTTATCCAAATTATCCGCACTGGCGTTGACAGGAACAATGAATTAAACGGTTCTAAAGAGCGTCTGCGCGTTTCCAGACAGCCGCATGACGAATTCGCAATAAAGCGAATTGCCTGTGAGCCTCGAAAGCGCATTATTATTAAATTGTGCCATCAATTGTGACAGCGCCACTTGCGCCGCCGTTTATTGTTTGCTATATAGAGAATGAGTGCGTGTGTGTGTGTGTGTGTTTTTTGATGTGTCCCCCCCTAATCGCAGAGTTGCCATTAGAAACACGACCCACAGTGACAAAAGTAGTGTACGCGCAATGGCATGGGGGTTGCCTTGGTTACTGGGGCTGATGGATGCTGGCTGGTTTTGTGATGTATCTCGAGGATCAAACACATCCATCATTGCCAGCCGGCAGCGCCATGCCTGAGATATTCGTCCCATTTCGTCTTGGCGGCCCCTACAAGTGGCAAAATTTGAGCCTCTCATCCCCTCTAATCTGGCTGCTGCGCGCTGAGAGGGAAAACTTACTGACACGGCTCCGTATCCTCTTTGAATTACGCGCAAAAAGCCGTTGTTTGCATTTTGTCCGACTTTAAGTGCAAAACTTTCAAATCAATAATAATTCCATCAAAATGGAATGAAATCAAATAAAATCATTTTTAAATAAAAAAAACCTTCAAATTATTATTAATTATGTAAAATTGGAAAAAATAAATTCATTTAAAGGGCCTGAATTTAATTTTAAAAATTAACAAAAATTAATAAATTTAAATTGGTGGATATTTTTTCTCAATAAGACCAGCACATTTTTTATGGCCATATGTGTGGATGAGAAATATCTCTGTTTTATTACCTTGTAACCTAATTCGCCGGTCATACAAGACAGTAAGCAAGGCTCTTAACTCGTCGAGGAAATGCCAAGCCAATGACTTCGCCGCCGCGCAGAAGAAATAACGCACGCCACGTCTGCTCAATTATTCAGCAGATTGAGCCTCGTTTATGTGATAGAGTGTATCAAAGTTGACGTCATTGGTTCGGCGAATGCCTCTCCGTGTTAATAAGAGAGGTTGGTGCTACATTTGTCTGTTTATTATGCAGCGACGGACGTGTACATATACGCACATAATACATTACGTACTGCGCGATATAGTTTCTCTCACTAGTCGCGGTAGCTGCAATTTCGTGAGTAATGGCCTCGCGTGACCAACTCTCTGATTGCTCACTTCAATTTTGTCTTCATTGCACCTCCCATGAATTATTAAATTGCCCTTTGGTGCGCACAAAAGAAGCAAAGACCAAATTCACGCTACATTCCCTAATTAATTTTTTATTGCAGATTTAAACTATAGTCCGTGATGTCTATCAGACCTTTATACAAAAAGTGGCGTGTGGAGGCTTAAGAATTTATATATTTCATAGTACACAGTTTTTTTTTTACTATTAAGGCAATTCAGGAATGATATCACATTGCAAGCCATCTATATTTATTGATCTATCAGAGGCAATCATTATTATATACGTATATGCATAAAAAAATAGGTTCAAATGTAGAAATCAAAATTTAATAATTTTTTAATAAAGTAATATAATTTTTTAAGAAAAAATTATTAGGTATTTTTAAATGTTTTACATTATACTGCTCGTATTTGCATGAAATTTTATTACATCTAAATAAAAATAATTATAAATGAGTTTTTTTGGTTTTCTAGCTTTTTATTAATTATCTTTCAAGTTTATACATTAAAAATTAATGCAATACTTTATATATTTTTGTTAAATTCATGTACAACTTTCTATTCAATTTGAATTTGATTTGGTAATCAATCAACAAAACACAAATCTTTTGAGAATAACTCCTAGCTTTCTTGAGCTAAATGGTTCTATTCGCATCTGTCAGCAGCTCAACTTAACTTAATTTCACATCAGTTTAACTTATTGAGGCGTGAATTGCTTTTAAAATGATCAGGAGATTTTGAAGACTCGGCCCGCTTACACATGGATTCTCTTTAGCGAATAGGTTCGTTCGCGAGTCAGTTAGTTAGTCACTCAGCGAGGCAGGCAGGGAATTTGGACCTCGCCCAAATCTTTCTCTCGCCGGTTTTATTTATCTGCCTATGAATGGATCTGGCTCTTACAATAGAGAGAAAGAAAGAGCACTGCTGACGGGCGAGGAGCGAGAGCGAGCGAGAAAAAGAGACAGATCTTTAACCGCGTTTCTTGGCACCACCGGCGTTGATAATTGAAGACACACCAATAACTCAATTACCACTCGGACAAACGGCCGGAGAGCAATTAATTTCGACCGCGTTAACCAAAACGACAAATCATATTTAGCCGCGAATTAAGTTCTTAAGCACGCTTCAGCGATTATGCAAGATTTATTTACTTCAACACAACGTTTGAATGTCAAAGGTGTGTGCAAAGTCGCGCGGGTTTTGCGTGCGATATATTGACGCGGCGGCGAAAGCTGCAGGGGAGGTTATGTGTTGTATATTTGACGGCAATCAGCCGCCGCGGCACGATAGTCATCTGCAATTCAATTAAAGTCTTTGTCTGCCACACTAGCTAGTCGCAACTCCACTCTGCATACACAAAATAACAACTTTGTTATTCCCAGAGCCCTTCAGCGAGCGAACTGTGTTGCATGCAATCCAATACATCAGTTCGGTTCACAGCCGCGCAGCAACAAAGCCATGCCAACTTGCGGCCGCGCGCATTACTCTAGTTGGCCTGCGCTGCATTTCATTATATAAATTTTATTTATTTTAGCGCTGGCCGGCCGGGTTGTTAGCGGCAGCAACGCGTCGTGAAATTGTACTCGCCGCGCGCATACACAGCTCTTTAGCGTAATTGAGATCTTGTCGTCAGATTTCGACTTCACGCCGAGGCAATAAGACCAAGGAATTCTCTCTAAGTAAGATTCGTGTTGAGATTTCAAAGCGCACGGAGCAGTGTCCGCGAGAATGAACAAGCTACTGTTCTTAATTAACCAATTAAGGGAATTTGCAAAAATGGGAAAGGCAAATAGAATCGAGATCTGACGTCTGTGAGGAGAAACTTGTGGGAATTGATTGATTTCAGATTGAGAGAAGTCTGACCAACATTGTCTTATTTTAATGCAGGTCTTTAAGAATTCCAAGTTTCTTAGTCATGATTCAAGATATTGATTGGAAACAAAGAGACAAGTAAAATGTTTACTTCCTCATCATTTTTTAAACTTTTAATTTTAATTCCCACACGCATCTTTTCAGTTATTTTTTTCATTTGATGAAAATACCAGAAAATCTCTTATTTGCGGGCCGTTTATTAAAGGGTTGACAAAATAAAAGGAACAGAATAAACGTAACAATTACGTTAAATGAAAAAAAAGGGTCTTTGACAAAACCTTTGGCATATACAAATTTACAATAAAAAGTAAATTATATACTACATTTAACTATTTTTCTTTTGTTGTTGTTGTATTAATACTTTCATTCCTCAAATTTCTGTTTAATTCTTAAAAATAAAACTACGCTCTACAAATTCATAAAGCGTGTAATCAAAAGCCTATTAAGTGCCAAACCAGATTACAACAGAGTGTTTTTGTGCCAATTGTTTCCCGCATGTCACTTTTCGCTGAAACATCTTTTTGTCTCTATTTTCCCTAAGAAAAAGAATCGCGAACAATGCAGATTAAGTGGGACGTGGTGAGAGTGACTCCTTCAAATGCGATTGGAGAGTGAGGCCGACAAACGGATTAGAGGCAAAAAAGAAGGAAATGAACACCGAGTGAGCACCGACAACGGCGGTGGCAAACATGCTCGACGTTGCAATTCATGCTAGATGCGCGAATTGCGACGCAGCAGCTGCATTATTTTCACACACACAAATAATATACAACAGCAGCATTTCAAACTCGCGACACAAATGAATGCATGCGGTTGTTCTCCGTGTGAGAAACTGCTGAATTCTGCTTTTTATAATGTGCAGTGAACATAAAATAGCTAGCAAGTGTTAAAGATAAAAAATAGAAACCACGTCGCTTGTTTTCTTTTTAATTTCATATTTTAACATTCAGATTAATAATCTAGGAAAATGTGTTGATTTGACTGGATTGGACAATTAAACAAGAAAAAATTGCTGAAAATTATCTAAAAAAAATTATATAAAAACTATGGTAGAAATTCCTATGATATGCTGGGGTATCAACATGTGTGTTTGTTTTGAAGTAAAACTATGAGCTCTTAATTAAAAAATGATCACCTTATCAATTTTTATAAAAATAGTACGTCAAAAAGATAAAAAAAAAAAACGTTTCCAAATCGCTCAGCTCATGTTTATGAGAGGGAGGGGAATGAGTTCAGAGGCGCTGAACACGTTTATGGACCGTAATGAATCATATTTGTGTAAATAATAAATGCCACGGTCCTGCATTTTTACCCATTAAGAACGCAACCTCTGTATGCGTTGAAACGCGGGTCAGAAAAACGCCCACCAGCAGAGTCAACTTCCTCAGATTAAATATTTACAAACCAATTTAGAGAATCGTTGCAAAGGCAGTGGGAAATTTTTAAATGCCTTTCAGTGTAACACGGCAGCGTTTTATTTTCCAAAGCTCAACTGCGGATGCCGCGCGATATACCAAAGGCAAAAAACTGCTTTTATTAATGAAATCAAGAGAAAGGCGTTGATTTTTGTTGTCCGTGTAAAACTTCGTGGGTGGGAGAGAGCTTGTTTCCCCGGGTAATTACGCGCAATATATTTTAATTGCATCGTGACGCATTTAGATTTAAGTTAATTAGGTTCACCGCAAGCATTTTCGGATCGGTAAGAATTATTTTTTGCAAGATAACCCATATATAAATAAAAAGCTTATTTTTTCTAATTGAAAGAAAATGGAACATAATTTTAATTATTACTGTGACAAGTGCTGAACAACAGGAAGTTAGTTTTAATTTTTCCCTCCGATCATCGTTATTTTTTAATTCAAATGTGCCACTTGACTAAATAAAACGGGCGATTGTGCGTATGCATGCACAATTCGCTTTACACAAATGAAGTTTCCTCCTGCGACAAAAAGGTGCGTGTGCGTGCGATTTTCATTCACTAGCGACTTTGTTAAAAGCATCGAATCAGCTCATTGAGCGGATATCACCCAGCTAAAAACGTTCATTTAATAGGAATGCGCGAGACGCGTTGCGAGCCGATATCAAATTGCACGCAGGATATGAAAAGTGCAAAACCGCCTCTTCCCATATCCAGCGGCAATATATAAACTCTTGTTATTCCCTCTCAATTTATTCTACGTGCAAAAATTTATCCTCTCACATGAACATTTTCAAAAGACTAAAAGAGCCGTTCAATTTTACAAGATCAAAAGTTTCCATGTGCGAAATATAAAATATCACATTCACTCGAGCGTGAGGCAAAAAATTTCCTTGGATTCGAACAGCTTTTTAAATTATTGCGTGAGCGCTCTGCGCCTTTTTATTTCAAATTCCAACTCTTTTTACGATTGCAGACGCCTGGCATATCGTGCGAGAGTAATATTCACGAGAGAGTATTATTCATAAACGGTCTTACACATTTCTTGCAATTTAAATACTTTTCAAGCCTGCAGCTAATTTTATCAAAGCAAGTCTAATTGGTCGCTTTAACAGATTCAATGGGCTGTTTTTAAGCACGTGAAAATTTTTAAGGTGACGTATTTCAAGTATAAGTGTACTTTTATAATCTAGAAATTATAATAAAATTTTTACAACACATAGCATAAATTTGTTTTGGCATTATTGTCCGCACTCATTCATTATTCTTGGATTCTGATAATAAAAAAACAATTAAGAATTCTAAAGGGTTTCAGTTCTAAAATTCTGCAGTTATGTTCCCTTGGATTTATCATAATTTTATGACTTATTGTAAATCACTTTTGCAAGCAGCCTTTTTTACAAATAAAAGTATTAATTAGTTTATGAAAACGATGTTTTTGATTAATTGTACAATATTATTATTGATTTAAGACAAAATAAAATTAATTTAGAGTATTTTCTTTTCAAAAATATAAAATATCGAATTAAAGAAAAAAAAATATATTCCATGATTAAATAACCTGCAAATTTATAGTAAGAAAATCTTACCTTTTGTTGGGATGGCACTACTTTTTGTGTCGAATCTGTGGATGCCGTTGAGAACGGGTGGTTCGCGGAAGGCCTTGACGGGGCTGGGTGGACCATTCTTGGAAGTGGCCTCTCTGGGTTTGGTGGTCAGATTCAGTGGCTGCTCGTCGGAGGCCAAGTCAACCGCCTTGCCCAAAATGTTGTCTATGAAATGGGGCGTGGGGCGTTTGGGCGGCCGTGCGTAGACATGCGGATGCCACCACGAGGGGCAATTGTTGGGGGCGCTGGTCACGCTGACTGTGGTGGACAGCGAGACGGTCGTGTGGGGCGAAGGCGACGAAGACGTTTCACTGGGGGGCTGAAGAGGCGAGTCTTCGGCGCAGCCCTCGGGACTGTGGGGCGAGGTGCGATTGGGACTGGGCACGACCAGGGGCAAGCGGTGGTCCACAAGTTGTGACGACTGCTGCATGGCCGAGGAGTCCATCATCAAAGTCTGCAAAGTGAAGAGAAGAGCGGATTTGATTCAGATTGAAATTAATTAAAAATTAATAAAAATTATTACAACACATACTCTGGACAATACTAATTGGGACATTTCTGAAAAACATTTTTTGGGTGTAATAATTCAGAAAGATTAATTTTAATTTTTTTTGTTCTAGTAACAATGAAGTGCACATTGCCCATTTCTCAAAACAAAGAATTAAACAGAACATTTATGTGAACAAAAACTTGTCAACCAAGGCTCACTTCGACAGATGAGCTCTTTTTATAATCTTTTCGCTTTGGCGGTTTTGCTCTTACACCCCAACCAAAGATTCGCCCCGCCCCTTTCCTATCCTTTACTGTGGCGACCTGAGCACCAAAGTTCTTGCAAAATTCTTTGTAGTGGTAGTGCCGTTTTGGGGAACAATTTCTTTTTTAAGTAAATTCTTTTCCAAGAATTAAATGTGAACAAATTAACGTAACACTGTGGACAAATAAACAACAAAAATTATGGTTTTAAATGTGATTTCAAATTTTGAATTACATTTTAATATCAAAATATGTTAAATGCAAATTCTAAAACAAGTTATTTGCTTTCTGCAAAGAAAGAAACTAATACTTTTATTGAACCACTTATCTTGTAAATTTAGCCATATCTAATAACTGCGCACTATTATCATCAGCAATTAATGTTCATTCGGTTTATAAACAGAGAAAATTTATAGTTCTAGAGCTTTTGTAATATTTTTACTACCAAAAACATAATAATTGTAATCTACCAATGAACAAAAGGAATAACTTATAAATCATTATTCATTATTTTCATAACAAAAATTCAATTTGTAAATAATTTAAAAACTTATATTGAGAGAAACATTCACAATGAATAATGCACAGTCATTCCGTTCTAGCCCGCATGCATTCATGGTAATTAATTAGACTAGTGCCGTTTGGAAACGTTCAATAAAATTAATGTACGCTGGTTGATGTTTTCACAGCATACAAAATCAGTTTCTGGCAGGGAGACTTACAAAGCAAAGATAGAACATTTTTTTATCCAACAACTTTAACATTTTCAACCAAACATCGTTCTGTGGAATATGATGATTCAATCAATTACCAGAGAATTAATTATAGACAAATGACAGTTTGCATGTCGTGGATAATTTTTGCAATCGAAATCAAATGAGTCTCGATGAAAAAAATATTTAAGAAACAAAAATCATCTAATGGGAGAAAAAATTATTGTTGAAAGTAGAATTTAAATTAAATTTATATCTTGTTAAATCCAAATTAAAATATTAGTAAGTCTACAGATCAATTAATATAAAGGATAACAGTTTGTGAAAATTTAAAAAAATTTATTTTTTATTAGTTATCATTTTTTTTACAAAATTTGTCATAGAATTATTTATTTAGTTACAACATTATATAATTTTAAAAAAAATGTGTAATTTCAATGATATTATTTGGAAAGAATGTAAAGTATCACACGAAAGTGTGATATTAAATAAAAACCTAAGAATAATTAGAACAATACAATGCAAACAAATTTTTAAAGCAATTACTTTCTATTGAAAAAGTGACAATTCATGGACTAAAATAAGTCACCAAGATTGCAATAGACACATTATTTTTAAATGACAGTAATTTTTATGTAATTTATCTACTAGATAAAAATAAATTGAAAAAATGCAACAATAACAAACGCATTATAATTACCTAGAGCCAAGCAAACATGAAAATGCCAAGCCGGCAATTCGCACAGTCGCAGCCGAAAACGCCTGAAGCTGATGAATTCCAAGCTTGAATGTTTTGAAACGAGAGTTTTGCGTGGTGTGTGTGTGTGGAGTGCACGTGCGAGCGAGCGAAGCGGAGACGCGTCGGAGGTGATTCCGCTCAGCTCGCGGGTCCGACACTGACTGCGCCTCTCTCGGCAGCCAGCTATTAGTTGATAGGCGCGCTTTGTGATGCTGGCGCGCCGGGCGGCGCAGTCTCCTCCCAGGCTGATTGCCCAATTATCGGCCACACTCATTTGCCAGCCCCTGAAACCGGCTGTGCCGCGTCGCCGAGTTACATCTGAATGTGTGTGAGTGTATTTTTGCCATTTGATGCAGCTCGCCCTGCAAACCGCGGCAGGAAATTTAATTCACCCGGTCCGGCCAAATCTTTCTTTGATCGCTTTTTGCCGATATATTTGCAAGACGATTTAGTTGGTTCCCGAATTAGAGTTCTGCACGATGCAGATTAATATTTTTTGCAAAACTATTTGCAATAATCTGTGTCACTTTTGCAATGACGATAAAGATTCCAATTTTTTGAAAAAAAAAATTGGATAAAAAAATTCTTTCAAGTAATTAATATTTTTTAAGCCCAGTTTAACTTAAGCTTAGAATTTTGATGATTACAATTGGAGTAATTATTGTTTTAGAAAAAAAAATACTTAAATTATCTTCAGTTAATAACTTAAGCCGTGTTTACGTGCCCCTTTCTAACTTGATTAATTAGGGGAGGAAATATCTTTATAATTATGGAATATAATACAAAAATAAAACTGCCAATTTGTGAAAAATCGATGAAATACACCGTAGATTTAGCTACATTATCTTTCAATCAATTAGAGTTTTTCCCTTCCCCTTCAAAAATTAACAAATTAAAAAATTATCAATTGTTTATCAATTGGATTAATGAGCCCTCCAAAAATCTTCTCAGGGAGATAAAAGTAAAATTAATTATTAAAAAAAAAATAATAAAATTGAAATCTATATTACTTTTTGAAAATCACAAATCATTCCTTCTCAGATCTCTAGCCTTTTTAACTGCGGCGCTGTGTTGGCGCTGGCTGAAACGCTCGCTGAATTAACATCAGGGGAGAAAAGCTCTCAACACATTTAAACTGCACTCAAACGCTTCTGGGGGCTCGTTTAGAAGATCAATGATCCTCCCCCTCATCCGCCAACAACTACTGCGATGATGAGCAAAAGTAACGTGTGCGCCGCCGCCGTTTCTGCTATTTGCGTTACGCCTCATTTATTGCGAGAGCGGCACGGATTTTATCACATTATCCTCGTCTAATGTGTTTAATTCCAGCACAGGCCAAATGATTACATACTTTCGACGCAATTCGCGCCGCTATTGCGCCGCTCTCCGCTCGCCTGGTAGACCCATGTTTTATGCGATGGTCTTTAGGGAGATCGTCCTGAGGTCCATTTAGCCCCTGAATCAAATAAAATTGCTCTTGGCAACAACCCCGTCCGCCAGAACGACGCAAACCCGTGCGCAGAGAAGAAAGAATAAGTCATGCAATTCACTTTTATACAAAACAGACAAATGGAACAAAATTTTGTGCGATTCCCTGGATAAAATTTGAGTCTATTATTCTTTTTTTATTAACTATAGAATCAAAAATGTCATCCGTGAATAAATTAAATCAAACAATTAGAACCCAATAAAGTCAATTTAGTAAATAAATTAACTTAATGTAATTGTTTCAATTTTATCGCCTGAAATAAAAATTCCTTACACCATTATAGAGATGAAGGTGCAATTAAAATAAAATAATTATAAATTAAATAATTTGATTTAAAGTTAATTTTGTAAAAAGATATTTATTAAAAACATATACCACTACCAGAAAAAAATTAAACAAAAAAATCTGCTATGTGTGACTGTTTAGGGAGCGCGTCGTTTGTTAGTGCCAAAAGTGCATGTGTGTGCTATACTTGACTGGGGGCGGTTGAAGAAATAATAAAATGAGCAAAGCCAAAGGAGACACGCAAGTTGAAGCCAGCAGGTTTGTGTTTCAGAGCAGGCTAATGAGCTTTTTAAAAAGGGCCATTAACATTTCACAGGAGGGAAGAGAGCGCGCAGTACACACTAGGGGCGGCACATCTCAAAGTGCACAGTACCTAGGGGTCTGTCAAAAGTTTCACATCGTTCTTATACACTCATCCGAGCTGTCAGACCTTCTTCTATCTTTTATACACACCAGCTGGTGCAGACTTCTTCGCCAACCGACTATGCCCAGAAATACGGCCCAACAGAATTACGAGCCGCAGAACAGAGCGGCTCTTCCTGTGTTAAATATCTGTTAAACAGAATCAGGCGCAAAATCATTTTTTTCTTTTGAAGTATAACATCCTGCAGAACAGAGATTTCTCCCGGGACAAACTAAATACGAATATCTCACAAAAAATTAAAAAAAAAATAGCAACCTAGAAGCATTTAATTCATTTGCAAAATAAAAAACGCGTCGCACATTTCAGCTGCAGGGCTCGGCGACAAACAGGCGCGCAGAGCGGGCGTTAAATTGCCGCATGTTTTTGCACCCTCTTTGGCAAAAGTGGCATTAAAACAAATAAATAGCATCCGACCCGCCTATACCGTGTACACCGAGCTGCGTCACAGAGTTAATTCAGCGGCCACTTAAACCTTTTCGCGCGCTAAAGCTGCCGCTGTTGATGCTAAAATGAGATCATCACGCTATCCGAGCTTCAGCACAATAAATTAAACAACTCGTGATGTATGAAGCGGCGCTCGTCGTCTGCTGCTTGAATAAAATCTACTATGTCATTTGCAACAAAATGCCTGTGTGACAAAAACAAATGATTTTGATTGATGAGGCCAATGGTGAAAACTGAAAAAGGGTAAACGATAAATATTAATCAGTTTAACATTTGTCAAACCCAATCTAAGTAAGAGCTTAAAACAGTTGTATTTTTTACGAATTTTTATTTTATTCCTACTTTTTTAAATCAAATTATTTTAATGATACTATTTTTACATACTTGTATACAATTATTTTATAAGAAAATCTGACGCCAAACTTATCTTGCTGTACGCGTAATTTTGTTACGTCTAGCCAAAGTGCATCTCTCTTTTGGGGTGGGTTGTTGCTGCTTTCGGTGCCAAGTGGAGATAAATGCCGGCAAGTGTGTTTTTAACGACTGCTTTGCGCCCGCAATAATACGAGGAATTTTTTAAACGCCTGCCGCTGCTTCTGCCGCTCTGCGAGATCAGCGGCCATAATTAGGAGTGTCACAATCACAGCCTGGTGGTTTTACTCAAAGCGCCGAGGTTAGACAACTGTCGACCTTAACATCCCTTCATATTTCAAACGACTCGCTGCTGCAGTTAGATCTGAGGGTGTTTCCGAAACAGCCTTACTTGTCGATTGAAGGAAGCGAAAAGAGAGGAAATACGAGTGCTTCAATAAATGCCTCCCTTGCTCTCAAGAAGTCCTCAAAGTCAGCCTGATAACGCTGAGAACGTTTTTTGTATCTTATTTTTTCCATAACCGTGATTAATCTTTCCTCGTTCTTTAATTTTGAAATTTTGCAACTGTCGATTGGAGCAATGTCTTAATTTCCAGATAGTTGTTAGTGTGCGTGTTTTTTTCTGTTCTAATTGGTAAAATTTCATAGTACAACAACAAAATTCAAGAACAAAAGGAAAATTGTGACACTCGAATAAAAGATTATAGGTATATACCATTCAATCTTTTCTTTTCTTGCAATCCACCTGCAGTCTAAATAAGCAAGTAAAGGCTTTTGTATATGATTTAGGTATCCTCACGTTTGGGTGTTTACGCAAGTTAAAATGACGCCTAGACTCTCGCTGCGTAGGCAACCGGTATAGTAGGAGAGCTATTCAGGTTGCGTTACGCAAGTTGCATAATAAATTTATGAAACAGGGTTTCAATTCCATTTATTTTTTCTCCAAAAAAATCAGCTCAATAAAAATCAAAACTCCCTTTCATTTTCATCTGCATCTACCACATAACACACCACAGATTTTTGTAAAACCTTCAATTATGCATTATATTGTAACAAAAATTCTTTTTAAAATTAGTATAAGAATTTAGTTAAATTTCACATTATGATTAATCACAACAGAATTACGACTAAAATTTAAAAACAATTCTGTAAATGGAGATATTTATAATTTTTAACGAGTTAAAGTTGATGAAATTTATTATAATCAATTAAAGCAATTCAAGAGTTTCACATTAAAAGACGTAATAATTAAGAAGCTGTGGATAAGAGTGGATGGGAGGGTAATAATTATTATTCCAATTGCAGTGCAGCGCCTACAAACACACGCTCCGCACGCAGAATATTATACACTGGACCAGTCCAACACAAACATGCACAAAGGTCGTTAATTCATCACTGAAACCATTATGGAATTGAGTAATTCAGTGTGTGTGTGCTGCATGCAGTCTGCAAGTGACAGCCTTACATGTACGTTAGCATCAAACAGAAACACAAACTCCGGAGGTTTACCATTATAGCACCTGACGCTGATTATGCTTGATGTGATTACTTCATTGTTACAAAATAAAATTCTTCAAAGTTATTTACGGATCAAAACTTTTTTATAATCGTGGTCGTAATGCAATTTGGAAATTAATTTTTCCTGCATTATTTTGCGAAAATAATTTATTCAAATAGAAAATTGCGTTATATTTGCTGATTGATGTAGGCACAACCAATTAATTAAAATATTCCAACGTCAAACGCAGTAGCATATTTTTGAAATGATATTTAATTTTCAATTGATCCTGTGGTACGACGACAGCACTTTGAATTATAACACCAGTCAAGAGGTATAATGAAAAATGGGATTGTAATTATGTTTGCTACAGCACGTCATCGGTGAAATTTAATCAAATTAAATATTCGGCAAATTCCGGCCTGCGGCAGCGGTGATGTGATGAGTGGACGCTCTCTATTGGTGCGCGGCAGGTGAATAAATACATTCTCTTTTGCACCAAAAACGATCGTTGGCGGGCCAGCAATTTATGCAAATAACAAAACAACAAAAATAAAAGCAAAATGCCAGTTTGTGGCGCAATATAATGGTTTTGATAGGCACGATACTTCCATTGTATTATTTTATTTCAATCATTTATTTAGTGACGTTTGTTGTTTTTGCAAGTCTTTTTTCAAATCATTGGTTGCCTGCAAATGGAAAAGTGCGTTTTAATTAAAATCGAGAGAGTGCCAGAACGTTGCTGAATTTATTAATTTAGTAATCCAAATGCACGCAAACAAGCTGCTGCCCGAGGCTCTTCTCTTTATTTATTGGGAGCAGGTAAATTATCAAAAGTGATTATTTATTATACGCACTGAATTAATTATTTCAAAAGCAAAATAATGATAAAGAATAAAATATTAATAAATAACATCCGCAGCAGCAAGAAAAACATTATTTTCCTTCTTTAATTTCAACTTTGTGGATAGTTAATTAATTAAATTGTATTAATTATTGGCAAAGCGTAAATTTAATTGATTTCTGCAATTACGCCTGGTTGAGCTCATTTTGCGCTAAATTTGAGCTGTGTTTGCGTTCGACAATATGTGGGGGATTATGCAACGTGTATATAATGAATCAATTTATTTGTGTGTGCGTGACAATCGGTAATGCCAAAAGGTAATTAATTTCCTGTGGCAACATTAATCAAAGCGCGTTTCTATTAAAATTATAATTACTAGCGTTTGCACTTCCAAACGCTTTGTCCACATGAGTCGACCATCGGACACAAAGGAACACACAGAAATAGGAACTCACTCCTTACTGGTAATTAGTTGGGCGGCAAATTGAAATTGTATCCGTTAATTATTGATGCCTGTGACTTATTCGATTGTTGACTGCTGGAACGGAATAATCAAATATGCAGTGACCATCTATGACAGGCGACTGAACAATAATTGACTTAATTAACTTCTCTTTATTTTCATTCAGCGGTTTATTCTATTGCAATATATGCTTTATTATTAGCTGTTGATTTCATGTGTGATGAATATCTATAGTAAGGGATGTATTAATTATTACTGAAATTTTAAGACTAAAATTTTAAAGCTAAAATTTTGATACAGCTTTTTAGTGTGCCAAAAAAGGAAAGATTTTTTTCCATTTTTATTTTAAAAAAGGGGTTTAGATTTTGTTTGCGATGAGGTTGAATCAGAAAAAAAATGACAACCTTATTAAATTCTCTAATTTTAATTATTCAACGATGTTTGAAAAAAAAACAATTCATAGAAAACAGTAGGTTATGGATTCCTTAATTAGTCAAATCAACGTTTTACAACAAAAAGTGGTGGAAATTTAACATTCTTTTCAATAATTGCCAAAAATGGCCTTGATTTGACTATGCCAATAAAGAACCCTTAAATCATTGAAGAATTCAAGTTTCTTAATGATGGTAGAACTCTAAGAAATGGGACAAAAATATGTTTTAATTAGCATTAAAAATGCAATTTTTTTATTTAATATTTACGATAAATGCTAACAAAAACCTCCATCAATTTTGCATACTCTCAATATATTTTAACTTTTTAATTTTGACGGTGCTCATTAAAAGGGGTGCACAGGTGAGTGCAAATCAGAAAATCGAGCGAGATGAAGCGGAGAACGAGTCACTTGGTGGCTTATCATTCAGCAGTTCAGTCAATGTGATTGGTGCCTACTTAACTGTGCAGAGCCAACTGGCGCGCCGCCGCCACACCGCTTTTAGCTGCAGTGCTGTGTCTAATTAACATGGGGGTATTAATTAAATAGCTTTGTCCTCATCCATCCAATCTGGCTGAAATCTCAGGAGGATGAACGAACGCGCACTGGTTCGGTTCGCTCGCTCGCTCGTTCTCTCTGTACACGCGGCGCGCGGCGACGGTCGGTCTCTGTGCTGCAGGATGTAATCAAAATTGCCTCACTCGCTTCACATGCATGCACGGGACCTACACACACGTTAATTTGCTTCGATCTGCAAAGCAAACATCTCGCGGGACTTCATTTATACATGTGCGTATGTATGTGAGCTGATTACGCCGACACACTCTCATCGCTCTAATGTTTGATTAACACCCGCGCGCGCGTGTTTGAAGTTCGCACCCGCAACGCTTCTATTTCGTTATTGCCCTGTTTAGCATATTTTAAAATAATCTTCATTTTTTTTTTTAAAAAAGTCAAATTTTTAACTACAATTATTTGGTGCCTTTTTATTACTTTAGAGAAAATAGGATATTTTAATATTTTTGATTAATGATAAAAAATTTATCATAGTTAATTATTAATATTACGATTTTCATAGTTGTTAGTCTTTATCACGTTCTTGTAATAAATGTATAGCTATTGCTTTAAAGAAGATTTAATTAATTAGGAACTCTCCAAATGAGCATTTTATATATTGCCAGTCCCACCCGCTCTCGCAGTCGTGCAGTTTACTTGAAAATACTGTGCTGCTGATGGTAATTGCTTCTGTCAGACGACCACAGCGGGACGTATTCGGTGCTTCTATTTTTTGCTCTTTTCAACTCCACAGTAGCTGTTTTGTTTTCAGAATGTTAAATAAGTCTGCATGTTTTCTGCTGCTTAATAACCAGTCGAAGTGAGATACTTATCTCTCCTGCGAGTCGACTTTTTGATTTGCGAGAAGTTTCTGCTGCTAAAAAAGAATTACTCCTTAGTTAGCTCCGCACAGCTCAATTAAAGATTAATTGAATATTAATAAGGAGGTGTATATCATTTAGAAATCATTAAATGAAACAGCCGTCGAGTTAAATTTTCTCACAACTCATTCTGCTGCAACGACTACGCGAATTTTTATATTCTCATGGCTCACCTTCAACATCAAAGTCGGCCACTGGTGACGGGTATAAATTTATATTGAGTTGGCAGCCCACGCGTGAATAATAATTTAATAAGTGCCCGCAACGTTCTACAAACTTCTTTTTTCCGCGCTTGTCTGTATGTATTTTTATCTCAGTCAGCAATCTTCAACAGGTAAATCTATGCGGAGGGTCTGAAAAACCAGTTCCTTTACGAGACTCACACTTTAATAGAATTTATTTATTTATTTTGGAAAAAAACAAAAAAAGCTTTAAGGGCTCTTAAAGAAATAATTCATTATTTCACTTTTTATTTCATTTACTTTGATCCTAATTTGATTAAAAATAAATTATGCCAACATTATTCTGTTTTGATCAGCAGACAACAGATTCAATTGTTTGCACCTTGATAACTTATTTAATGTAATTGTGATTGAGGCTGTGTTAAATTAACCACAAACGACTAAAAAATATTTTGTTTGGTTCCTCTTCAAATGTTTTGAAAGGTAAAATAAGTTAATAAATTGCATTAGTGAAGTTTATAAGATTTTTTCACGGAATATAATTATGATCAGAAGTAATGTAAAATATTATATTATGGTTGAAACTTGAAATATTATTAATAATAAGCTTAGAGTGTAAAATCCTGATAATGTTATAAAATCTTTTTTTTTTTAAATATGCGGCAGTCGTTTTTTTTAATATGGCTTGGATAAAAAATTAAATACATTCACTTTCTTTTTTCATGTTTAGTGCACCACTTTTGGTGAAACAATATTATTACATTGCTTACAAGGTAGAAAATTCAATATTTACATTACCAAAGTCTAATTCCTACTTGAACTGGTACTGGCAGTTGATTTGAGAGTTCCCACTTTAGAAGTCGTCTCCTGGGACCACGGACTGTCAAAGGCAGTGGTGTCTTGATCCACAAGGTGAGTGTACTTGGTGCGTCCAGAGCGACCAAAGTTTTTGACCTGCATGACTTTGGGCAGGACAGACTTGTCAAAGTGGTCCTCCAAAGTTGCTCCAGAGAAGTCTCGTTTGTAAACCTCATCATCCTCGTCCTAAAAATTGACAAAGTTAGAACTGATCAAGGTAAACCTTTGACAAAACCTACCAAATAGAAAGCACCACGATGGTAGTACTTTTGCAAAAATTTGTATTTGCCCTTGGCTGCTTTGTTTGTGATGACTTTTGGTCTGTTGCGAAGCTCCTGTCTCCGTTGCTCCTCTGTCATATTTCGCAATCGTTCGATCTCCATGCGCTCCTTTTCTAGTTGCTCCTTCTCTTCCTTGTCCCTCTTTATCCTTTTCAGCTCTCGAATTTTCCAAGCTTCGTATTCAAGCTCATCGTTTTCATCGTCAGTGCAGACATCATCAATCTTTGCACCCTCAGTGCCACCAGTAGGTTTCTTCTTTGCTGCTTCTTTTCGAATTTCTTCCTCAACCATCTACACATTGAAATATTTAGAACAAACATTCATTTCCTTAGTTTCACGGAGCAGTACCTTGATCGACTGTCGTTTCCGTTCGTCGGCAGCTCGCTTTGCTTCAATTTCAGCTAATCTTTCCTTTTCGGCCAACTTTTCTTTTTCCGCAACAGTGAGCCTCTCCCTTTTGCGTACAAAAACTGGTTTTAACCTTGGTCCCAAATCTTCTTCCTCAGAGTCTTAAACAAAATAGTGAGCGCATGTTAGGAATAATTTTATAATTATCAAAAAGCAGCATACCAGTGTATTCCTCGTACTCAGAAGTATCGTCTGAAGTTTCTTCTTCCCGTTTAATTTCGTCATCCTCCATGAGAACATCAACCTCTTCTTCTTGAGTGCGTCGTTGTTGCAAAAGCTTCTGCCTGATTAATGCACGTCTGCGTTCCAAGTCTTCTTCAGTTACTTCGTCATCATCATCACTTTCCATCACATCACCAGGTATCATAACTTTGCCCATGGAATGACTCCTTTCCTTCTCATCTTCTGAGGAAGAACCCTCCAAGATTTCAGGCTCAACTACTGCCCTAAAATATCCAGTACATTTTTTTTTTTTTAATTTTGAGAGCTTTAAAATATCATGCGTTGTGATATACCTTCGTCTCTGTCTGCGAGCTGCAATATCATCTTCGTCGTCCTCCTCTTCTTCAGATTTCTCCATTTCTTTTCTTCTTAATCGTTCTAAACGTCTGTCCTGAACAACATCAATGCTCATCTTTTCAGTTTCCTCCTCTTTAAATCTGGAAGTGAAACATTGCGTTTTAATTTAAGGACAATTTCGTCAACAAAGTTCTATAAACTATACATACATAGCTTGTTTCAAAAGTTAAAATTTAGTCTGTATTAAATCTAATTAGTTTGCTTTACTAGTAAAGAAATAATAATACCTTTTGGTTTTCTGAGACTGGATGAAATCCTCGCGGTCAGACTCTTCTTCTGAACTTGTGTCCGGAGCATAATCAGGCCTCTTTCCAGAAATGTAGCGGTGCACCTTGACTTTTTGCATGGTTATTTCGCCTAGAAATATATAAGAACATATTTATGTAGAATTTAATTATACGTAATTGCCACTTAAACAATGTTAAAGCGACAAGAGGTATTTGATTAAATTTTTAAAACAAGAAAAACTAAGCATGATCAATTAATTTTAAAAGTTCCTTCGGTTTTACCTTTCTTATTTCGGACAGGAATAGCTCCTGCCGTGCTCTGGATGCCCCCGAGGGCCGGATTGTTCTTTTCAGACATATTTCCTGTCTTAGAAATTGCCTAAAAATTTATAAAAATCAAGTTTTCTGAGGTTGCCAGTGCCAGAAATCGTTCTCTGTTGATGTTTGTGTTTTTGTCCGAACGCGAGATTGTTCCCTGCTGATTTGACATTCCCTCTACCGGCGAAATCAGAAACTGTCGTACAGACGGCCATTCTTTCATTCCGATTGGATGATTCAACCCCGCATGTTTTGAATCAGCCAATCTGAACAGTGGGTAGCGAAAAACAAAGCGCACGTGACATGGGGAATGTCATATCGAAATGGCAAAGTAAGCAAAAGAGGATGGAAAACAAAAAATTTGAGCTGAGAGAAAACGATGTTCAAAAATTGCTCGTCTGTGCCTTGAAGTTGATTTTTCTTCACCATAGTTTTACAACAGAGATACCGTCCATTGTAAAGTGATCTGGTAAATCCATCATAAAGTTTTGGCTCTCAACCGAACTGCAATTTTGATTGCTCGATCTTTTAACCAATTTTCATTCTCAATTAAAATTTTATACAAAATGTATTATCATGTAAAATTCACATTCTCAATCAAAAATCTTAATTTTCATAAATTCGGCTTGTTTGTACTTAAAGTTTGCTTTTCTTCATTTGATTGAATTAAATTTTAAGGCTTTTTCAGCTTTTTGTGTATTTAAAATGGACCATTTTTCAGGTCTGTCTCCAAGGATGGAATCCACACTTGTATTGGTCTTGTCAATCCTCACAATTTGTCCTGGCGCTCACGCGATGACCTTTGCCGATTCTTTCTCTTTGGTGTTGATCTTCGGGATTGCCATAATTGCCTTTTTTGCCTGCCTTGGATACTACGCTCGACGAAGGGATTTCAACGATGCCTACAATTCAATTTAGATTTATAAAGCTCTCCTAGCTTAAAAGCTAAAAAAGGTATCATAATTATTTGATCTGATGAGGCTATTATAATATAGGTGCAGACTAAATCAGATAAAATTATAATAAATAAATTTGATATTTTTTAAATCAACACTGACACATATATAGTCAACAAACAATACCTTATGTCGGTCTTTTTTTTTAAATAATTAAATAAAGCTTAATATCAAATTGCTTAATAATGCTCTGATGCCAAACACCTAAAGACTGTGCATTAATTTTAAAAATGGGTAGAGATCAAAATGAAAATGTTCAATTGAGCTGAAATAAATTTTCATGTTAATAAATTTATGATTCAGACCAATTCAGACAAAATCTAATTATTTTATATTCTACATAATTGAAGACTGCCCTTACCCAGATTTAAAAAATTGGTATAATTCAGAAAGGTCTCTCGAGTCATGGAGTCTTTAATTTTGAGTGCAGGCATTTCATTCATTTTTTTTAAGCTTAGATGAAGATCGATGAAGTCCTGTCATAATATGCATAGCAATAAAAAAAATAATTACAGAAAGACCTGTGTGCAAAATATTAAAAAAAAAAAAAAAAAACAATTGCTCAATTTTTGTGTGTGCAGATTAGTAAAAGATAATTTTTCCACAGTTTACTAAGATGCTTACTAACAATATGTCCGATTGGTAATTTAAAAAAAAGCAGATAGGCTTTAATTTTTATCAGCTTCTCCATGCACTCCTGATGCCTAAAAAAAATCATCATTTAACGTTTTAAAAGCAATAAGCTGACAAAAATAATTTTTTTAATTTTTTTAACGCACTTTTATAAATATTTTATATATTCATACAATTTTAATTAAAACACCATCTCTTGAAAATTTCGCTGTAAAGGATAATTAGGCTCATTATCATCATTTTTTTTCTGCGCTCTCTCAAGTATTATATATATATATTAGTTTTTTAAGACGAGAAATGCACTAAAAGGCTCTCAGGCTGGAATGCGATTGTGCTCATTAACTAGTTTCCAAGTGACAAATTTTATATAAAAGAAAGTCGAATTTCCTGGAGACCTTAACGCCTGCAAGTGGAATGTGGGACAATCTGTAAATGAGGAACAACAGAAGCTCGCGTGAGGTGAAGAGGCTCGACTTGTCAGGTTATTGGGCTCTTTTCCCGCGGGCTACAGCAACTTGACAAAAACTTCATGAATTAAGGCTAAAAATTCTGCGCCTTTACTTCAGAGGTAATAAATCGAGAATATAATTGCAAGACGTAAGTAATATTAAATGAAAAAAATAATAATAAGATGAATAAAACTGTTATCTTAAAATTTCAGATTCACGGAACGTTGAACGCTTGACGCTTGAAGGCGCTGCAACATGCGGTTGGCAGCGAAGCCGGAGGTAGCCGTGCCGACAGGTGGTACCACTATGCACAGCCGCTCCAGACCCTACCTGTGGAGGCTGTCATCTGCTAAAAACGTTAACATCTTTTCTTAACGGCCAAGGGCAGACAGGAAGAGCAGCGTGCGACTGCAGCCACAAGCTCAGGGTGAGCCGAAGAGGTCAGGAGTTTACCTTGTTCCTTGGGATTGCACCCTACTGGCGACAAAAACGATATTTGACCTGTGCACCACCAACCGACAACAGGTGTCGTCGTACACTAGATCTGCCCGTAGCGTTTTTCTCATCTCGCGATTCTGTGGTAATTTGGCTCTCGCTCGGTTTCCTGTTGACCATGTCTGCCGGCCCTCTCGAAGGACTGCCAAAGCAGTTTGTCCACGCCATGAGGACCCTTTTCGACATCATGGACGACAAAAAAACGGGATTCGTGCGATTTACGGGTGAGTAGTTTACGACTGTTTTATGGCCGTTTCCTCTTTGTGGTGGCCTAATGGCCTGTTTTTGTTGACTCTGCTAATCCGTGGTACTCACACGTCCCCTTAATTTATTTCCATTTTTTTACAGTTCTTAAAAAATTATTTGCTTATATATCGGGATCAATATTAAATAATGCAGTACATATTGAATTTTATTAAATCTGTCTAGTTTGGGATATTAATTAAAATCTATTCGTATCCATTTAAGCACATTTAAGTACATTTAAGTAGCACGCATGTCAGTCTTGTAACTAAAAATTATTACACCTTAACCTCTTTATGATATTTCAATTACGTATTTGTGAATTTTTAATTTGTCAAATTTAGAAATTATTTAAATTTAAAATAATAAGTGAAAAAAATTAAAGTATGATGAATAATTACTTTGGTTAAAATTGTGAATTTATTATTTTATTTATTGATTTAAAAAATTTTAACACATGGAATGTTCATTATTAATTTTTAATAAGAATTTTTATGTAAAACTTTTTATAATAATATTATATATTATAAAAACGCACATAAAAGTAGAGAAAAAAATCTTGTTAAATTCAAAAGTATTTCAATCTGTGGAAAATTAAAATATTTCAGTTTCTTAAAAAGATTTGAATATTCAATTTTAATATGGAAATTCAATGTATTTTCATTTTTACTAAAGAGAATAACAATATAGAGTGGAATAAAAAAAATGTTGCGCATTTAGCAATTAACATCCATTTATATTATCCATAGCTGACGAAGTGTGACCAAACTGGCATTTCGAGACTTTGCCAAGTCCTCGAAAGCTGCTTTTGCTTTTTGCTACCTACTTTTATGGTCGGAGCAAACTAATTAATAAGCTATTTTTCATGGTCCAAACAGAAATTGAAAACCGTTGGCGAGATGATGGGACCAAAGGCTTGCCAAAGGGCGTCATTGAGAGTCTCCGCAAAGTCACTCCACCCAATGGCCTGCTCTCGTTTGAGCGCTTTTGCACCGGTTTAAAAATCTGCCTGCTGAAAAACCAGAAGGTTGAAGGAAAATTGGGTGAGGAGCAAACAAGCCGCCCGTCTAGGCCTCCATCGGCTCCCCTTTTAGATTTGGATGAGCCGAAAACTCCCAAGAAAGCAGTACCTTGGGTCCAGCGCCAAAACTATGCACATCGAACGGTCAGCATGCCGCAGCTAGTGGCAAAAGAATCAAACGAGGAGCAACCCCTGCCCAAAGCAATCACTCAGGGACCACCCAAACCACCCCGTCTCAGCCTCGGAGCAAACGCAGGTGCCATAGAGAGAGGAATCGACAAATTGGAGATACGGACAGCTCTTCAAAATTGGCAAATGGGAATTATTCAAGCAGACAATAACAAAAAGTTGATATTTCTATAAGAGAAATAACTTTAAGCTAATGTTTTCTTTTAATAGGAATCTAGTAAACGGTTATTCGTCTCTTGGAAGAAATGTTGGACGGAGTTTGGGTGATGGAAAACCATCAGGTAATGCGATGTTTTAATTTTTATTTATAGCTATAGCTACTATATTCTCATTTTTGTTATTTTGAAGGTCAAATGGAGAATGCTTTGCAAACACATAGGAAACCTGGAGGTAGGCGACGTGATCCGAGAAGACATACGCTGCAGAATGGAATCGATTATAACATGGTAAACCCAACCTTAATAGTAGTAATTCGATGATGTTAACCCAGACTCAATTTTGCAGCTACGTCGGATGAAACAGCTGGAGCAGGAAAAGGAAGTGCTTTTACAAGGATTGCAAGCAGTCGAGCGGGCCAGGGATTGGTATCTGCAGCAGTTAGCGGCTCTTAATGACAAAATGCATTTCCTAGGCCGAGATGCCACTTACCACTCTGTAAGTAGCCTGGGTTTTTTTTTCATAAATACCATTTTTAAATTATTAAAATAAATTTTAATTAAAAGGAGCAATGGTCTGAAGCGCAAATGGAAAGGCTTGGAATGCAGCGTGCCAGAGTTCAAGAGGTTAACCGCCAGCTTGCTGCATTGACAGATCCGTCTGTACCTTTGCACATGAATTTGGCTGTTGGGAACGCTTCAGAAAACTACACGAGCCGTCTCAAACAACAAAACCATCTTTTGTCCGAGGTAAGGATAAGACAAACTAATTCGTCCCATTTTTTTCATAAAAAAATTTTAGGAGGTTCACAAGAAAGGCGAAATCATCACAGCATTGGAGCGGGAAAAGGCTTCCTTGATCCGCGAGCTCTTCCAAGCCAGGGCCCAGCAAGAGTAAGGGAGTACTCATACTATTATGGCATTTTGATCTCTTTTTGAGCTTGCGCTGCTTTAAAAAAAAAGGAATTTAAAGTGCTGCCACGAATAATGATCTCTAATGCAGAAAAATGGTATCTTGTCTAAATTTTTAAGTCAACAAGACAATTGTCTGAAAATTTGTTTTTATATATTATGCTCCCATTTTGTTTACATACTACATAATCTTGGTGCTTATTATTAATTATTAAAGCGCTTTGTTAAATGTGAAATTTTGCTTTTATTAATGACATGTTTTTAACACTGAATAAATCATTATGACTAACTGCAAAAATTTCCTATCATTCATGCATATACCTCATTATATACTTTAAGTCTTTGGTGTCACCGTTTGAGATGCAGTCTTTTCACAAAATGTACTGCAGTAGTTCATGCTGCATGACTCTAGCTTTTTCGGTTAAATGTAAAGGCATAGTTCTGACAACTAAGAAAGTGAAATCCTATTTTTGAACAATTAATTTGCAGTCAACCTTCATTTAAATTTAGTTAGGTGCCAATAATTATGATTTCATATTTGTTGTCAAAGATAGATTTTAACCCTCAGCATAAATTTCATATTAATCAAATCAAGTATATAGTTTGACAAAAAAAAAACTTATCGATGTTTTTGTGCTTCTGCAAGCCATTGCTCTGTGGTGTGCCATTTAATGCCATCGTGTGGTAATTTGGATTCAACAGTCGGAAATATCCACGTCAAGTACCATCTTTCCCCCAAGATTTCTTTCAAATTTTGTTTCCAGCCATAATCGTATATCCTTATGTTGTTTGCACTCTCATAGGTTACCTGTCCCCTGTACATCATCATCAAATGGTAGCCGAGGAGTGCGCCGGCGAAAACTATTCCGGCGATGTTTATGGCATACAGAGTGAGGTAAAACTGGTTGATGGACGAGTCGAAAAGAAAAACGGCCATTGGGAAAATCAGCTTCAGAGCTGAATACCATGTAAAAGCTTCCCATGACCGCCAGACAAACGCCCCGTTAAAATAAGTTGCGTACGAGGTGGAGATGAAGAGGAGTGTGAGGAACACGAGGAAATATCGATGGTTGTGATGGCCGATGCAGCAGGCTGTGAAAAGGCAGTGATGATCTCTCTTCAAGATGCAAATTCCACAGTCCTCACAGTGCCAAGATCGAGGTGGTACAAAAGACTCGCAAACTGCACACAGATGCCACCTAAAAATTAAAAAAAAATATTTTAAAAATTTTCTTAGAGCAAAATTACATAATTATACAGTCATGTTGGTATATTTTTATAGAAACTATAAAAATGAATTAAAATACTTTAAATGGCAATAAATTAAAAGAAAAATTAATATTATGTACCTGTCAGGAGGATTTGGAACTTCTAGCATGCGCCCTTTAATGCTAGGGTCTACCAGAACAGCTGCGAGGAAGTTGCTAGTGATGTTTATGAGCAAAAAGGTGCCCATTATAGAGTGGAAGAGGTATCCAAAGGTCCATGGTTCGTGAATAGTTGGCAAGACAATAAATATCTCAAACCAGTAAATGATGGGGATGACCAAAAACAAGAACCAGAAGGCGACCAAATTTGAGAGCTTCCGAGGAAAAATTCTGTCCCGTAATCGCAAGTCCATATTTTGCACCAAATTTCCTCCGAACACTGATTTAAAATTTAAGTACAATTCCTGCTCTGTGTTCAATTGAAGTTAAGCTGATTTACTGCATTTGGCAGTACCTAAATTAAAATTATGGCAGGGATTAAATTATATCTCAACTATTATCTGATGCAAAAGCGCATCTAAAAACAGCCGCAGCTGACACACAGCATACGCCCATCTGCTGCAGAGGCTTGACTTGCGCCAACACAAGAGGTTTGCGCTTGCTAGTCTTGCATTGTGCTTTGGCTGCCTTGTATTCCCTATTCCCCTCAGCCCTCCACTCCAGCTCATTTTCAGCTATGTATTTATGATGGAGGGATTGGGATTATAGTTTATAGCAGTTCAAACTTAATAAATAATTTGTTGCATTACTTAATTAAAAATTAAACAACTGAAAAACTTCAAGTTAACCTAATATTATAAAAGAGAATTGTGTGATGGACATAATTATGATATTTAAAAATTTTCTTTCAATGAATTTTGTACTCCTCTGTTATATTTTAATTCTCATATAAGTATGTTCAAAATATTATATATCCAAATTGGAATTTGAAGATTTTTTTATCATGTTACTATGATTATTATAATTACGGTTTCGGAAGTTTGTAGAGACCACCACTGAAAAGTAACTGATGTTCTCTCACTTTCCTGTCCAAGAAGTGCCTTAGTTCTTGCTGGCTGCACTCGACAGCTGTCGGACCCTGGGAGGCAAACATTTTTAGCATCTGATGAATCCTTTCCAAGGGCATCGAGTCCAGGTTGGTCAGCATTCCCACGATATAAGACCAAAACACTTGCAGCTCGCCCTCTCGTTGCTCGTGGGCTGACGCAAGAGCACTTTCCATTTCTTCGTCCTCGCAAGCAACATGATCAACAGTGCGTCCTGCGGACCCGGCTCTTGCAGTGCCCTCTTCCATCAGAACAAACACGTCTGGACTTTGCTCACGCAAAATTCCTTGGCTTTGCCAGAAGGAAATTTTGCGCCTCAGCAGAGACCCTGATATCTTCATCACTTGGCTAAGCTCTTCTATCGTCCACTGGTTCCTCTCCTGGAAGTGCCAAATGATGGTTGCATGAATGGGAGAGACGGTCACGTTTAGTTTTCTGTCCTTTAGTTCGATATCAAGGTTGACGTATCCCAGATGTGGCTTCCAAGATAGCGTTCGATTACCCTGGAGACTTATGTTTTAATTTTAATATTTCGGATTCTATGTTGCAATTTTACCTTTAGTGTTTCGAATGCCTTCGTGTAATTATGTAAGTGCTCCTTAACAATGGGTGGGACTTCCAAATTTTCCTCTTTAAAGGGTGGCCAAAACTGAGCTGACAATATGATAGCAGTGCACGTAAAAACCTATTTTTGCAAGAAATTTTTTAAGCCAAGGGCAAATGATACATTCTTCTTAACTTACCTCGTTTGATACCCTAAAGCTTGAATCGGAATGCAAGTGAGAATTCATTCTTCTTGAGTCTTGAACGTCCTTCAGCATCACCTCACAGTAATGCAGTTGCGAGTCACCAAATCTAAAGGAGACAGAATTTATGAATTCTAAGTGAGCTGAACCTATAGAGAAAATATTTTTAGATTAACCTGCGCTTCAGAAGCTCCAAGTATCTTATTTCTTTGTCTGTGTTATAGTTAAATTGAGATAGAAGACGATCAGCCAGAAGTATCCTGTATTCATTGACGAAGAGATCTTTGCTGCCGTATACGCTGACAAGCATAGATATAATATCAGATGCTCGTTTGCTCTGTCCAGAATCACCTAAATAATCATTGCAATTAATAAAAAATTCATAAAACTTCAGTGAAAATTCATCACTTGGATCAGCGTCTACTGGGGGTGGTTTCCAGTTCTTCCAGTCCTCCATGTCATCGTCGGAATCTACAGCCTCGTCTAATGCATTTCCTTTTGCCAACTCTTCGGCCAGCTCGCTCGGACCCTCCTCAGTGAGGCTTGTGACAACACAACGAACTGTATCCTCTCTCTAGAGACATCAAAAATAAAACACTCTAATAGCTAGTAATTTGAACTCTCTACCTGTCGGAGATACTGTCTTATCGGAGTGGTTACTGTGTCTAGAAGAACTCCGGATGGATCTAAAAGCCTAAGGGCTCTAATTGCAGCCACATAAGTGATGAGTATATCAACAGTATTGGCTCCTGGATGAAGCAGCCGGGTTTCCAAAGCACCCTGAAGTTTACTCGTGAGGTATGAGCGCAAATCGGTTTTCTGCAAACATATTCCCAAATCTTCAAGAGCTGGCTGGGATTCGGGAAATTCTATGGATATTGATTCACAACATATTAATACCAATATCGGTGGAGCTGAAAATGAGAAATACCTATTATTATGTTGAAAAACTCTTCAACTCGCGTTTTGGTGTATGTTTCGTAAAGAAAATGTTGCAGCTTATTTTGTGAGAGCTCCAATTCTGACGAGGGAACAGAATTCAGCTGCTCTCCATACACCTGCTTTAGCCAGCCCATGACCACAGTATCCAACCACTATGGGATTTGTTAGATTTTACTTTAATTTTTAGACTTTCATTACTCACATTTTCCAAATCAGTCAAATGAGAGGAAAAACTGCCTTTGCATGTTTCTTGGACGTGACTTTTGATTCTCGACTGCAGAATTTCTCTTAGCTGCTCACCAGCCAGTCTTTCCATTATCCCAAATTGAACTAAGCGTCTGAACAGAATAATAATACAATAATGGCTACCTTAAAAAAAACTACTTACTCATTAACTTCGGTGAATTTCAGTATAATCTCCTTGCACATGCATTGGTCTATTTCTTGGTTGCAACCTTGGCAGAAAAGACTTTCCGCAGAATCATCGTGGCCGTTATCAGAGTGGCAAAAGACTTTGAACGATAGGTCAAGGAACGATTTTACAAGCTCCTGGTGGTTGTAAGGTGCCCTTGCCAGCAATACACCTTGGATTGTTGATCTGCACTTCTCGTGTGAACCAGATTCCAAGAAATTGAGCGCCCAAAAGGTATCATCGAATAATTTCAGTTTGTAGTGCAGCTCAGATATTGCAGAGTAGAAAGCGTCGAATGCTTCTTTTTCCTCTTTGTACGACTTCTCAAAATTGATCCAAAAGGATGGAGCGACTTCGTGTAATAAAATTGACTGGTATTTGGCCCACACGAGTTTCGAGCAGAGCCCTTGAAGATTGGATGCTAGAAGGAAATCTATTATTTCTTTTGCTTCGGCCTGACTAATAGTCATTTGGGGATTCTATAAAATGAAAATAGAAAATAATGAATTAGCAGTGTTCTTCAAATACGTGTATTATTATACAAATTATACCTCTCCCTCCAACAATGGAAAAAGCCGACATAATTTCTGCCAAGCTAATGTCAAGTCTAGACTCTCCAATTCCATCGCAGCAGAATTAGAGGTATTATTGTATTTAGCAAATTCTTATTTCTTCTTTGCTTCAAATCGTGGGTCAACCTTTTCAAACAGTTTTAGTCACTTAAATGAAAAAAGGAGAACCAATTTTACTTACTCACTGAGATAAAAATTTTAAATTCAGCAAGCTATTTTTTGACTATGTACATACACTGAAGTATTTTGAGTTATTGCAAATATTGAAGGACTTTACGATATTGAAGAGTCCACAAATTCACTCTAAACAAATTTTCTACTATATTTAGAGCATTATTTCAAAGTTTTTCTCGTCAACACAGAACGCATGTTCGTCTTTGTTTACAAAATGCAAAGGCAAAAGGAAAGGGAAAGGCAGACTGTGGTGGTGGGGGTGGGAGTTGGGAGGGTGAACGGCGAGCGCAAGGAGGGCGAGCGAGGGGAGAATTAAACTTCTACATTCTAATTGGCCAATCCAAAATCCAATCCCGGGAAAAAGGAAGCGGAAAAAGTAAATAGAATTGTGAAAATTGTATTATAAAATAAGAACATAAAAGCGACGTAGAAGAGAAAAAAATAGAATTTAAATTAAACAATAAAATTCGTATAAATAAACAACTCTTGACCCTCTGACCACTTGTAGTAAAATCTTATTACTTTACAACTTAACAATAATCTAATCACATTCTCACAGTAACAGATCTAAAGAATCAAAAATTAAAAATATTAATTTATTACTAGCAGAGAAAACAAATATTAATCAGATCAAAAATTTTAAAAATATTTACAATCTTACAGCTAACACGCTATCGATAATTTTTTCAATTTTTGCATGCAACATGCGAATAAAAAAAATTTAGCTAAAATTTATGTAAAAACTTATTATGTTTAATTGTGATGCTGAATTATTATCAATGTATGGATTTATCAAAAGGAATATCCGTCAAAATTAAAATAAAATTTGCGCCGGTCAGTTTGCATGATATAAATCGCATATTATTATATGTCTCGCGCGTTCCATTATATTTTATTATTTTTTTACCACATGAAAATCATGTTGCCAAGTTTTGAGCACCAACGTACGTGATCACCACACGGTAGTGCGAGTGGACGCGCAGACTCAAGATCTTCGGTGACCGTGTGTTTGTGGGAAGGTAGGGAGAGCCAAGTCGAAGCCTCAACGGATCTCGCTCGCAGCTTCAGTGTCTCAGCATCTTATTTGCCGTAGCGCAGCGTCTCGATTATTCCTTACACAATTTAGAAGAAAAAAAACATACTCTTGGATCCACTTTTTGTTACATCCAGTTAAAGACGCAAGAAACTGGTTGTAAAAGTGCTAATAACGAAAAATGAAAGGTTCAAGCATTTTAGAGGAGGTAAATTAAAATTTTTGGTCAATATTTCCCTGTACCATAGATATATTTATTATATTAATTAATTGAAAACTTTTATCGCGTTACAGTATTTTACAATTTAACTTTGGCAAAAAGGTCCAGTCTGGGAGGAATTATTCAAATAACTTATTTTCAAAATTATGCACTTTTGTTTATTTTATAAATCATTTCTCTGTTAGGAGAATAAAAATCTCATCGGCCGACTTGATGGCCAGAGTTAAAAATTCCACAATCCATTCCATTCAAGGTCCAGCACGGAATCATTTTCTAAAAATAAGAGGTGGCGCAGTGTTTTAACGCGCGCTCTCTGCTGCTGGGCGCAAATGAAATTTATCCCAAGTGTGACGAAGAGCGTAGGAAGAAAAAGAAAAATGACTCTTCTCGACTTGGGCAACTTAGAGCTTAGCTTGTCCGATGTCCGTCTTTGTATCTCTCCCTGTTGGTGTATTCCCGTACAATGATTCAAAAAGTAAATTTAAAAACGTTAAGACTCACCACATTTTTTTTCTACTACGAAATTAAATAAAATTTAATTAAAAATAAATGAAGAGCCTCAATTTTAATGATATTTTACCGCATGAAATTCTAGCGCCACCAAGTCAAATAAATCCGTTTTATTAGTCCAAGATCGGAGATAAAGGCGCTTGATTGTGGCAAGGGTCAAGGTCAAAAGCAAAGCCCCTTTACAAATAATGGGCTGCAGGCGTTTAACAGCTCAGCTTGCTTGGCAATTTTAATGATATTCAAGTAAATGAAGAGCTCACTTCTAAATCCAAAATACATATTACAATAACTTTTTTCAAAATGAATTCAAAAATAAATAAGTAGCCTAAAATTTATTCAAAACTTGTATAATATATTAAATAAATTTTGAATGAAATATTTTTAGTGTAAAAGTAAGTAAGCAAAACCCAATAAAAAAATTAATCTCTTAGTGAGCCTGGTCGGGCCAAGGAATTTATATGAAATTTCTTTGATATAACTTTTATATCAATCGCAAACCTATCATCAATTGCTTGCACGCACGCAGCAATAAAATTTTATAAATGTTAAATATTGTATATTTTTACAGTTCCAAACTGACGGCTTTGTGGTTTTGGAGGACTTTTTATCAGAGGATGAAATTCTCAAGTTACGTCATGCTGGAGAGGCGCTCGCTACGGATATGCCAGATTCGGTCACAATAGGCCAGTTTAGCACAGTTGACAATCTTCCTCAAGTATTTCATATTATTCAATGTCAAATAAATTTTTTGAATATTTTTCCTTTCACACAGAATAAAGATCTTTACTTCCTTGAGAGTGGAGACAAAATCAGATACTTTTTAGAAACTGGAGCAGTTGGTGAAAATGGCAAACTAACAGTTGAGAAAGGGAGAGCTCTGAATAAGGTATTCTAATTTAATTAAATGCGTGATCCGGGAATTATTTAAACTTTTATAATATTTTAGGTGGGGCATGCTCTCCACTGGTTGCACCCAGATTTCAAAGAAATTACCTTCAGCAACAAAATAAAAGACGTTTGCCGTGCCATAGGCCTGGAAGAGCCTGCCATTGCACAGAGCATGTACATTTACAAAAATCCTGGTGTAGGAAGTGAAGGTACGAATTTTACAAGTTCCAGGTAATTTTGAAAACAACTAATTATGATTATTTAGTTTGTGCCCACCAAGACGCAACATTCCTTTATACCGAGCCCATGAAATTGGTTGGTTTTTGGTTTGCTTTGGACGATGCTACTATGCAGAATGGGTGTCTTAAATTTGCACCTGGCTCCCACTGTGGAGGTGTACACAGGAGGTATGTGAGGAAAAATGATCCAAATTCTGACGAACTTGTGGGCTACGATTCTCCAGCACTGACGTATCCCCAATCAAATTTTCGATCGGTTCCAGTCAAAAGAGGTAGCATAAAATTTCTCACAATTTGAACTGATTTTGCTAAATTAATATTTTTAATTTGCGAATTCCTGCCATAGGTAGCTGCGTTTTGATTCATGGTCTGGTGGTGCATCAAAGTGACCCTAACAGGAGCTCTAACCCACGGCACGCTTACACTTTTCATGTGATTGAGAGAAAAAACTGTGTGTATTCCGAGGAAAACTGGCTCCAGCCTTCAGAAGAATTGCCTTTTCCACTTTTGTACAATAATTAGTCAAAAATGTCATTTGGTTTTAAGATATTTAAATCAATGAATATAATGAAAACATTATTTTAATGTATGTAATACACTAAGCAAATGTTTAAAATAAACATGATATTTCGGAAGCTGCTAACAAACTGAATTTATCATTATCAAAATCGATCTTTAGGGTTGTGAAACTTAGATGCTTTTTTTGCCTAAAATAGTCGACTTCTAGACACTTTTTTCATAGAAAAAGACTGTTTTATCCAATTTAGACGGTTTTAGACTGTTTTTCCAAGGTTGAAAATTTGGCTTGTAAAAAGAAGTCGCCGAGGGTGGATCTAGGGGTGAGGGGGTAAAAATCACTGTTCACAAAAACTAGCTAGAAATGCTCAGAATGGCCTGTCCGAGATTTGTAGATGGTCGCCAGAAACCATGAAATTTTAAGTCCCGACTCCCGAGAATGCGCGGTAAACAAAAATCTGTTCACTTTTTAATATTTTGTGCACCAGGGCTCTGATTCTGTAGGACCAAAAAGACGGGTCGTTTTGGCCTTACAGAATCAGACCCCAGGAGACGAAATGGTGAGTTTTAGACACTTTTAGACTGTTTTAGTCGATTTTTAGACGCTTTTAGACGGTTTTGGGCGTTTTAGACGGTTTTGGGCGTTTTAGACGGTTTTGGGCGTTTTAGACGATTTTAAGTGGGTGTCAATCGTCTTGAAATTTCATGATTCGTGCACATTTGATGAATTCAGGCCAAACCAAAGCCCAGAAAAAAATAGTCGATCGTCTAAGTTTCACAACCCTATCGATCTTCTTAAAAAAGCTTAAAAATCTATATATTTAATTATAATGCAAATTTCTTCTTTTGATTTGATTATTGAATTCATTGCCTCATTTTTCCGACTGCAGAAATTCAAGAACAATTTTTACTATTTTATGCTTACTAGATTTTGTTTTTACTTGGTAGGCAGTCTTCAGTTTCATTGACTTGCAGGCATCATGAACTATATTAATTTTTTAGATTGAGGGAAGCGCGACCTTTCAAGATGCCCATCGCGCATGAAAGGGATGCACGCGCGTCTTTGAGGAAAACCTGAGCTTGTAGTAAATCCTCTCTAAAATATATATGATATATATTATCATTTTCAGGCCTGTTTAATAGTTAATTTATCTCTTATTATTTACCTTCTAATTACATAAAACTCTCCAAGCACTTCAGGATTTGCAGGTTCTATGCCATTACTATCTTGGTCTCCAAGGGTCAAACTATGCATCAACAAACTACTCATTTCTTTGAGATCATTGGTTTGGAAATCTCCGTTAGCTTTCAGTAGCCTTGATAAAATAAAATAAATAAGCTACTATTAAAGCAAAATTAATTAAACTCATATTCACCTGTCATTGGTTTGAATAACACAGTTTATCAGTCTGTAGTAAGTAAGGATTTTACTTTCTACTCTATGAGTTAGTTGGGGATCTTTTGGATTTACTCTAAATGATTCGACTTCCGTGCTGAACGAAAAATATTTTAAATGACGATATAAAAGCTTTAATTATTGCATTACCAATACGCTCGAACATTACTGCACAAAGCATCATAGCAATAAAGTATTTTATTCAGCTGATCACCAAGGCCACTTTCCATCTGCATAGCAACTTGACTGTCAGAAACGGTTTCCTTTTTAAGTTTTCCGGATTCAAGTTGTTCCAAAAGCGTCTGAAAAAAGGTTTGAACCATAAAAAAGATAACAAAGGGATTGAATAGATCATTGATTTCCTACTTTTATCTCATCAGCGGCTTGATTACCAAATTTTTTGTACTCTGCAGATTTCACAGTCTTGCTTAGGTCAAAGCAAAGGTTTAATGCATCTTTGACCTCATTTTTCCTTATTGCCTCCCCTGTAATGTTAAAGTGATGAACTCAAATTATAAAAGAAGCGTCTTGATATAGCAAAATTACATGTTTGACTGTATCTGAATGCAGGCAACTTCGAGGCAGCCTTGATGAGATTTTGAGCTGAAACATCGAACACAAAAGATAGAACAGCCATCCAGTGTTTTTCACAGCATTTTAAGATGTCTTCAAAGGACCAGGGAGGTCGAAGCAAGACAATCCTTAACCACGTTTCCTTGAACTGGGCTTTCATCTCTGATTCCAATATCTGTTTCAAGGCAATTAAAAGTAAATAATTTAAAATCGAATGTAAAAAATTAACCTTTCCAAGGAAGTCTACCATTGTTCTTTTGGCACTTTTGATTATGCTTGCAAGTGGAGCATCAGTGCATTCCACAACAGTACTTTTGACCTCTTGCTTCACTGTAATTTGCTGTAGTGAGTGATTTTAAAAAATAAACTTTGAAAATAAACCTTCTATATCAGCTTCTTTTTGTGACAAGTCAATCCATTGTTTCAAGCTAACAACGGAATGACACTCAATGGATGCAATCACAGCTTTATTGCAAAGGTTTATATCTTCAGTCAAGAGCATCTAAAAGGCAACAAATTTTGTTAAATAATAATAATAATAAAAATACACACTTACTACTTTTTTTCCTTCATCTCGAAGTGAGAGGCAATATTTGATGATAGAGTCATCATTCTTAATTTTGATACTTTTCATTTCCTCGTCGAGAGAAAATTGGCCTGTTAAATTCATTTTCAAGAAGCATTTAAGTAGAGCAAAGCAGAATTAAAAAAATTATATTACCAGTGAATTTTGGATGACTCATTGACAGACTCTTGTGAATGAAAGAAATGGCATTTCTAGCTGGACGCTGCAAGTGTTTATTTTTGTTTGAACCCGATTTGAAGTGATCCAGCTCTTGGAGCACCACCCATGGAATTGTAATTACAATGTCCCCAAAGGCTGGAAAAAAAAGAAGATTAAAATATTTAATAAAACTGTTTAAATTCTACCCTACATTGGTAGCGAGTGTCTCTCAGAGTGTGTATGTATTCCAGATTGTTTAGCAAAACATTTGTGTCAACAGCTATATGCCAGGCAGAGGGCAAAACGTCATCACATTTGAACCCTTCTACAACAGGATCCTAAAATAAATAAAAAATTTTAATTCACTTTATAATTTATTAATATTGTCATACATCAGACGATTCCCAGTCCATGCTTTCCACTTCAACATCTTTTATATGAGAACTCAGCCAAAATTGTTTACAGTTGTAAGCTGTTTCAACGGGCTCAACGATCGAAACAATTCCAACATTATTCGAGATGCAGGCAGACTCTGTTTAAATATTAAAATATATTCATCGTTTAATCCATACCGAGCTTAAATACTTAGTGGATAAAGGATGAAATTAAAATAATCAATGTTTTTTTTTACACTAATCAAACTAACCGAAACTAACCTCTCTCTGTTTTAACAGGAATATTTGAGCATGGTACTGCCGAGGCCATTGAACACTCCGCTTGCTCAGACGGCATTTTCCTCACTTTCAAAATGTCACTGTCACCAGTTGAGTGCTGACGTTTAGCTAACTTTGGTTTAATATCCTCAATCTTAACAGAAGAACTGGCACGTCGCTCCCTCCTCTCCTGACAAGACTGCTGCAGAGGCACATTTTCCATTAGCGAATAACAGCAGCAAGCATGCTTGTCTGAGGTATCTAATTGCACTTGGCACTTGCGTACTGCGTAGGATGGCAAGCGTTTGCATATTTTTATGGCTGAATCAGTAAATCAGTATTTACAAATAATACAAAATAAATTTCTGTGGCCTGACAGAACAATTACAAGAATTAATGAATGTAAATATCAGTAAATATTTAAATCCCCTGCCAATAATTACAATAACCTCAGTCCGTCAGGAAAAATATTCCAATTTCTTTAAATATAATTTGGGAATAATGTGTAAAATGCTAATTATTATAATAATGTAGTTTTTATTGTATTTTTAAGAAATTATGATACCTTTGATAGTGAGTTGAGTATCTCTCCTTTGATATTTTTAGGTCTGTCTTGCCGAGAGGATTTCTGTTGGGATGAAATGTTTGGCTTAGTCCAAGATTTCTCACCTGTTGCCGTGTTGAAAAAGAAAATCTTTCCCGGAGCGTTGGATTTTGACACATGAGCCTTCCAACCATGTGGCAGGTCGTCGTCGATAACAATCTCTGCTTTTGTTTCTGGCTCATGTTTAAAGCTACGGCCACGCTGTAGCTTGGAATCTTTGCCTCCTTTATTAGCTCTCTTTGCTTTTTGGTTCTCCATTATTAAGAGCTGCAAATTTCAAAAAATTTTAATACATAATATACATAAATTTCCAATGAGAGAACTAAAATTTTTGGTCATAATTTAAATTTAAATGGGTAAAGAAATTAAAAAAAAAAAGAATATAAACATCCAGCAGCGAACAGATCTCATTCTCTAACTAAAAATAAGAAATTTCCAGACTATTTCTTTGCTAGTAAATTGTTTTCGTGCCGTACATATCAAAACGTTTACGAGTAAAATTAGAAACAACAACAATTAAGGATGAGATTATGGGCTAAACCTACTGTCAATTAATGCGAGGAAATAAGCAAATTTTCAATATTCACAGCAAGCACTTAGCGACAGGTTTGCAAATATTGTCAAAACATGACAATACATGTTGTAACCTCATGTTGTTGTTTCGTTTTCTTATTTTTGTTCTAATTTCGTCGTCATAGTGACGTCAGACGTCTTGTTGGTCAGATGTCAGATTTCTATTTTGGTTGTGGTGGTGCCATCTCGTGGAGAAAAACCCAAAGAGAAATGGTAAATAAGTCATTTAGTCATTAATCATCGATCATTATCACTTCAATAACCACAACCACCGTTCACATTTTCACAACACAAAATGCTCTTAAGTTAATTTTTCACTGATTTCAATGACATTGGAACAAAATTAATGGCACTCTTAAACGTTTATTGACCACAGCAAATCAAGTTAAGGATATATGCGCAATATTGTAATTATGTAAACTTTGTGAACCCTCAAGCACCACCCCTCCTCCAGATTACTATTATATAAGGAGGAGTTAATCAGAAGGGTTTGGCACGTTTTTTCTTATTATTCATTTTGAGCGGTAAAAAACCAGTTGATTGTATTAATCAGATGATTATATCGTTTTGGCGGGTTAATATGCATTGCGTAGTACGGAGATACGGACGCGTCCTTACGTCAAGTGAGTTTCACAGCGACTTTTCTCGGAAAATCCTAAAAAAATTGAGCTGGATGATGATTAATTCACTTGCAGGGCTTTGCCGAACATTCAGCAGTATGACGAGCAAACCAAATCGGCCTTTTACTGTCGTGGTGGAAGGAAATATTGGCAGCGGCAAGACAACCTTCCTAAACCAGTTCAAGAGGATGCCAGAAGTCATAGCTTTGGCTGAACCCGTTGAAATGTGGCGTGATGCAAATGGGCACAACCTTCTAGTATGCATTATTCAATCATTTAATTTACTCCATACTTAACTATCTGTGTCAAGCTTTTTTCATTCATAATCTAAAAAACGGGTAGAAAATGCGGAACATAAAAATTATCATTTGATTTTCTTGTAGTGAAAATTCATACGTTAAATTGCATGTATTCACCACTCATCACATTATAAACTTATGGTATATTTATGTATTAAAAATCATTTCAATGCAGGACTTGATGTACGAAGACCCATCTAAATATTCAATGGCTTTTCAAAGTTATGTCCAACTGACAATGCTGGAGATGCATCAGGCAAACTTTGACGTTCCCATTAAAGTGATGGAACGCTCGATTCACAGCGCAAGGTTTGAAGAATATTAAATTTTTAATAAGGTTTGGTATTTACACGCTTCTTACCTAACAGGCACTGTTTTGTGGAAAACCTCTACAATTCTGGATTCCTTGCGAGTGTCAACCGTGCCGTTCTTGATGAGTGGTACAAGTGGATCTGCAATACACAGGATGTCAATGCTGATCTCATTGGTTTGCGCTACTTTATTTTTGAAAACCAAGGTTAAATTATTATTAAATGCAATTTCTCCAGTTTATTTGTACACAACCCCAGAGACTGCTTTTGAGAGAATTCAACATAGAAATAGAAATGAAGAGAAAAAGATTTCAATGAGCTACCTAAAGACTTTGCATGACTTGCATGAACACTTCATTCGATCTGGACTAACGAAGCGATTTTGCAAAGCACCAGTAAGTAAATTGCGCTTCAAAAATTCTTAATTTACCTTTTCTATTTAAAAGGTGATAGAGATTGATGCAAACAAGGACTTGTCCGAGTTGTCAGCCAAATTTGATGAATGCCGAGAAAGAATCATGAAGAGCTCAGTTAACAACGACAACCAATTGTTGGAGTTGGAAACCTTGCAGTGAGAATGTTGAGCTCAAAGTATGGTAGTTTGTGTAGAGGCATTTATTAGCAACGTAAAAAGCATTCCTCTCTAAATTTTTATTTCTACGAATCTGTGGCCAATTATCTAAATAGAATTAATTAAAAAAAAAAAAGACAACAAGTTTTGACATTTGCACTTTTTATTGTGTAGAAAAATAAATTTTGAATATGAAATGAAGGTCTTTAAATGATATCACAAAATTTCATCCAATGGTTAAATAGGCTCTGCCACTGTATAAGCATGGTAAAGGCTATCCAAGGCATCTTTTTGATTTTCCATTAGCAAAGCCCGACTTAGCTTGTCAAGTGTAGCAGAAGAACCATTTTTCTCTATCCACAGCCGCAGAAGCTGGTAGATCACCTGATTCATAAAATATCGCAATAAAAATTTATCTTATCGTAATGTGCATAATGCAAAGGACATTGCCCTCATTTAAATGCAGAGGTAAGGACGTGTATTCTCAGGAAGGGCAAACATGAGCATTGGAGCTTAAAAATTTTAAAATATGTGCTATTTGTTTCAACATAAATTTAACAATGTTTGGGCCAAATTACCGCAAAGTACCTCTTCAATTCCTCCCTTATTGATGTACTCCTCGTGCTTGTTTTCAATCTCTGGATTTGTCACTCCCAAGTGTCTCATCACAAATCGCCACGGCTCCCCAATTCTCACGTCCTTTATCTTTGAAGTGGTAACTCGGAGATCACTTCGTTCAAGTAATGCTACATTTAAAAACAAATATCAGTATTAAAAAAAATTAAATTTAATTAACCTACCAGGAAGAATTGTACTTTCATATGACTTTGCCACTGTCATTTTATTTTTCTTCTTTTTTTTATTCTTTGACTTAGAAAAGTTGAAAGTAAGATTATTTCCAATTTGAAAATTATTCGAACACTCCAAATTGATGCAAGAACCTGAATTTTTTATTATTACCGTACAGAATTGCAAATAAGTTATATACTATACTCACTTGTTGCATTTTGAATGAAATTGTTGGTGGGAGGTGATTTAATCACTGTGCTGCATGCTTCCTGTTTTGGCAATTTCTGAGGGGTCATAAAATTGTTTGGCTGCTCCAGGTTGGCGCCCACAAGTGTTGCCAGGGTTTGTGGAGTTGGTGCGGCATCTGTTACAATATTGTGGTCATCATCCATGGCCTAAATGAATGATTTTTTTTTTATTAAAATGCGCTCGATTTTATTAATATCGATTAAAAAAAAAATGCATTTTACATAAGTTTTAAATTAAGTTATATTCAGTGTAAAAATGGAAATCGATCTGTTTTGAAGAAAATTAGTGTCTCTAATTTTTCTGATTTTATCTATAGATTGAGTTTTTTCTAAACAAAAATATTTAAATAATTTTAGAATTGCATAATTAAATCAATATTGGTTTTCTATATAATTATAATCTTCCACAAGTTGCTTATATATGATTAAAAATGATCTTAAAAATTTAAATCAAGCAACAAAATATTACATATTATATTTAATATTTATGCTAGTTTCGCTTGTATTATTTTACTCAGGTTTTAACGTCATAAAACCACAAATTATCTAGAAACGTTCATCATAATATAATACGTAATATTCTGATAAAAATACAAATATAGTACATATACATAATAAATGTCATCCCGTGTGGCCCACAATTTTTATGTAATTATATCGGTAAGAAAGTATTGAAAAAAATGACCTCATAAAATTCTAAAGTACATTTTGTTAGATCCTAAAAGCAAAAAAGACTGCCGATGCGGACGAAAGGTCTCACACAGAATTCTCATGGATCATGGATACGAAAAGTGCAGAAATGATCGAAATATACAGTTAGCATTTTTTGCTGGCGCACCTATATGTCTATGTATCTAGAAGTACATAAGCAAGTTAAAAGGCATTAATATATGTACTGTACTCAATGGGTCAGGTCAAGATAAATTTAGCGTCTCATAATATGCAGTGTGTGGGTGTTCAAAAGAGAAAACAAAAAAAAATTTCACGTCGGGAATGTGCGTTGAACAAATATTAAATTTACAACTTTTCTTGTGAACTGTCAACCTTGTCGCGGCGCCTGCAAGAGCTGATGAGACCATAGATCACACTGCATGTGATGTGAATAGAAAATAACTTGCAACTTCCCCTCCGACTTTATTTTATCGCCTCTTAAGCTACGTACAAAATTAAATATTTGATTTTTGCAATCCTGTGTGCTACAATTATATTAATATTGATACAATCATAATTACTAGATTACTACATTCATAGTTTCTGTCTGGGTCCTTGTCCTAAGTGCAGTGTAGAAGAGGTCTGGGTCGTCTGGGTCCAGGTTTGTCAGTAGTCACGTGACTCTTTTGTTACTACCTTCGAATATTGTGTAAAGCTTAGCCGAATAGCTGCGCATCTGAAATTTTTATATCCTGCGCATTCACCGGAAAGTGGTTTTTCTAGCAAGCAAGAGCAAAAGCTTGAGCAAAAGGTGCGGGCCCATCCTACTCCATTCCCATTCCATTGTGTGCAATTTATCAAAGGGTCCTGCTTCCTGCAGTTCCGCTGTCACTGCATCGATGTCAGTGAAATCACGAATATGTGGAGCATGAATGCGGACAGCGGCCTCTTGAAAATCCGACCACAATAAAGGTGAGCACTACTTCACTGAAATTTCTCCCGTCCGGATGGTTTCGGCCCAGCAGTCGGTGGCCATCGAACAGTTTATTGATCTTTTTGACTGGCTGCCTGCCTACACATTAACTGTTGTTCCTCGCTCCGCACACGAACAAAGAAGCCCGCTACAGTTATGTTTGTGTAATATTTTGCCTAATTCGTAGTTCCGTTTACAGCAGGTTATGGCTGAGTGAGGGCAAAATGACTCATGGCAGGGCGGCCTGGGCCCAAGATTAACAGTCGAGACAGCTCTATTTCATACCCTCATCACAGTCGCCGCATCAAAAAGCAACAACACTCTCGCCCTTTCACTTCATCAAATCACAGTCAGCAGAGAGTCAACCCAAGTCAAACACCAACATTTGGAACTCGCTGTGACTCCGAGCATAGCAAACTACAGCGAGTTTTGGCAAATCAACTGAAGAATGACATATCAAAGTAAGATAAGAACAAAAACTTCACTTTCAATTATTATAACAATTTTTTAGTATATATTGCAAAAAAAATAATAATTTTAACATTTATTATTAATGCTGTAAATTTTTTCTGCAGGGCCTCTGCTGAAGGAATCTTCTGTGATTTGGAATTAGAACTCAATCACACACAAACCATTACCACCCACAACTGCATAGTCGAAGCAAGAGCTCGGAGGTTTTACCTTAGATTCTGCTGTGGGAAGAAAACAAAAACAGACAAGGACACTTGGAGAGTAATTTTACCATTTGGAGTGTCGGAAAATTTAATAAGCGGATTTCTTAGGTAAGAAGTGAAAAATGCAAACACTGCGTTATGCTTTGTAATACTTATGAAGGACAGGGATGTAAACTCAATTTAATAATTTAAATTTATGGCCTTCTGCATAAAATTTACTTCACTTTACCAGTTTCTCTTAAACTTGCCAGTTTGTCAGACGTTTTTCTCATACCTGAAATGTACATTTAATTTATAGCTCCAAAACATTTTATTTTCTTTTGTTATCAGGAACTTGTATAAAGAGGAGGATACTTTCAACGAGGAAAGTTTTATCATCAGCCATATTGACGAATGCCTGGCTACCAGTCCAAATTACGAGGCTTACATCACACCACAACTAACGCCTGGAGACATCAGTGACATTCCGCAAGTCAGGGAAAGTTTGAAAAGGAGCAGCTCATATTACTACTCTCTAGTGACTCTTGACGAACTTGACCAGGAAAAGGACTTATTAGAACAAGAGCTTGAAGAACAAGACGAGCTAATTCGCTCTTTTCAACAGATCAAAGTTGCAAAGAAACCAACCTACCTTAATTTATCAAGAACTAGTCAGCGCACCGAACAAACAAAACAACTTGAAGCATTTTTGGTTGAAGAAATCACACCGCCAATACATGTAGACCCACCAGTTCAAACTGAATCAAGCTTGTCATCTCCATGTTCACTGCACACGCCTGAAGAGATGAGCCGAACTCAAGACTCTGGGATGGAAAGTGGCTTGTATACCACTACAGACGAAACTTTCAAAAGTTTAGCTCCGAGTGACACTTCAGGTGTGTTAGAAGATCAGAAAGCAAACGCCTGTGCTACAATGGCTAGCATTTCTGACGCAGAATCCGATCGAGAGGATTTACCTCTGGAGGAAAACAAAGTGGAAGAGAAGAAAGAGAAAATTGTGAAAAGTGTTGAAGCGCTGATTAGTCTTGATTCACTTCAGTCCGAGAAGAAAAGTGAAGAGCGTGATGAACTTCTAATTGACTTTAGTGACAGCCCTGTGAAAAAACCAAACCTTGAAGCAGCCTCCAGGATGAAGAATGGAAAATTTAGTGAACAAATTTCCAAGTCACTTTTAGAAATGCAAGATTTGATTTTCTTGCAAGACGTGGGATCAACTCAAAGTGTTGAGCCTAAGAGGGATGAACCATTTTGTCTAATTACAAGTATTGAGCAGGACTATCTAGAGTTGAGCAGTATTGCAACTTCAAGCAAAATCAACAGCTCTGCTATACCTCAATTTAACACTTACGACGTCAACAAGTCGTCAAACAGGAGCAGTGGAAATTATTTCATTGACGCATCCTCGCTCTTGGACGAAACAGAAATTCCTTCCACCGACTGGATGTCAAGCAAACCAGATGAAAAAATATCAATAGCCGGAGTCACCACTTCTAGCAGTAGTGACGCACCAAATGTTACAGCAAAAAACCTTGTAACTTTTGCCGCTGCTAACATGGAAAGCCCAATTTTAATAACACAAGTCCAGCGAGCACAAGAAAAAAGGGAACTAACAGAACATGAACAGGTACTTAAAAACAAGTTGGAAGTTATTGCCAAGTACAAGGAAGAAGCAAGTGACCCTCCCGACAGGCAAGATATTGAGAAAAAGCAAGGAAGTCTCCTATTCAAAGGCTCTATACCAGCCTATTCAAAACACGTCACAGGTTCTGAGGGACAATTGACTGGAAACAAATTAGAGGAACCTCCCTTTCCTAGCATAGACTTTACTAAAGTAAACACCACTGCCCAAGATGTGCAGACTCCTGACTCCTTAAATGGTATTGTTGATGAAGATTTTGGAAGTCACAACGCAAGTGTTGGTAAAGAATGCAAAGTTGGAGGTGAAAAGTCTGCAAGTATCAAGCCTCCAACTGAAACTCCTACGTCAAGCCCATACTTTGCAAGGAAACTTGACGCCACAGCCTGGGTGGTGGATATGGGAGAGCCAGTCAATTGCAATGCGGTGAAAAAACCAAAGAAGAATTTTCTCTCATCACAACTTGCTACAGTAAAATTAGAAGACCAAGAACCAGAAAACGTTAAGCGGAAAAATAGCGGACTTGGTTTCTTTGTGGACATTTCCGACAGTGATACTACTCCGCAGACAACACCGCGGCAAGAGAAGGAAAAAGAACCAGAACCCGAAGAAGACAAAAAGAAATCTTCTTTCTTTTACATAGATATTGGTAAGGCTTATTTTTTTTTTTTTATAAATTCCAAGTAGATTAAATTTTTTGGGTTATTTTTGCAGGAAATGGCAAGGCAAAATCTGAAATTCCAAAGAAGCTTGCTGAGAGGAGACCGTTTTCTAGAGAAGTGTCAAGAGAAGAGGAAAGAAAGGATGATGAAATTGTGGTTAAAAGAAGATCGGGCCATAGCATCAAATCAAGCACAAATCGTCTCTCTTGGCATGAAGCAAAGGCTGCAGAAGACCAAAAAAAGCACAAGCGGGCGCAGAGTTTGTCTGGAGAAATTAAACCTGATGGTCTTCAAAAGTCTGACTCCATGACAAAAATAGAATCTGGCTCTCGACAAGATTCTTCTATCAAAGATAAGTCTGAGAAGGAATCGTGCAGCCTTGACGAATCCTTGATCTGCGAGAAAAAGGTGGCTGCAAAGTCAGACTTAGAAACTTTGTCTGAATACACAAAAGTATCAAGGACCTTTGTTAGACTGTCTGATATGGATAATAGGAGCACACTGAGGCCAGATAGCAAACTTTCAAGAGAAGGAAGGCCTTATAGTAAAAAAGTTGAAGAGACGTCTTGGATTGAAAATAAGTTGATGGTTCGAGACTCCAGAAGCTCGATGAGAAGCAAAAGTCCTGGCAAAGGTCTTTTGATGTGCCACAGTCCCAACCAAGACACGGATGAATCAGAAATGAGCAGCATGCAGAGCAGTGTGGACAGATCGGTTATAGGTAATTGGAACGCCTCATATTTTTACTGGTAAAACATTTTATTTCCGCCTAGATGCTAGCACTGAGGAAACGGATATTTCGTCATCTCTGCCTCACAGAGGAGGTCCTTGTTCGCGATTGGGAGAAGATTTACTAAGGATGTTTATTGAAGAAATAAACACGGATGTTGTGGTGGATGTTGCTGGACGAAGGATCAAAGCCCACAAGTGTATTTTGTCATCACGCTGCCAATATTTTGCTGCAATGTTAAGTGGAGGTTGGGTCGAGAGCGCTGGGAATGTGATTTCCATTCAAGGGTAAACAGCACATTTTTTTGTTTTACGCCGATGGGACTATTGATGTTTTTTCTGTAGATTTAGCTTTCATGCAGTGCATTTTGCTTTGAGCCACATCTATTCTGGAACCAACAATATACCGGACAGCTTAAGTATTGTGGAGTTGGCCACTCTGACTGATATGCTAGGGCTTGAGGGCCTCAAGGAAGTGATAATGTATACTTTAAAAGTAAAATACTGTCACTTTTTTCACAAGGTAAAAGGAATTAATTGAATTTCAATTGGAACCTAAAATTCCATATTCAAACTTAGCCCTGTTCTGTTTGTGCGGTTGGTGTGCTGGAATGTCTGCCACTTGCTGCTGCTTATGGACTAGATGAAATTTATCACAAGAGCTTAAAATGGATTACTAAGTATTTTGTTCGTATCTGGCCAAGCAAAGCGTTTGCCAACTTGCCGAGAGAATTGGTAGATAAGTGCTACCTCCAGCATGTTGTTCATATGGTTCGGTCTTTAACAGCTAGTGTTGTTTTAAATTAACATTTGTTTTTATTTAGAGCGTGGACAATGTTCTTGACACTGTTATGAGCTGTGATCGCCTGCTGGCCACATTGCCGAGTGTGCGTTGGGCAGAAGCAGTGTATGCACTAACTTCACAATTACTGGACGCTTGCGTTACTTTCATGGCTGAGCATTTCAGCAGCGTTTTGTCCAGCGAGAGGTGTGATTGATTTGATTTGAAAACCTTAGAAAGTAACAATTTTCACAGGTTTGTTAGCTTGGGCAAAGAGCTGAGTTGGAATATCAGCAGACTGGAAGACAGTATCATGAGTGCAGTAGACTGCCTTCCACCAGAACAGGCCTGCCAGAGCCACACAAAGCTGAGCAGAATTTTAACCGTTGCTGCTGCACCAGAGCCACCACTCGAAATGCAGTGGAGTGCTGTAAGTAGCTTTCTCTCTGTTCTAAATCATCTCTTGATATTATCTTTTGTCTCTTTTAGAGTTTTGTCGAGTTGCTTGAAAGAATCAAAGTTCGCGTTGAGGCTGGGCTAATTCGAATGGGCTCTAGGGCCATGAGGTGTAAATCTTGGGCTATGCTTGCGTCAAGTATTCGGACCAAAGTACAAGAGTCTGCTTGCCTTGGACATGACGTAGAAGATTCTCGAAGGTCGCGCTCCCTTAGCTTGACAAAGGTCAGTTCCTTAATTTTGTTTAAAATACAACATTTAAAATTGTTGTTAATAATTTTAGAATGGTAAACGTTCGAGAGGAGGAAGTGCAGGCAGTTCTTATGGTTCGGCCCCAAGATACCAAGGGGGTCGATTGATTGGAGCAGCTCCGCCAAACCTTGACCTCCGACAAGTAACTTTGGCTATGACTCGTGGCCAACCAGTTGCGACGGTCCAGCCAATGCCACAGCGAAAAGCGCCAGAGGCTTCCACATCCACTCACCATCCTGAAGTTGTTTTGCGGAAGAGACAGACCAGAGGACGACCATCAGCGACCACTAAAGTTGAGAGTAGACTGACAAAATCTGATATAAGCTCATCGAGACCAAAGTCGTGGCCACAAAAAGTTATGGAGGTATATTTATTTGTGCTATTATATTATATTGCACTCTAATAATTTTTGTTTAAAACTAGAACCAAACCAAAGCAGCACAAAAGGGTGTTGGCACCAGCAACAGCTCCAGTGCCACAGGCACAAGAACAGCAACTCCGGAGAAGTCGTCCGTGCCTGCCCGTGTCAAGCAGTCAAGTTCCGAGTCTTCCAGGACGTCCTCTCCAGCTTTCAAGGACAAGCAGCGTCCCCAAGCAATAGCCGCACGCAAACCTCTAGAGCCAATGAAGTCGGCGTCATCATCGCATATTCCTGTCGCAAAACCGTTCCTCTCTCCAGTTCTTCGCGGCTCTCGCATTTCTGACTCGGCCTCCAGTAAATCCGTTTCGGAAACGCGAACCAAAAACTCGCCTATTCCCGCACTTAGGTCCCGCATAATGAATCGTTCGTCTCAACCATGCTTGACTGATCGAAGGCCCTCCAACAGTTCAATTGGAGGCAAGAGTTCAACAGCGTCCTCGCCAGCCAAGCAGGCCAGCAACCCTTCAATTCCGTCATCTCCAGCACGAAAGAAACCACCTGCTAAAGAAGAGCAAAGACCACCTTTCCGGTTTGGAGGTTCGTCGTCAGCAGAGCGCAAACCAAATATCTTGATGGAGAGGGCAAAGGCAGCGGCCCCCAAACGACCTCTAAAAGGCCAAGAAAATAAAGTCGTTGCAAAGAAAGTAGAGCCATTGAAGCGGCGTCAGCCAATGCCTTTGTCACAATCAAGCTCGGCACCGGCTATCAACAAGGGCTTTAAACCGAAACTCCTAAGCAATTCTTCACGGTCAGGCACCTTCCTTAAAGATGAACCAACTATTCTCAAAAAGCCAGTAATTAAATAGGATAGAAATATGTTTTGAAGTAAGAATGATTAATAACATACCCTTTACTAGTTCCTCTTGAGCCCCTAGTCAGCTAATCACATTTTTGTTAAACTAGTTATGAGGTTGCCTGTCAAAATGAATGGTGTTGTGCTTTAGGATTGGTTTGCTTCATTTATGCAGCACAAACACTAAAATTCCTGTACTTTTGCTGCATTTAATATCTGTTGTTCCACGCTTCTACTTAAAAGACTTAATTGCATTTTACATAATTTTAGGAATCTCGAAATTTCTGTATGCATCACTGTATGCAAAATCAAGTTAGAAAATTTCTCCATTCCATTGGTTCTATCCTAAAATTAAATTGTTTAAGTAAAGTGTTCTACACTCTTTGAAGTCCTCAGATGTAATGATTGAGTGGAACTCCTTTAATTGGATTTTATGTTGCATTTCATTGTTCTGTGATAGTCACATCTAGCTAAATTTTGACTGTGTGAAAGAAGTGAATTTAATTTGAGTGGCTGACTCAGAGCATCCTTGATATTTTCAGCATAGTTAAGTTTGATATTATTTAAATGAAGGTCATATAGTTGCAAATTGTGACTACATTTAATGGTTATTTATGTATAGTCAAATGAGAACAATATTAACTAAATTATCAATCCAAAATTGCAATTATGATGCAAATAGTGTTTAAAATTGTTAACAATTATTCGATAAACCAAAAACAAAAAAATATAGTTAACAACCTATGTACTATAATATAATGCTTCATTTAGGAATAGACGGTGAAATAAATTTGCAATATATGTTTAAGTACCTGGTTTATGCAATTTGTGTTTTGTCACAGCACTCATAGCCAAATAATTGCGTAATTTGCAATTTCACAAGCTGCGATCATTATTTTGTGTCTGCCTGAAACTATTAATTCTTAATAATTCCACAAACTTGCTGTTTTAAATGTAAATGAAATATTTTGCTGCTTAAAAAGTACTTACCTTTTACTCCAAGCTTGTCACTTAACTGTCTGTGCAATGTGCATTTTTATATTAAATATCGTGTTTTGGTTGTGTTTTCTATCTGAAATTTAAACTTGTTGTATGTAACAGCTCATCTTTGCTGATAATATATCCATACAAATGTAATAGTACTTCACACACAAAATTAAATATTTACTAAGAAGGTGAATAATAATAAACTATATTATATGATAAGAGAAAGCAAAAGTTGAGATTGAAAGAAATTAAAAATTCTTCCCACAAAAGTACTTATTACGTCTTATATTGGAGAAGATAAAATTATTTTGTTTAACTAAGGGGTACTGTAATGTGTAATGTGAGCTGTAAAAAGCGGCCACAAAAATAGATTTGACACTTATGATTTTTATCCCTCTAAAGAAATATATATTTTGGAATTACATTGCTAATAGGCAAATCGTTTTTTAATGCATTTTTTGTTGAGTTATTTTGAAGGCCATGTGTTTCATTTCTATGGAAAAATAAAGCACTGAAGGTATTACCATGAACAAAAACTGAATTTACTCCATATTTTTATATAATCGACCTGCGTCACACACACGTGCTACGCTCGGTCATGCTCTAATGCTTAAAATGTTTATTGGTCAGAACTGTAACCATGGCAACTATTAAGCAATGCACCAACAAAGACACGGCGAAACATTAAAATACAACAATCAACTTCGGTGTTTTAAAATTAGATTCTTGAAAATCTGATTCGAAAAATTCTTTCAAATGTTGCATTCCGAAAGGCGCTACCCAAAGAGCCGCAGTAAGAATTTTTATTTATTTTTATTATATTAATCACACTGTGATTTTCTAATTCCTATAGCAATGAGCGCTCAAGCGAGGAGTTCGTCAGTCAGCCGGTTGTCTTTATTGGATAGGGCCGAATTAGAGGAAAAGTTTGCAAAGTCGCTCAGTGAGAGCAATGAACTCAAGAAAAGAAATAACGAGCTCCAAGATTCCTTGAGGCAGTTGAAGGCAAGGCTTCGCTGGCCTGCGCATTTACAGGAAGCCGTCCTGAGCAAAGAAACCCAGCAGCAGGCTCAAAGCTTAAAAGCTATGGAGATGCAAAATTCGCAGCTCATTGAAAAGTGTCATCATTATGAACACGTTATTGGAAAACTTGAGGATCGGCTAGAGTCCAACAAAGATTTCCCCGAGGAAGTTTGCAGCAAAATTTTAAGGGTGCCTGAAGATTCTGTGAACGCAGAGAGGCTTCAAAATAACGGACACAAGTAAATTTTTATGAAAATAAAATAACAAAATAATTTTCTTGGGATAAAATTAATTCAGCTTGGCCACGCCAATTCGGTGCTCTGATAAACCCACACCTTCTGATAGCCACTACGCTGCTGTTAAAAAAGCTATGGACGAATGGAAAAGTCATGCACTTGCCTATAAACAGGTACATTTAAGGCGCCCTATTTTTTTTGTAAGTCCTTTTTAATCACATTAATAATTTTAGCAAGCTGCAGAAGCAGTCACAAGACTGAAAGACACAGAAGAGCGACTAGCCCAAATGTTGAGGCTTCACACATTGGACTCAGCGGAGCTAATTCGCACCTCAAGGGCCTCAAAGCATTCAATGGCGCAGCTCACAACTATACAAGACGAGAATAGGCTTTTGAAAGATGCAGTTAAAAAGTTTCAGGAGAAGTTTGGTATATTGAAATAAAAATTTGGTGGACCTTTTTTTTAAATTTAAAAATAACTAATAGAAAATGACAAAATTTGTAATTAATTTTAGAGGATGTGGTTGGACAGCTAGAGGCTGAAAAATTAAGAAACGTCGAGCTTCAGGAAGCAGCATCACAAGTCTTGCAGCTGCAAAGGGGGAATTCGGAGCTACTCATAGAAATTGAAGATCTAAAGGTATAAGTCTCATCTTGAAATAAGCGGAGTAAACAAAATTAATAATGAAAAAATTGCACACCAGAAGGAAAAGTCTGCTATACAAGGCCAGATGAATAATGTGGTTCGCGAGGCAGGAAAAGTGCCAGAAGCGTTGGAGTTGGAGACAAAGCACCTGAGGAAGCAACTCGACGTCTTGAGAACAGAACATGCCGCTGACCTGAAGAAAATTCAGCAAGAATTGGAGGAAAAGTGTCAAGCCTTAGCAAATTTCAGAGAGCACGAGGAAGAGCTGAGATCAAAACTGAATGGGCTGCAGTGCCACAAGCTGCCGACAAAGGAGCCGACCCAGCACAAGATGACGCAGACCATTAATTTCGAAGTTGATTTAAAGGCAATTTGATATACCTTTTATGCAACATAAAATAAAATGCCAATTTCTCCAAGTATAGCCACCAGAGGCCACAGTGGAATTAACCAACGAAGAGAGTGATCAGATGCTCTCACAAATGAGTGTCGAGGTCGAGGTGCACAAGCAAGCAATGAGGTCTATGCAGAGCATGTGCGAGTCCTACAAGAAGGAAGTAAAGTCAATTTACATATTGTTTTAATATCAGAGATATAAACTAGAATTATTATATATAAGCTTGAGGGCCTCCACGATCAACTGCAAACGGAGAGAAAGAGCTACGCTCGTCAGTTGAGCCTTGAAATGGCCCAGTTTAAAGCTCTGCAGGAGCAGTTGAAAAACCACACCATCAACAACCAGTTAGTTGTGACAGCAGATGTTGAGCCGAGTAAGAAAACTCCAAAACCAAAGCCGAGAAAAATCTCAAATCCTGTTAGGAAAGCTGAAGAACATTGTGCAGAACCTGATACAAAGGCAATTTTCCCCTCTGCCCTACTTATTGATAATGTTTGCTTAATTGGTATCATATTGCAGGAGCTTGTTTTGGAAATAGAAAGTCTTGAGGTGCCTGAGAAAAGCTTGATTGCGGGAATATCAGAGTTTAAGAAGTTCTTCATCGAGTTCAAATTGGTCACCTCAAAGGGCGAACAATCGGAAATACGTGAAACTCCAGAAAATTACCCACTTCCAACTTCCCATCTCAGCCCAGCTATTGTAGGGCACAAGCATATCTGGCAGGTTCAAGAGCATCAAAGTCTCTTCGGAAACACAGATTGTCTCATTCAGTTTGATCTTGTTGCTGACAATGATAATGAACCAGACGACGCATGCACGGAAATAGGGTAAGTAACATAAAATTACTAAAAACCCTTTTCAGTTAAAATTTGCACAGGATTGGAAAATTGCCCTTGTCTGAGCTCCTCAATGTGGCTAAGCCAAATATACCCGTCTGCTTGGACGTGCCAGTTCGTATCGAAGAGGACGATGAGACAGTTGCCCATCTGAAAGTTGCTTTGACCAAGTTGATTTAAAATACTATAGGAAGTTTTTGAGTCCGAGTAAATAGATTATTCATTATAGATTTATACAGATGATTAATTTAATTAAATGCAACAACAAACTTTTAAATGTTGTGTTTTTGGATAACACTAAAAATTATTACTAAAAATGTGTATAAGCTTTATATAACAACAGAAAAATTTTCCCTTGAAACCCCAAATTTACCTTGCAATCAGACCTTATTGGTGATTCATCACAAATATTAATTAACTTAGATTTAACCGTTAGCAATGTAGCGTGGTTTTAATACATACTGACTAGAATAAGGGATTACTTTGCACCTCCACAAGCCCCTCGTTGACCTCTATGTTTCCATCAGCAGGGGTTGGAGCAGAGGACATTGGAGACTCAAGAACGCCTAATTCAATAGATTCCTTTTCAAGTTCCATCAACTGCCGTCTTGAAATAGAGAGATAAATTTTTATCCAATAAAAACTATAAGTTATAAACAAAGTCTACCTTAATTTAGCAGCTTTACTTCTCAGCTCTTTATCCTTCATGTTCAGTTCCATGATTGCATCATTGGCAGCTTTCATTCTTGTGCTCACACCGTCAGCCGAAGCAGGCGAGTAGCGTAAGAAAAGTTCCCTCCACAAAATCAAACTCATGGGTGCGACGGAGGGCCAAATGACCCTTGAGTTGGGTTCATACATTGTGTTCATCAACGACGGTAGTACCTCAGGCCTATTGAGGTGAGACCAAAGGCTCACTGTCTTCTTAAAAAGTTTTAATTGTTCTCTGTCAGCCTCACAGTTACCAAGGAATGTGCCTAAAATATTTATAAATGGCAATTACTAATTTATACAGTAATGATAACTAAAAGGCAAATACCGAATTGGGAGCTGTACGAATGCTCAAAGAGCAAGGTCAACAAATGGGTGTTGAATTCAAAAGAGCAAGGAAATTGGCAGTGAATTTGGAAAACGCAATCCAAGAAGAGCAGGAATGTGCAAGCTTGCTGGCCTTTGACAATGCCACTTTTGTTGCTCCCTGGAACAACGCTGCTGCCTCCCACTGAAAAGCAGCTCTTCTTATGACGCAATGTAAAAGGGTGACCGGCTTGCAGCCACTCTCGCTCAACCAAGGCCTCCAACCTAAGTTCATAATCAAATAAGCACCCAATTTTTTCTTTTAAATCAAATCAGTTTCTAACCCTCTGACTGTTCTGCAATCTGGGTTTAAAATTATTTGGGCAAGAGATGCCACTAGTAGGGTCGAATCTAGCCCCTCGGATCCATGCACCAGAACAGACGCACCTTCCTGGTCAAGGCACTGAGCGACAAGGCAAGCGCAGTTCAATGAATCCTTCACATGACTCAGCCAGTTTGAATTCTCAACTCGAGACAGCCACTTGTCAATAGAACTAGTGACGTCATTGGCAGCTTTAAAAAAAAATTAATAAATAATGATAATTCTAGTTGAAAGTTTATTATACTGACCATCAACTAATTTAGCAAGGCTGTCCAGGTACGCTGCTTGTCGGTCGATAGGCTTGTGAACTCTTTTCCAGAGAGGATAGTGCGCCTCAGGTTCAACACCACCGCCTCGAGCCTATCCACAGATATTTATAAAATACCTTTAACTTGAAAATATAGAAATATTTTACTTTTGCAGTTTGCGCAAGGCTTTGAGATCTTGTATCAACAATATAGCCCTTCTTGCCAGGGCCCAAAACTGAGTTAACTAATTTTTCGTCCTCTTTGCATCTCTTAATTCCCGGTCCTGCCAGTGGCTGACTTGCTCGGAGAAGCACGGACTATTAAAAAGAAAAAATCAATTTTTTGGCCAAATTGAAAAGATTTTAGCTTACGCTTCCTTCGTGTTTGTAGCTCAAAATAGGAAACCGCCCTCCTTGTCTGAACTTTGATGCTGCGATCAATGTGTCATCGTCTATATTTTTAGGCACGACGACAGCACTAGGATAACTGCCGCACACCTTAAAAACAACAGCTTTTAAAGATTGTGCTGAAATGTGGGAAATTTTTCCTACTGAGAAATCCTTGTTGACGTAACTAATCCTCCACTCTTCGTTTGAACCGGGCACAAGTAATTTCGAAAATTCGCTTTCGGTGTTGAATGCACTCCAACCATCCTCAAGCATGTTATAAACAGGCCGGTAGAAAAACGGGTAGAGGAGAGTCATGTTATCTGCATTTTATAAATAACATTAAGCAATTGAGTTTGTTTTTCTAACAATTAATTGAACCTAAGGTTGACAGCCACTCCAGGGAGTTTGCAACGTTTGTGAATTTTTCATAGCCATTAATTTCCAGCTGAATGATTCTGAAATCCTTGCATTTCACAATGATTAAACCACCGACAACTCCGTTTGGCTTTCGATCAACAGTATCTATGTTTTGATGCAGGATCTAATAAGAGTTGCAAAAGTCAAGAGAGAAAATTGATGTTAGAATTAATCATATTTAAATGGTCCGGATAGTTTAGGGACAAACCCAAAGTTCTTCGACTCCCTCTTTCCTAGCGGACAGGATTAGGTGGTGCGAGCTGACACACAGCGAAACCTCCACTTGTTTGCCATTGTGGGTATACAAGGTGACATTGTCCACCTTTGACGTTTTTATGAGCTCCACAAACTCCATTTTTCAGATCTTGCAATAATCTCCTATTATGTTCTGCAAAAATAAATTAAAATATGAAATTAGATATGTATTGGAGGTGAAAACATAGTACAATTAATTGAGTTAAAACAAGATCCACTAAAAATAAATTAATTAATGCACACAACGAACCACTTTTCTAAATCTCTCTTTTCATGAATATTCCCATTACTTGCAACGTCTTTGTAGATTCATAATTTTTATGGAGGATTTAACGATGTAAAAGTGCTTCCAAATGCATGCACAATTTGCTACTTGAAATTTACAGATCACAAGAACACAAGGAAGTTTAATTTTGTAGCCCTTTATGTTGTTATGTCTACTGCCTATGTTTATCAATCAGGTGTGCGAAGTGCGAAGAGGGGATGAAATAGGGGGCGTGACGATTTTTGTTGACCGGGTGTTGACTTTTGTGGACCCGTGTTGTCTGCAGCCAAAAGTGCAAAAACGCAACTGAAGAATTGGGAAAAGGCCAAGGGTGCCACGAGCTGAAACTTTTGTGCTTCACTTTAAATATTGACACCAGGAGAAATTAAATTTTTGCGTATAGATCCGCTGAGCTTTTTCCGCTCAAATATCGGTTTCAATTTTTGCATCCGATCTTCTCAGTCTTGGGCACAAAGGCTTTCTATGAGTTGATCAGCGTGATATAGCCGCATACGCATTTTATTATAGCTGGTTCGCTAAAAATAGCCCCCTGCGATGGTTTAACAATCCGAACGAAAATCCAAACGCACAATGTCGGCTGCACATCCGGCCCTCTATTTAAGGGCAGCCAAAAACCGACCTCTTCTTTTCCGGCAGTCCATCCGACTGATCAACCAAAGTCAAGTGGAGTCAACCCCCAACGAAGATGCTTTGCCGTCAAAGGCACGAGTGGTCATTTGCGGTGGTGGAGTTCAAGGGGCGGCGGTTGCGTACGAACTGGCAAAATTGGGCCTTGGAAACGAAACTGTTTTGCTGGAGCAGGGAAGGTACATAATATTTTGTTTAATATTTTTTTGTTTTAAGATTTTGTTTTTAGATTGGGTGGAGGCAGCACTTGGCACTCAACAGGTCTTGTTTCCACCCTGAGGAACACATACACAGAGACCAGATTGGCCAAGGATAGTGTGGCACTCTACAATGAGTTGGATGCTGTGAGCCTCAAGACTGGTTGGAGGCAGTGCGGCAGTTTGTCCATTGCCAGGACTAAAGACAGGATGACTATGTTTAGAAGAATCAAAGCCAGAGCCCAGTTGAGCCTTTTTTATTAAAAAAATGCAGTTTTTGTAAAAATAATTTTATTTTTCAGAGCGTGGAAAATTCCTTGTGAAATAATTTCCGTGAATGAAGTAGCTAGCAAGTGTCCTATCATTTTGACCTCGGACGTCCTTGGCGGACTTTGGGTGCCTGGAGATGGTGTAGGAGACCCGTACGAGATTTGTGTCTCCTTGATTGCTGCAGCTAAGAAAAAAGGTTGACTCCTCTTTAAAATTTTACGTCAAGATTAGTTTAATTTTTTTATTTTCTAGACGTGAAAATTGTTGAGAACTGTTACATCCAGAAAGTTTTGGAGGAAAAGGGCCGAGTGTCAGCTGTTGAAACTAACAAAGGCACAATTCAGTGTGATGTTTTTGTAAATTGCGGAGGTCTCTGGGCCCGCCGAGTTGGAAAACTAAGTCAAACTCCTGTTAAAGTTCCTCTACACCCAGCAGAGCATTATTGTTTGCACACAAAAGTAATACCTGGACTAGACCCCAATACTCCAGGTATAAAAACTTGAATTCAATTTACATGTTCTGAATTTAATTTTGTTACTAGTTGTGAAAGACGAGGATGGGCAGATTTATTTCAGAGAAAACGAAGGCAAGCTGCTGATAGGTGGCTTTGAATTATCCGCAAAGCCTGCGTTTGAAGATGGCAAAGTTCCAGGTAGAAAAAAAAATAGTATACAATAGTAACAATTAAAAACAAACATAATAATAATTTTAGATAACTTTTCCCACCAAAGTTTGATTCCCGATTGGGATCACTTCCATGTTTTATTGGAACAAATGCTGCATCGCATCCCATCATTGAGTGATGTGGTCGTCGAAAGACTCTGTAATGGGCCTGAGGCTTTTTCTCCCGATGGAAAGTGGATTTTGGGAGAAGCCCCAGAGGTGAAGAACTACTACGTGGCAGCTGGCGCAAACACAGTAGGGCTGACAGCAGCTGGTGGACTTGCTAAGGCTACCGCAGGACTGATTGTTGGCCAACAGGGAGTGATGCCAGCAGATTCATATGACTTGGAATTGAGTCGGTTTTTGGGGTTGCACAATAACCGACGATTCCTAAGAGATAGGGTCAAGGAAGTGCCAGGTAAAAATAGTAAGAAATCTTAAAAATTAACTTTACTGAAATGGTTTTCAATATGTAGGCATGCATTTCAAACTGCCATATCCTTTCCAAGAATTCACGACTGGCAGGAATTTACGAATGTCCCCAATTTACCCGAGACTTCGACAGGATGGTGCCGTTTTTGGGCAAGTTATGGGATACGAAAGACCCTCTTACTTTGATACATCAGTTGATAGTGAAGCAGCAAGCTCTGCAGGTTAGTCTTGACATTTTTTTATTTTTTATTATTGAACACTCAATTTAAAATGTGGTTATCATTAGACTCGCCCGACTACGAGCAACACTATGGATTGAGACCTTACAGGATTGCAAACACAAACACCTTTGGAAAACCTCCATGGTTTGACATAGTAGAGTCCGAGTACACAGCTTGTCGCGAAACTGTTGGACTGAGTGATTACTCATCTTTTACAAAAATGGATCTATGGGTAATTTTCTTATTATTTGTTATTTCAATATTACAGTTATTTTTATTTTACACAGTCTAAGGGCCCTGAAGTTATTGACTTTTTGCAAAGAATTTGTTCCAATGATGTTGATATTCCTATTGGTGGTATTATTCACACTGGTATGCAAAACGAACGGGGAGGTTATGAAAACGATTGCAGCTTTGCTCGACTTGCTGAGAACAGGTAAAATTATATAATTTTATTAAATTGGTGTTTCTACTTTAAATTTTTGCTTAGATTTATGATGATAGCACCAACCATTCAGCAAACTCGCTGCAAGGCATGGATGAAACGACATAAGCCGTCTGATGGTTCTGTAGCAATATCAGACGTCACTTCCATGTACACCGCCATTTGCGTGATGGGTCCTCACGCCATCCCTCTGCTGTCGGAACTTGCTGACGTGGACCTGAATCCGACCTTCTTTCCATTTTTTACTTTCAAAGAACTTGACGTTGGGCTTGCCAGTGGCATTAGAGCCATGAATTTGACCCATACTGGAGAACTCGGCTGCGTTCTGTATATTCCGAATGAGGTATTAGAAAAAAAACAGACTGAACTGATCTAATAAAAAAATTTGCAGTTTGCCCTTCATGTTTACTCCGGCCTTGTAGAGTTTGGAAAGAAGTATGGCTTGCAGCACTGCGGATACTACGCAATGAGGGCACTCCGAATAGAAAAGTTTTACGCTTTTTGGGGTCAAGACCTGGACACAAGCACAACACCCCTAGAATGTGGGCGCTCATTTAGAGTTAAATTTGATGTTAGTCAGTCTTCTAGACAAAAGAGACAGTTTAATAAAAAAAAGTTTGTTTAGAAAAAAGAAAACTTTATCGGGAAGGATGCTCTTTTGAAGCAGCGTGAGGAGGGAGTCAAGAGAATGTATGTGCAGTTAATTCTTCAAGACCATGATCCCGAAGTTGACCTTTGGCCGTGGGGAGGAGAACCCATTTTACGTGACGGCCGTTATGTTGGTGCCACAACCACCACTGGTTACGGATTCACTCTTGGCAGACAGGTCATTTTATTGAATGCACTGCTCGTCGTAAAGACCTAGCTAATAAAATTAAATTCAACAGGTCTGCTTGGGTTTTGTTCAAAACCGGGACGAAAAAGGGAACACTGGTCTTGTGACGACTGACTATGTTCTGAGTGGGGAATACCAGGTAGACATCGCTGGAGTCAAGTACGAAGCCAAAGTCAATTTGCACTCGCCCGTCCTGCCAACCAAATACACCCCCATTGACCCTGAGAGACTTCGTTACCAAGCTACTCGGCCGCACATAAAGTAAGCAACTAATGATAAGATTGATAAGACTTCTGTTTGTCAGCTAATTTATATTTGTGCCATGCTATACCTATATAGTGACTTACTAGGGAATCGATTATTTAAAAATACATTAAACATAATCTGTGATCTGAATGTTGAAACAAATGATAATAATTAAATATAACCATTATTATCAGAAAAGTTTTATTTATTTTATTTAAAAAACAAATTCCACTAGTCCTCCATTGTTTGGGTCATTGTAGTTCCTAATGTGCTGATAGCCATCATTTTGAACTTGCTGCGAGTCGCCGCAATCAGATGCACCAGAATACATCCAAGTCAAACCTCCCTTTAAAATTAAATTAGTCAAAACCTCTAATTATTTATGTTTATTTTTACGCTGTAGCCGTTGAAATAGAGATGGTCGAACATGGTAGGCAGGCCCAAATTTTCTCCACAACTTGCCGAAAATTCTCCAATCAAAACTGGCTTGTCCAACGTAAACTCCGATGCAGTGTGCTGATTTTAAAGCAAACATTTGATATATTGAATTATTTTAATAATTAAAATATTGCATTATATCGCACCTTAAATGGAGAGGTTGAACTAAAAGCTCCATTGTAAGAGTAGGTGTGGATTTGGTAGAAATCAACAGTTCCACCTGGCTTTCCACCAATTCTTTCCAGACATTCGTCAGTGTAATAGTTTTCTAGTAAAATAATTTAGCCAAATGAAAATATAATAATGAAAAAAAAATTACTAACTCTTTCCAAGGCTATCAGAAGCAGATTGCTCAGACCAAGTTCCAACAGCTCTGAGAACATTGGGGTCTGTGTTTCGGATTGCAGCCAGTTGCCAATTCAAAAACCGCAACATCCTTTTTTATCAAAATCATTAATAAAGATACATTACTTCAAATATTTTCAATTATTAAAAACCTTTCCATTGGGATATTGGCACCGGACCAACCAGGTCCTTGGCCACTTAAAGCAGAAGTATCAGCACATGGGTCAGGGTGAGAGCCTGGAAGAACAGAGCCTTCGGGCTCGTTCATGATTTCCCAAGCGCCGATTGCTGGGTGGCCAGCCAAGGCAGACACCATTGGCTTCATATTGAAAAAAAAATTATTTATAATATAAGTAAAAAATTAATTTATGTTACTATTAAAGCGTTGTCAATATAAGACTGCAGTTTAGCATCGTCCCAATGCAAATTCAGCACGTTTTGATTTCTCATAAGTGCTGCATTCCATAGAACTGGGATCACCACAATATTTTGCGCTTGAGCTGCGTCGAAGAAGCGCCTCAGGTCATTGATCATAGTACCCGTGTTATCCAGTCCAGTGACATAGCCGTTCGAGTCCCACTGCGGAGTGTTGTCGCCCTCGACGTGAATCCAGATGCCTTTTTTTATTTATTGAGGAATATAAAAAAATTTTCTTATTTTATCATATAATTTATATATCTCTATCAAAAATCGAATTTCACTCACGAACTGCGTTGCCCCCATTGGCACTGATAGACCGGAGTTGGCTTTCCAGAGCTCCGCCGTTCACATCATACATGCCATTGCCGAAGTCATAGCCGTACGATTGCCACGCAATATTTGGTCCAGAGAGGAACACTTTTTGGCCATTTATGCTCAAGTAGCCTAATAAATGTAAATTAAAAGTTTTAGTTTTCAATATAAATTTGGGAATAAACTATCACCTGAGGTAACTTTGAGGACCCCTGCATTGGAAAGGGCGGCAATAAAAACCAGCCCTGCGATCGGCAAAAAACGCATCTTTGGTTTTGTGAATTTGCTCTACTGTCAAAAGGCACTGCGTGTACTTCTATTATATAAGGAGAGGCAGCAGCGCTGATTAGGAATATTGAAGTGAATGGACAAGATTGTATCACACATTTTCTTATCAAAAATTAATGTTATTGAGTGATTTTTTTTTGTTTATTCAAAAAATTATAATCTGACGCTGATCTGGAGTCTGAAGATCAATTAAAAGTACTTCAGCACCAGAACTGTACATGCAAATCAGCACAGCTTTATCAAAGTTTTGTGTATTTTGATGAAAATACCTGACGAAGTTTTGGACCCAAAGACTGAAGAATTATCAATAACAAGTATAAAGTTCAGTAAAAAAAAACAGCAGCAAAACAAGAAAGTTTAGCGAATTAAGGATTGAATTATTAATCAAGAAGTTAAATTTCTCTCTCTGTATTTTTTAAATCAAATTAAAATTTTGCTGCGCATGGTTAATGGCAACCTCAATTTTTTCATTAAACCAGAGGATTCGTCGGAAATTTTGGTTTATTTTAAAATTTGATGCAGCTCTTATGATCCGCGGTATGTTTTCCTCGTTGGTCATTGCTTGGCAAAGCAAACGAGCGCGTGGTCGTGAACATTTGCACACGTCATTTACGCTGCTAAACTTGGTCTCTTTGAAATGTGTTGAAGGCGAACTTCTGCACTTTTTTGCATATATTTGTTTATTAACCCAAAAATACATGCATTCGCTATAATTTTCTGTGGTTTTCCCCATAGATTTAAACATATTCTCATTGCATCCTAATCCTACTTGTTTTCTGTCTCAAATAATAAAGGTTCCACGAGTAATGTTTCATTTTTATAATTACGCTTGGAGACTAAATATAGAATTACATAAATCCTTTTCTAGGCGGGCAAAAATAGCTCAACAATGAGAAATATGAGCATTAAAAAAGAGCCAATTTTGGCAGAGTGATATGAGAAGAGTGTGTCATCTTTTGGCAACTTGAGGTGCCTGGTGACAGTGACTGTAATGGTCCGGGAAAAATTGAGCAAGAGGAAACTTGGAGGCATCATTATTTGGAAGATGTCGACAGATTTGAGCATGTAGAGTATGTAATATGCTCTCTCTAGCGGCGGCGGCGGCGGCGCGTTAGCCGCCGTTTTCTGGCCGCACGCTCCGGCGCCAGGCTCCTACACAGTTTTCCCGGGACGCTGAGAGGGTGCAGCTCACCCCTTTGTGTGCCGCTCTTTTTCGCTCTGTTCATCCTTCTTCATGGAGTGGTAAGGCTGCCTTTGTGATAAAATGAAATCGAAGGAAGAACCCACCGTCGCTGCCAGCATGGCCAAGGAACAAGAGGACGCTACGCAGGACAAAGTGCCACCACTTCGAGCAAAGCTGGGTAAGTTTGTAAAATAGAAATCAAAATCAATGACAGCTGACACAGAAAGACCCTGTGATCTTAAAATTTGAAGGTTGGCAAGATGCAACCTTTATTTTCATTCATGCATAATTTAATTACAGACTAATTTTATGTTGTGAAAAATGTGTTCGTTAAGTAATCTTTGGGGAAAATGGGTATCATTTTAAAAATTGCAATAACATCTCGCATTTAAAATGTAAACTTTCATATAACTTTTTTTTAAATTTTCACTAAAACTGATTGATTTTTTAGGTTTTTGATTATGTAATGTAACTAACATCATGTTGAAGAAATAGCTGGGGTTAATTAAAAAAAAGGGATTTTAAAAGCAGATTTCTATCGCTTGTATTTATTGCGCCTTTTATCTCGCTGAGACGACCACAGTCAATTAAATAAAAAGCGCCTGTGTTCTTTGAAAGCAACATTCAAACGGGTGATCTAAAGCCCGATTCTGCTGGACCCGTGATTGACTTCCAGCTTTGTTTATCAAAAGAATCATTTGAAAGGAGGTAAGAACACAAATATTTATAAATGCAAAGGATGATACGAGAGCAGAAAGAGAATCTCATTCGCTTTCCAAAGCCTATTTTTGTTTGGAGCCTCAGATGAGAAAACGCGCAACATATTGGAATATCTAAAGATGTGCGTGCCTGTATTCAAATCAACTCGGTGTGAAACACCGATGGAATAAATATTAGAAATTCTCGAACGAGCCGCCACGCAATCTTTCTTCGGCGGCAAGATAACTGCTGAAACAAAACCACACCACGCAGATCTTTTAAGAATCGGTCAAATAAGGCACATAATATATTCAAGACATAATGCTTCATTCCTTGCTTTTCTGATAAGTGACTGACATATAAAATGGAACCGTCACTTTTCCAAGCTTTTTATTTATTAAAATAATCAAAAGCAGATTTATATAATATGTTTGTACTGAATTAAATTCATATAATAATTGTTGGATTCAAAAATGGAACATGTAGCTGCAGATTGTTACTAACCATCTAAATAAAGAAAAGTAAAACTGGATTTTATTAATAACAGCATATTTGTTTTGTGATGACCAATGAAGTAAAGAGAGAAAAGCAACATTACTATCAGTATTATTAAAATAAATTTAAAAAAATAAAAAATTATTTACAAATTACAACCAAATTACATTATTAGTTAGTTTTAATATTAAAATAAAAACAAATAATAATTGGCTGTTTGTTTCCGTTAATAAAAAATAATATATTTTCCCAAAAAAAAGCCCAATTTTCTTCACTTCCATGATAGCCTCCTTGAGTGCCAATTTTTATTAAACTAATATATTATCTTAAGGCTTTGCTTTTTATTCATTTTGTATTGGAATAAAATTTTAACCCTTGCAGCCAAAAATTGGCATGGATTTATTTACATATTTAATATCCGTTTTATTTTTCAATCGTTTTCCAATAAGAACATGCATACGTATTATTAAAAGTTTGCCTTCAAAAATCAGATTAAATTAAACGATTTTTCAACGTAATTGATGGAGGTGGTTCATCGCAGTGTGAGAGATTTGGGCTTACTCGACGCTTTGGGAGTCCTCCAAAAAGCTTATGGGGAAGATTAGGCGTGTGTGCTACATACACAAAGAGAGGGTGAAAATCTTTGTCGCTGCGTCCACGTGTGTGCGTGCGCGCCGTAATGCAAATTATGTACGTACATAAGCATGTACGCGGGCGAGAACTAAGTGTTGGCAGCCAGCTGCACAATGCGTATCGATTTTCAATCTCGGCGCTCTGGAGGCTGCAAGCAGTGTAAAGTCAAGTTCTTAAGGGGCAGACGAGTGAGAACCACTTAATGCAGCGAAAAGCATGACGCGACCACTCGCACTCTTTCCACATTCTGCAATTGTTATCAACTTGACCTGCTTGCCCCGAAGATTTTTTTTAATCATTATATAATTTCGCATCTGGTTAACTTAAAATTTCTCATTATTTTCAGTTAAAATTCATTCACTCAACTGCACCAAATAATTGACATTTTTCTTGTACAAATTTCTCGCCCTCAATATTACATTAAAATTTTAGCAATTGATTGAAAACAGATTTTGTCTAAATAATTGCTTTTGCAAAACACACCTGGCTGTAGATGTACAGTTCAATAAAAGATACGCAAGATAACATATTCAAGAGCTCTTGAAATTCATAGTTTTTTTTCTGAATTTGTAGATTATAAAAAATAAGCTTGAGATGGGATGCTGCGGCAAAACGCGAGGCTATAAATTCTCATTCGCAAGTGCTGCAGGAAAAATCTGGCTGCAGAAGTGTGCCTGCTCTTGTATCCTCACTCTCCATGTATGTGGAGAGCAGAGCAGATTTCCATTGATACAGCGGCGAGGGGGCGTAAAGTGTGCAACCAGCAGCCGCAGCAGGCGAGAGTGCAAAGGCAGCTCCAGTGACCCACTTTGTCTTGATTTGGCCACCGTCCCGCATATGCATAATGTGGGGCACACCATTGTTATTGATGCATTCAACCCTTTATACTCTTCTCACACTCAGAGTATTTGAAAGGGCCCTCTAGAATCCTGTTTTCACTGAATCCATAGGTCACAATACTCACAATGCAACAAAACCAAAATTTTTAAATATAGCAAAGAAAAACATTTTCATATCTACAGAATTTATTTTTTAAATTTAATATTAGCGTATCTAATATAAAGTCTTTTGATTGAATAGTTTAGTTATATTTATTTAATAAACTTGGAATTCAGACGTTAGTGTTGGATCAATGAGGTTTTAAAATTTTTAATTTCATTTTTAGCTTTAAATGATCACTAAACAATTTAATCATTAATAATTAAAATTATTGTTTAAACGGACCTTTAATTTAACTTAAAAGAATATTAAAATCAAATTTTTGTACAAAAATATGTATATTCAAATTTGTATTGCTCCAGATTTATATTAGAAGTAAAAGTCTACGAATTTTTCTCCATACCTTTCAGCTGACGTGTAGCTGGTGGTGTGTTGCAAAAAGCGCACACTTATACATCCCGCATATTGATTTGCTATATTCATCCTATCCATCTCTTCTTTTTTTTGCGCACCAGATGTGCACAGCGGCTGTAGCTCTTTTTCGTTGCCCGAAAAAGTGCCGGCAGCGACTCGGCCTTTTAGCGCTCCTGAATCATGTGCACGTACACGCTTTGTATACCATTCATGTTTAGGTTTTTTGCAAAAGTCAGCATAAACAGAGCGGTTGCAATTTTTTAGCCTGGGGCTTTTGCTTTCGTGCGCAAAGTAAAGCAAACACTGCTGGCATTACATAAAGGCGCGCTTGTGATGAATTGAAATGAGAGGAGTCTGCCACTGAGGCTTAATTAAAACAATTGCAAGGTCCTTGACAAACGACACGCTGTGCGAGTTGAAGTGGCGAGCTATGCAACCTGCGCGACTCTTCCGCGTCACGGCACAGCATCGCAATATTCTACTCCCTCGCCGCGACAAGCGCGAAATAAATGGAATCGATTATATATTTCAATGGAATTTTATTATTGGAAGTCTGTAAACTGATATTGTGAAATGAAAATGTAAATGCGCAAACATTTTTCTCAAGCACAACTTGAGATCTGCTTTAAGCCTTGGCACAAAGCCAATATGGATCCGCTGGAATTCTCAGGCCATTTAACTCTAAGGAGATGAGATTCGCTGCATAACTTTGCTCGCATAACTTATGTCACGTTGAGCTTTTCAAAACTTATTGCATTTTTTTCATTAAAATCGTTCTAAATGCAAAGAATTCAAACTCTGGAACAAAAATTTTGATTAGAGAAATTTACGAAACAAATCATGTTTAAAGTAGTAAAAATAAGCAAATTTGGGTAAAATTTTGAAGGAAGTGTAATTGTAATTTCAACACAGCTAATCAGATTGATTTTATTTTGAATTTCAGGACGGAGCAACACGATGTCCCCACCCCCCACAACGTCCAACATCCCTCGGGTGCCCCGGGGAGGCTCTCTACGGGAACGACACCGGTCCATGGACAAAGACCATCCGGCCCATCACAACCGGCACCGTCGTTTTTCGGCCCACATTGTGGCGCGCCGCGAGTCCATGTTTGAACGCGGCGCCTCGCTGGATGCGTCAATACGGAGGCCCTCGTTGGCCTCAGTGGCCGAACGGGGCAACTGGGGCAACCGTTGGGAGTTCCTTCTGTCGTGCGTCGGCCTCTCCGTCGGCATCGGCAACGTGTGGCGCTTCCCATATTTAGCCTATCAGAATGGCGGTGGTGAGTAACTTTTTACCTTTTCCATGCCTCCATATGACCACAAGTATATTTGAAATTTCAATTATTTTGAAAGAATTGTTTGCCTCCTAGGCTCGGTTTAATTTTTAGAGGATTTTTTTAAGATGAGTCTTGAGTTTAATATTTTTTATGTTTATTAAATATTGAATATACATTCTTAAATAAAACCGATTTTGGACGATGATCAAATTGTTACATAATTAAATTTTAATATTCCCCTGACTTTTATGGATGAAAGAAAGATTAACCGCTTCAAAGGAACAGTATGACTTTTGTTTTTCCCCGAAGAAACTTTGCTTTTCCAAATGCCAATATTGGTTTGTCCTCGTCACCCATGATGGCACAAATAATTTATTTGTGTTCGGCAGTGGTGTGGGGATCATGAAGTATGAAAACGGTCAACCATCCCAAAAGGTCCCGTGGCCATTATTAATGATAAAGCATCCGATTTGAGAAACGCGTCTTAACTGCCTTGCTCAAAAAATTATAAGCTCGTCTGGCTGATTGATCTTTCTGCCAAGTCTACGCAAGCTCATTTATTTTTCGTCCCATCTCGTGTCAATACCCTGTCATATTAATGGCGATAATCAGACTTTATCCAGGCTAAAGACTCTTCCTCTTGAGCAGCTAATTGATTCACGCCTCCGGGCAGAGGGGTGAAAATCTCCCATTGTATCAAGAAGGAAAAAACTGAAAAAAAATCTTAATTACGTGATTTTTAAAAAAAAAAAAAAATCAACATTTTTTACCTGTTTTATATAAATTACTTATTCAATTCTTTATTAAGAATTAAAAAACTAAAATTATATTCCTGATTTTTATGTTTTTATTTCAAGAAAAAATATTATATAATCCAAATTACGTCTCGTTTTAAATGCCTTTCTACATTAACAATCAAAGTGCAAAAACCCCTAAATGTGGTTTGGCCGTTTATTTGTCTCGCCACATTCCTCACTCTCACGCACCCTCGTCCTTGGTAATGGGCAATTGATCGAAATCCGAACAGATTTTCGATCTGCAACGCACAACCCTGTTCATATTTTTAGCCCAGCAGCAGCGGCAAAAGCAAATTCAATTTGGTCGATTGACGGTGGCGATAGCGAGCATGTGAAATGATACAATGGTTGATGAATAATGATAGAAGCGTACTGTTGCCTTTAACCCCTAACGTGACTCTCAACTGCGCGGCTATGCTTCCCATTGCATGACTGATAATGGCAGAGAGGCGCAAACAATTTTGGGCATAACACGTGAAAAATTTATCTGTGAGCTAATTTTACAAAATATTTTCTTAGAAAAGCTCCTTTTCATATTTTTCATATTAATATGTCAATTTATACCTCACAAAAAACAAGCTTTTCGATTTCAGTGAATTTTATTTATATAAAAAAAAACGCAGAACCGGAATTGGCTTAAATTCCAGTGCGACCATGTGAAACTTTCTTTTGTAACAGAGATTATGCATAAAAAAATAATCAAAATGTAATAATCAAGTCAACAGTTTGAAAAAACATTTTAAATGGCTTTTAAATTATTCATTTATTATATAGTATAAAATTTAAGAAACAAATAAAAAATGGTGCAATTTTTAACTCTTATTTCACAAATAAAGTTTCTATGAAAATTCAAAGTGCAGCACAATAGAGACGAAGGCGGCGTTTGCGCCTCTCTCTCTCACTCTCTGGGCACCCTCCACCTCTAGATGATGATACACACGCATCCACCCCCGCATCCAATGGGGCCGCTGACGTAAGCAGCGGCAGCGTTAGCAGCAGGGAAAGAGAGGGAAAGAGCAGGGATCAATATTGAGGGAAGTGGAGGGCGACAAAGGGACCCCTAATGTGCTCTCAAGTGACGCAAGCGTCATAACTGGATTTTTATTTTGCTAAAATGCGCTAATGATCTCCTCTCTTTCTCTCTACGATGCGCACCCCAAAGAAGAGTCAAAGAGCCCATGTGAGGCAAAAAAAGCGGCTGAAGGCCAAATGGGCCACGCCGAGCGCCCCGACACAGAGAACGGAAAAAGCGCCGGCGCTTCGTCAATGGACCTCGGCCCTTTCGCCCGCCCGCGAGGCAAATGTGTTGCTGATGATAAGAAAGAAAGAAAGAAAGCGCCGGGTGTATTTCGGGACACCAAACGACAAAGCGCCCCGGCCTCTCTTGAACTATCAGATGGAAATAAAAATAGCCCTTGTTATAGAAGAAGCCATACAAGATAAAAATAAATTGCCTTTTTACTTTACTTTCCTTTTTAATTTTATTAAAGGAAAATTTCAAAGTATTTTCCATGTAACAACGAATGTTTAAATTTCGTTTTCTCTTTTAATCTTTTGTTTTAAATGAGTTAAAAGTTTAAATTCACGACAAGCTTATTTTTCATATCATTTCAATTTCCAGCTGATTTACTACTTTTAAATATTTATGCACGCGAAAAATGTTTGTTTCAGGTGCTTTCCTTATCCCGTATATTATAATGCTTGCCCTTGCCGGCAAACCCATGTACTTTCTCGAGCTGGCCATTGGACAGTTTGGAGGCGTCGGGCCCATCGCTCTTTGGAATTGCTGTCCAGTTATGAAAGGTAAATTGCAACTGTAAAAAAAATAAACATAAAAAACTTTAAATTAAAAATCTTTTTACGTGATTTTGCAGGTGTTGGCTGTGCAATGGTTACTGTGTCATTGGTTGTGTGCATCTACTACAACGTGATCATGTCCTACACCCTGCACTACATGGGTGCCTCCTTGGCCGCCGAGGTCCCTTGGGCCAAGTGTGACCCCGAGTGGGCCGACATGGAAACTTGCTACGTGCGGGGAGGCGCCACCAACACAAACCATTCCGACAATGACCCTTATCCCACTACCAAGCATAGAGAAACTGCCAGTTTGCAGTACTGGGAGTAAGTAATTTTTAATTTGAAATTTTATGATACAAAAAATTAAAAACCAGGTAAATCATGATATAATTTATAACTCAATATGTCAATTTTTTTCGTAATTTTTTAAAATCTTTTTTTCCCCAGACGAAAAGTGCTGGCCTTATCTAGCGGTATTGAAGATTTGGGCCCCATCAAATGGGACCTGGCGCTGTGCCTCTTCATCTCATGGTGCATCGTGGTGCTGTGTCTTGTGAAAGGCATCAAAACGTCCGGCAAGGCAAGTTTTGGCACGAGTCTCGGTCATTGTAAAAACACGGGCATTATTTTCCACGCAGGTCGTGTATTTCGCGGCGACTTTCCCATATGTCATCTTGTTGACGTTGCTGGTGACAGGTCTTCTGCAGCCCGGCGCCATTGATGGAGTGCTCTTCTTCATCCTGCCCACTTGGAGCAAACTCTTGGACATACAGGTGAGTGCCAATTATTTTCAACGCCGCTCATCACCTGTCTACTTATAATTGTGTCCCAAAAGGTCTGGCGGGCTGCGGCAGGACAAATGTTCTTCTCACTCAGCGTCTCTATGGGAGGCCTCATTATGTACAGCAGTTACAATGATTTCAGGAACAATGTGTACAGGTATGAGAATGAATTTTTCATTTTGCGTCTTAAAATGGCTTTTTGAAATATTTGATAACATCCAAAGCGATGTAAATTTTTATCCCCTGATTGTTTTGGAAAGAGTTTATTTAAGATCCCGTTATAAAAACTGAATTACAGAGAAAAAAATCATTTTAAAATTTTTTATATATTATTTTAATTAATAGTTGCAAATTGTGTTTATTGATATATCACAAATAATTAATATATTTAAATAAATGTTAAATTGAAACATTTCTTTCTTATTCGTTTCAGGGATGCGCTTGTTGTAAGTGTGCTGGACACCATAACGTCTATCATCTCAGGGATGGTCACTTTTTCTATCTTGGGTGCCATGGCAACCGATCTTGGCGTGCCGATCGATCAAGTTGTAAAGGAAGGTCCCGGCTTGGCGTTTGTTGCCTACCCTGAGGCGCTGCTCCGATTGCCGTGTCCCCAATTTTGGTCTGTTCTCTTTTTCTTGATGCTCTTTGTGCTGGGCTTGGATAGCGAGGTAAATAAATAATACTCATTCTCGCGCAGATATAAATATTTTAAAATAAACTTTCCATTACAGTTTGCCCTATTGGAAAATGTTCTCACAAGTATATCGGACGAGTTTACATGGCTGAGGAACCACAAACTCATCTTTTGCGTTGTCACGGCGTGTTTCTGCTATATTGTTGGATTACCCTGTGTCACACACGTGAGTCCGGATTAATTATAAAATCGGCAGATTAAAGGCCATATTTTAATTAAAAAAAATGTTATAAACAGTTTTATTTATTGTAGTCAATCTGCATCTACCATAAATTCCTTTATTATTGAATTAATTCAAAGTCCATTAAATAAATTTTACGTGAAGCGTTTTAACTTTTCTTTACAAATTTTTCCTTTCTTATTGTATCTTGTTGAATTTATCTCTTTCAAAATTAATTTTAAAATGTTTTTCTAGGGAGGCAACTATGTTCTTACTCTGATGGATGTGTACGGTGGCGGCGTTGGAGTGTTGTTTATCGCGATTGCAGAATGTATTGGCCTGCTTTGGATATACGGTCTAGGCAGAATTGCGTCTGATCTCGAGTTCATGCTTGGAAATAGACCCAACGCTTATTGGAGGATCACCTGGTCTTTCCTCGCGCCCGTCATACTCCTGGTAATTGCGATAATTTCATTTTGAACAAATATTTTAATAGAAAAAATCCCCTTAATGTTAATTCCCTATGCAATGTTTTATTTCAGCTGATTTTCCTGTATTCATTGGTATTCCACGTGCCCCTGCGCTATGAAGAATACTTATATCCTAGCTGGGCCAACATGATCGGCTGGGCCCTGGCCTGCGTTTCCATGCTGCAAATTCCTATTTGGGCCATTTACATGATTTGGAAACAGCCATCTGGCACGTTGTGGGAAAAGATGAAAATGTCCGCAAGATCGACCCCTGAATGGGGACCCTCGGACTCGACTCTACGGGCCGACTGGGTTGCATTTACCCAGCAAAATGTGCCAGGAACTTTGCTCACCGAACAACGGAAAGGTAAGCAATCAAAAACTTAATTGAAGCATCCAGTGGGAAAATAAAAAAAATTAAATGAGCATTCTCAATTATTTTTGCATGAAAGTGCAAACTCGTAGATACAAAAATTAATTTTACTTTTCAATATTTTTCATTTTAATGCAGACTGCAACTCCACGCCAATCAACATTGGTGACAAGATAGGAGAACCATTATGATGTCAGGAAAAGCCTAATGGGGTGACATCGGTTTGAAAGGTCAAGCTTAATGTGATCTGTCATTTCTGGCGGCAAATTATTCAGCAGAAGTGAGATGAAATTTTAACCTTGTTTATAAATATCGCTAGTCGAAAATGAAAGAAAACGATTTGACTAAATCTCAGAGAGTGCGCTGGTATGACAGAGTTATTGCTTTGGAATTAATTGCACTTGTGGACTGTATACATCTCTGGATTCGTGTCACTAACACAATAATTTAAATAATTGAATTAAGCGCCGCCGCATATTTTTGTAAATTTGACACCAGGCTATTATAATTGATGTTGAGTATGTTTTGAATTGAGCGCTGGGATCTTTTATCACAGCCAGTCTCCCGCTTGTGGGAGCTCAAAGCGCAAATGGAAACTCTAATCTGGATTCTTTTGTTGCTAAATTACAAATTGATTTGTGTTTGGGATTCTGATTTACTGACGAACTAGTCATTTGCCATCAATGAACCCAAAAGTAGACTTTGTGATCTCCGCGAAAACAGAATTAATTTTTGTTCCTTAATTTAATTGTCATATTTAATAATAAGACGTGGAAAATAACATTATGTTTGAAACCTTGAAATCAATCACACGACAAGTGAATTTTTTGGTTAATCATTAAGTTTTTCATGGACACTCAATTTTTCGTTGGAAAGCGCAGAGAAAACAAATAATCAACATTATATTGATGCTGAATTAATATGTGTCAAGACACGCTGCTTTGTAATATTTTAGGGAGCAATTACTCGAGAAATATCATATTAGAGTTTTGTTAAGATATTAATTTAAAGTTTTAAAAGCAATTTTTAAGGCTAAATAAATAATGCCCTCTGACTGCAATCCTGTAAAAAGGAAATCCTTTTCTTTAAGGTTTGATGCTCTAGGGCAGCTAGTAAATTAAAGAATTTTTTATAAAATTCTCAATTAAAGTCACAAAGCTGCAGCGCTCCACAGCTGAGAAATTTGAGCACTAGACGTGTACTGTTGTTGATTGCGTAATTATATTAATGTTGATAACGTACTACGATATTGCGACGCAATTATACATGTCTGGGAAAAATAGTAAAGTTATATATTGATGTTGAATGGTTAAAAAGTTGTAATAGACGATTGACACTAGACAAGGCAAGAGGTTTTAACCTACGTAATTGAGACTTAAACGGGAGGATAACAAATATTATAAAAAGCAGGGTTTTCAAACTTAGGAAGCGACGTAGATGTTGAATTATTGAAAGTCCCTAAAACGTTAAATTCACTGTTAATACAAGCAATAATAACCTAGAGTTGGTAAATATATATCGGTATATTTATACAAAAAACCAAGATGATATATTTATTATGCTGGTGCAAAACTTAATGATATACTGTATACATTATTAATGTTAAATGTTTGGCAAAGCAAGACGTGTCATGTGGAGTAGAAAAATCGTAACTGTGAAGAAATGGTCCACTTGGTATCCTGGCGTTGTACAGCCAACTATTGCGGGCCGTGTTCAGTCACACTTAAAAAAATGATATGTGGTTGATAATAAGTGTTCTTGATGTGTTCTCTGACGATCAATAATTTTCAGATATAGATAGAAGAGAGACGTTATTTATTTCCAGAGTTGAGGTCAAATTCAAATCTTTGCTGAATCATCACGTCCAATACCCAGGTCAAAAGTAACACAATAATTAAAACGAATTAGTATAAAAAAAATGTTTCTGAATATTTAAATTCATTCGTTCTCTAGAATTTTCTCAGATTGAATCAACTAATGGAAATTAGAAATTTAAATAAAGCGATAAAGTGCCTCAGTGCCTTTTTGCCATCACTGACTTGTCGCGTTAATGTTCCACTTTGACAGTCGATTGGGCCGAGATTTGATTTGACCTCGCCTGCAGTGCATTATTTTTAGCAGAGAGAGAGAGATGATGTATTTACAACACAATTAATATATATATAAATATATCAAGCCGTTGTCAGTGTTCATTGTAACTAACACAAAGTAAAACTCTCTATATCCTTTATACACCCCCATTCAATGGCCATGTTTAACAAGTTCAAAAATAATTTATAGTGACATATTTAGCAGAAAAATATCACAAAGTCCTGTAAGAAGTGAACAATGGGCCAGTAACTGTTGTTAACGTATGTCTTATCAGGCGTGGAGTTTCTCAGCATGGCGCGGAAAGGGAGAATTCGAAAGGCCGTCACTGATTTATGCGAATTATTTGCCCCAACAACAAAATAGTGATAAACGCTCAACATGTTCCAGAACAATAAAACTCTAGGTTGTAAGCACACTCACTGTACACGACGTATATCGAATTAGAGTAATTTTGAAAATTTTGAGAACAATGATAAACTAGCACAATAGAACGAGATATTCAAAAATTATTTTAAAATTTTGCCTGCTTTTCTCTAATTTAAATCCATTTAGTGCTGCAATAACTGAATATTTTGTTTGACTCCATAAATATTGAAAATGCGCCCAAAATACAAGTATAAAAATTGCTCATATAAAATTGGTGAACATAATGAAGTAAAATTATTTTTCATATGAGCATTTTATGTTATTGGGGGACCGAACATGCTCAAGGGAGCGGCGAGCAGAGAAGTTTCCCAGCACTGGGAAGTACAAATGAACGAAAAAGTTAAGCAAGCCCAATAAACGCTGTGGGTTCGCCGATTGTGTGTAAAATAATTATCTACTTCATATTCCCCTAAAGCGCATCAACACCAATAAACATGTTGAAATATAATTGTTGTTGCTCTTTGTTTTATGTGCTGATTGTAAAATGTAAAAAATCTGCAAAACCAATGCCATGTCATTTCAATTATTGTAAAAACAGATTAATGTAAAACAATTTTGAGGAAAATTAACGATTTCTTTACAAATGGCAATATGTATTTTACAGAGTGTGGAACCAAGAAAGTGTCAGTTTTAATTATATGATACAACTAAAGAATGTCCAATTAAAGCATGAGAACCCTTTTGTTATTATACTGTATGATATAGAGCGATTTGAAATTTAGGCCTTGTTATTTTTTATGTGATTCAGTGCAGGTTACCAACAACAGAATGTCACACATTTTGAAATTGAGAATAAAAAGAGAGTAATATTGAATTTTCTTTTAATTTATAAAAATAATACCCATTTAAATTTGAATTAAAAAACAATTCTAAAATAAGTGATCAATAATATGAATTTATTGTATTCTTACACAAAATATACGCTATTTACATTACAACTGACTCGGGCAATGGAAGTTAAATAAATTAAGCACAAAAATTATCTTATTGACTACTGTTAAAAGCATTCATCCTATTATCTCGTCACGGATCCTCAAAAGTCTTTTCAAACGCATTCTGAAACCTGATGTGGGAAATCACTGCCAGGACCACGACGCGATTTTCGGGTCTACACTTTTGCCAGCGGCGGCAGACGCAGCGACCTGAGGAAAACGAAACCCTGCCACATTCTGCTTGGCTGAAACTTCCCTCGTAGTTCGGTCCTCTGCGGCTGGCTGTTGACTCTCGCCAGCTCCAGCCTTTCGATCCCAAACCTCCTCGTGGTCTGGGAAAGGCACCCACTCGGAAATCCAAACGGGCGTCCAGATTTTCTTCCAGGCCGGAACTTTGACGGGTTTCCAACTAGCAACCCAGGTTTTGCGCCATGCCGGCTGCCAGATAAGTTTCTTTCCTAAAATTGTAAAAAAAAAAATTAAATTATTAAACATAAGGATTAAAACAAAAAAAAATCTGAAAATTTACCTTTAATCCAGATTTGTTTTTGACCTGGTTTCCAGTACTTTTTCCAATAGGGTTTCCAAATCAACTTTTTCCTCCACAGTCCGTGTGAGGTATATTCCCACCCTTCATAATCGGTGCCATGCGATTTATCACCCGGCACATATTGCTTTACCCACACTGGCTTGTAAATCTGACGATAAGTAAAAATAATAAATTAAACGATCAACTTTATATTCAACTTTAGATCGTACCTGTTTCCATGCAGGCAGCCAAATTTGCTTCCAGTCTGGTTTCCACGTCGTTTTCCAGATTGGTTTGTAGGTTTTTTTCCAGTGTGGATTCCAAATTTGCTTTTTTGCGTGTTTCCACACCTTTTTCCAACGTGGCTTCCAGATTAGTTTCTTCTTCCACGTGCCGTCGGATTTGTGATTGTGTGGCACTGGGCTGTGCTCCTCGTGATCGTATCCATGAGACACGTGACTGGCAGCTTCGTCTTCTCCAAAGCCACTGAAGAGCAAAACAATAATTTCAACAACGCTAAAAGTTTGTATGAAATTAAATTAAATTTATTAACAGAACCAAATATGGCATCAATATTGAAGCACTTTTAAACAACTTCTATTTAACAATACAAAATAGATAATAAGCTTTAATCAAAATAATAAGTGATGAAAAAATCTGATAAAAATTACTTAACTTGCTGTTAAATTCTAAAGAAAAATTGAACGTAAACAAATTTAAAATGAAAAAAAATTTACATCATCAATATATTTGAAATAAAAATCCACTTAAATGATAAATAAATTAAATACATCACATTTTTCCACCACATCACAACAACGCAAAATAAACTATTAAAAAAGTTTTAATTCAAATTAATATTAATTAATAATTTTGCTTCATTTTTTAATACAAAACCCAAATTATTAATTTTGAGACAAATAAATTTTAAATTCTGTCATACCCATCGTCATATCCTCCAGTACCTCCTTCATCCTCATATCCATAATCCGTTGAGCCACCTCCGTGTCCGTACTCCTCAGGCGCTGCTCCGCCTCCATAAACACCACCTCCAAATCCTCCTCCGTAACTGGCGCCCCCGTAACCGGCGCCTCCGTAACCGGCGCCCCCATAACCACCTCCGTTGTAACCGGCGCCTCCAGAGGAATGACCACTGTCCTCAAATCCTTGTCCGGTTCCGTAGCCACCCTCGTCATAGTCAAATCCGTAGTTGACGTGCCTCGTTTCTTTTTTATCGGATGCTGCCGAATCTCCGTCCTCGGCGTCTCTGCCAGGGAACTTGAGCCCTCGCTGCGCCCTGAAGGGTTGCGGGTCAGGTCGGGCAGACGGAGAAGTAGATTCTGAGGGGAATGCGAGTCTCTTGGACTGGCGCGGGCCGTCGTCGTTCTGCGAGGGAAAGGCGAATCCACTGGACGTTTGTCCTGGCAGAATCGACCTGGTCACCTTGACACCCTCGTCTTGCGAGTCTTTCGGGAAGGTGAGACTTGCACCAAGTCCTCGACTAGTTCTTGTAGACGAAACTGCGCCATCGTTTGGAAAAGAAACTGCCCCAGGGCTAAAATAAAAGAAAATAAAAAACGGTGGGCCACATAATTTAATTCAAATGAGAAAAAATCTTAAATATTTTGAAAGCGCTTTTAGGAGTGTCGGCATGCAAAGGAAACTCGTCCAATAATTAGACGAGAGACGATCTCTCAATAAATGCGAGACCAGGCCACTTTAAAAAATAGGTCTCCTAATAAAAATCTGGGCACCTGTCAGTGTTCTCTCTCCTTTTACTTATTCAAAGGCAATTACATTTCTGATGAATCTTGCCCCCGAGACGTTATATTTAGCGCGCAGAAAACGAAATTTCACTCGGCAGGTTTTCAAGAAGTTGCAAAGAAGGGAAAGCGCATAATTTTATTCGATGCAGCGATTTAAATAAAAAAAACGAAATTTTTGTTTATTTGTCGCAGAATGCCCTTGACCGTCCTTGAATTTGCAATTCTTAATTTTAAACAGAATCTTAGAAACTTCCGGAAACTTCTATGATCAGAATCATATTTCCTTTGGAGAGGTTAATCAAAATATTTTCACAGCTTGAATGTCGATCATGGTTATCATTCTTTAAAAATCAGGTCTCAAATTTTTAACTACGAATTAGTTTGTAAATAATAAACGATAAGTTATTAATTTAAAATAAGTGAAAATTTCTTAATTATGTACCAACCGAACCAAATATGACTAATTATTTATATCACGCTTGACGTTCCAAAGATAGGCACACAATTTTTAAATGACCAAGGCGAGAGGCCCCGTTAAAAATACAAGAGCATCTGCCAGATGTAAGAGCATCAGAAAGGAAAATGAACGTGAAATGCAGCATATTTTGAGAGAAATCGACTCTTCTCTTATTTTCACCCATCAATTAAAATGCGATCTCCTCCGATGAACATTTTCCATAGATACACACATGTGCTTAAGGTTAGCGAAATTTTGTTTTCGACAAAATATTAATTTGGGGCAAAAGATGCGGCTGAGAGAGAACGCAGGAGATGATCATTCTTCGATAAGGGTCAAGCGCAAGGTAAACAGTGAGCAGAACTATAAACTTCACTATGCGCTCTATTGCTTTTTATATACGTCTCTAATTTTCTTGGTTATTAAATAAACGGGCGAAAACAAAATTTTTTGTACAATAGATGAAAAATTATTTTAAAGATTTTAAATAAGAAATTCTGAAATTATGAAATATAGCAATTAAATAATTATATTTTGTAACTTTCGTAAACAGGAACTTCAGTGTTTGACAGAAAATTGTCACTCATCGTTTCAAACAAAAGGCGTTGCATAATAACGCTGCAGCATTATTAAAAGAGAGGAAAGATGTGACAAGATGCTCGTGCCAATTTCAGCAGACGCGACCAGGCGTCCGCTTTTACTTCCTAGCCGAGCAATAGGGTTTCCTCGAAAAGCGTGTGCGTGCTTACCTGGGATCGGCTGTCACAATCGCAGCAGACGAGAAAATCGCCAACGCCAGCAGAGCCTGTGGAAAATCCGAATGCCAAATTTAGCCATCGACGGCGAAAGTGAAATGAAATAACCGCACATTTACATATGAAAAAATTGCGTGGATGCAAAAACGAAAGTGACCTTTGACCAAATACGGAGAAATACGCATGAGCGCATTGGGCGCCCACGCCTATGACAGGAACTTTCTTCGGCGGGAAAGTCCCGCCGACGATTATTTAATCTTCCGGAGGTTGACCTGCGTCTCGAGAGCATCCCACATTAGTATGTCACTTTTGTTAGCACCCAAAGTGAAATGCAGCCCAATAAGCGTTAGTGAGGTGCGACTTGTTCAACACACTTTTCGATCGCATTTTGTTTGTTTGACCCACTGTACAGAGCTTAATAATTGTATGTGTGTGTTTTTCATATCCATATCCGCAAGAAACGCGTGCAAACATAAAAAAATTAGGCTCATCTTTCAAAGCAAACACGTGGGATATAATTATTTTGGTTGAGAGCAGAGAACCTGTTCCTCGCCCGCAATTACCAGCGATTGGGTGAAAAGGAGAATATATTTCAAAGAAGTTGGAGGAAATGGTGTCAAGAGAACGTGAATGCTGATAATTAATGAACGTTATAATTTAATAAGCAAGCGGAGTAAAGTTCTTATGTTGATTTATGGATGGTTGATTAGTGAAGAAAATTAGCAAAATTCAATTGAGCGGAACTAAATAAAACATATGAAATTAATTTGGCCAAATTCAGAAGTTCCGATTCAGAATCAAATATTCCAATAATTTTAATTGATTGTGTAGAATAATTTCATGATCGAAGGTTCATTTAAGGGGATTTAAATTTAATAAAGATACTAAAACAATAAACAACACAAAAAGTAGACTTTAAATTCAAGTCTCCTCTGATTGATTGATAAATTTTTTATGTTAACTTTGTGAGAGACGGATTATTTGTGTGACAGTTACTTCCTGTTGTAAATCATGTAATTATTCAACAAAATTATGCATCCGGAATAGAATGAAATAAGAAAAGAAGATCAAAATACGCACCGGTAAAAGTGGAGGGCGCTGAGGCCTCCTCTGCGCTCGCCGCATTATGCCGGAATGAGCACCGCGAGTGTGTTCCACTCTGTTATATAGATGCGCATCAGCTGACAAGACTTTCCCTAAGACAATACCAATTTACGTGGGGTGGGCACCGAGAAAATCCCAACCCTTTCCATTTTCTTCAACAAGCTGCTCCCTTTCTACATCCGGCTCCAAAAAGCATTTTGCATTTTTCCCCTTTCCCTTTCAAAATGCAATTAAAAATTAATTAATCATTTTGTATAAAGTCTGTTAATTATGCTTCATAATAATTGCAAAGAGCACTTGACAATAAAATCAGTCCAGTTTGAGTGCCAAGGTCCAGAAAGTGTGTAAACACACCGGTTGCAAGTTCAATGCCTTCGCTCCTGTCTCTCGCTGGAGGCCACCGCGTTTCAGTTTGTCTGATTTTATTTTTGCTCCTCACACGTGAGAAAATTATTATGTACAAATCAATATCTCAATAAGAATAGAGTTGATACAAATAATTCTAGTGGTTTCCTATAACTATATCATAATAGATCAGTTCGGCTTTTTGCCCGGACGAAAAGCCGACCGCGCGTGAATCGCCGCCGCGAGAGAAGTAGGTCCTGAAAGTTCCTACCGCAAGCGTGCTCGCAGCACAATCATACAAAATAATTGCCTTTGTTTGCGATGCAAATGTGTGCTGGATGAAAATTCTGTGTGATGGAAATGTTCGTTCCTCTCTCTCTCTTTCTACAATCCGCTTTTCTTTCTTACTTTGCAAAGCTCAAAACATTATTTTGCCTGCTGTGAAATCACCCGCGCGCTGACCTTTATTTATCACGGCAGTGAACTTGTGCATTATTCTGCCGGTCAGAGATCGTGTTTTCACTCTTCAATTACAAGGCCTGATTGGAATAAAATTACCCTCACGTTTCATTCTTCTCCAATTTTCCCGGAGTTTTTTTTCTTTGTGAGAATCTAAAGGTCATCTATACCAGAATTTCATTTTAATTTATTATTTTTGACAGATCTAATTTAATTTTGCTGTATTCAGCTAGTCATCAATTGAACAAGAATTTTTTAGGCCGACGGATGATAAATTTCCCTCTGCATTTATTAGAGCAAAATAAATTACTTAACGCATATTTGCTCCAAAATTTTTAGAAATTAGCTAACCAATCCAGATCAACCGTAAAAGAATAATAAAATTAAATGACTTTTAAAGAAAATAATTTATTGATTAAATTTAGTTTAAGGCCAAAAAATTTTATCACTTCAAGTCTGAGGCTTCTTTTTTTAATTTAAAAAAAAAAACATTTGCTTTCAAAAAGGAAAAATACAATTTTTTTTACTTCAATTCTATACATGGTGCAAAAATATGTAAACCTTTTAAGTTTAAATTGATAATCAATATTGAATAATAATAAGAAAGTCAACTAACGCTTTTGCTGCAGGTGAGATGTAAATACTTAAGTGGATAAATAGGATAATCAATTTGTTCAATCGCAAAAAAGTAGCGGCGTCATTTGCTCAATAGGCGAGAAAATTTCTCAATGTCGCCATCCATTCAGAAAACAGTCATTTTACAAAATTAAACGCAAACTTTCGATTCTCTCCTTTCTGACAGATTGTTGAGAGAAATTCAATTCAAAATATTAATTATTTCTGGATTTTATGTCTCAGCTGAGGAGAAATTGTTATATTTCTAACTGGAATTTCACACTAATGATTCCTTAATTATTTTTCATATTTTATATTTGAAGCAAAAAACTAATATTAGGTTCAAGTGGAGTGTAAAAATAAAATTAGGACGGTTAAAAACTATTTGAAAGCTAAAAGAGATCAGTCAGTTCATAACAATAGAGTGCTCGTCAGCCGACGTCTGTGTATATATTTATTTAAATTAGCGGAATGACTAGATTCTCGTCTATTATTATTCATTGTGCACGCTTTGAAGCATAATTCAGCTTGGATGACTGTTAGATTTGTAGAAAAGCGTATTTTCTTTTGCGTCTTGTTTGTTGTGGTCACGGATAATCGTGGCTTAAAATTTATATTATAATTTAATTTAATTATCTAAATTCAAATACGAATCATATTTTTACTTAAATACCACAATATTCACAATAACAACTACATTAAAAAATTCCAATTTTATTGATTGAGAGATTCTTATTAGGTGTTAAGTGCTTCAAGCAGATTTGTATTAAAATGCGCCACAGAGACGACTGACCGTGGGCATGCAGATACAGGAGAAAGTAAGTGATGCATAAATAAAAAATAAAAGCAGTGAAAGTCCAGGGGGCGACAAAGTCCGCATCTTGTGTGAGATCATGATTTCTGCTTGAACTTTTATTCTCCGATGCCCTTTAAAAGACGTGCACAATTTTATCGCAAATGCATCGATGAAAACGATTTTGCTCTCTGTAGTGTGACAGGAGAAATCCTTAAAACAAATATAATGCATTAATTTAAAAAACAATTATTGTTAATTTATTCCACGCTGTCTATTTAATTGCAGCAATATTCTTTTGAAGATGAAAGCTGTCAGCATATTTTTGGGCAACGGCCAAGGGGCCAATAAACTTGTTCGGTCACTGCGATCAGGTAGTAAGGTTTTTTCTCGAATTGGCCTAATTTTTATAAAATGATTGTGAGGAGCGCACATGTATGTGGCCGCCAGCCACTTTCTCCAAAGTGTGGTGCGTGTCGTCTTCACCAGGTGATGCGGAGTGCAAGGTTCGGAGAACGCACCAAAGGGAAAGTTTTAGGCCAGGGCGCCTCTTTTGACCAAGCACGAAACTTTTTATGATATGCTATTCAACTCGTAAGACATTTGCGGCGCCACAGATAATGAAATCTTATTTGAATATATTTTGAAAGCTGCAAGGTATGATGGGGGAATAGTTATTAAAACAAAGTATTTATAAAAAAGTGTTCGTTTTACTGTACAAAAAGTTAATCAGTACAACTTGAAATAAAAAAATATTTCGCAGAACATAAAAGTTGCATGCATGCGTGATTTTTATATGTAATTTTCTGTTTTACAAGTTGGTTCATTACAGGCAACAGGACCCTGAATACTGGATGCACTTCACTTCTCCATAAACACATAACTTTTGACTTGCTTCAAGCCATAATAGAAAATTCAAGAGTGCCCTGCGTTGTTGACAACAATGAAGCACGTTGAAGTGGATGGTAAGGAAGGGGGATATGTTTGTACTCGGAGAAGAAAGAGGAAAAATATCATTACTTTACTCGTCGTTGGGGACTGGAATTATTTACAAGGGGGTCAGTCAACTGGATTATTTAATTGATAACTAATTCAGCTGATTGGCTCACCACCAGCCGGATTTCACGGGCTCTGGGTGATGGTGGTGCTCGGGCTCAGGGTGGTGAATGGGGATCCAAACTTTCTCCCAAACTGGCTTTGAGACCTTCTTCCAGTCAGGAACCTGGATCTCCTTCCAGATGGGCACCCAGATCTGTTTCCAGTCATCCTTCCACTCGAGTTTCTTCTCCGTCTTCCACTCCTCCTTCTTCTCGGTCTTCCATTCCAATTTCTTCTCAGTCTTCCACTCCAGCTTCTTCTCTGGCTTCCATTCAAGCTTCTTGTCCTGCTTCCAGATGAGCTGCTTGTCGGTCTTCCATTCAAGTTTCTTCTCCTGCTTCCAGATGAGCTGCTTGTCGGTCTTCCACTCCTGTTTCTTCTCAATCTTCCAGATGAGTTCCTTGTCGGTCTTCCATTCCTGCTTTTTCTCGGTCTTCCACTCCAATTTCTTCTCAGTCCTCCAGACCAGTTTCTTGTCCACCTTCCAGATCAGCTCCTTGTCATGCTTGTACTCGAGTTTCTTCTCCGTCTTCCATTCCTGGACCTTGTCGACCTTCCAGATGAGCTGCTTGTCAACCTTCCATTCCAGCTTCTTCTCGGTCCTCCAGATTTTCTTCCAGACGGGCTTCCAGACCAACTTCTTCTTCCAAACTCCTTCAGGTTCGTGGTGGTCGTGGTGCTGCTCTTCCCAGCCATGTCCAGAGCGATCCCAGCCGTGTTCTTCGTGATGGACCTCGTGGTGCTTGGGCAGAGGAACCCAAACCTTCTGCCATTCGGGAACCCAGATCTTCTTCCAGTCTTCGACTTGCACCTCCTTCCAGACGGGCACCTTGATTTCCTTCCAGATGGGGGTCTTCACCTCCTTCCAGATGGGGACTTGAATTTCCTTCCAGACAGGTGTTTGAATTTCTTTCCAGACGGGGACCTTGATTTCCTTCCAATCAGGAACTTGGATTTCCTTCCAGACGGGAACCTGAATTTCTTTCCAAACGGGGACTTGAATTTCCTTCCAAACTGGCACCTTGATCTCCTTCCAAACTGGCACTTGAATTTCCTTCCAGACGGGAACCTTAAAAAAGAAGGATGAATTAGTTTAAATTAATTTCCTTTTTAAAAATAAAAATAAAATTAAAACAAAAAATTATAATAATTAAAAATATGCCATACCTTGATTTCCTTCCAGACGGGGATTTGAATTTCCTTCCAGACGGGAACCTTAAAAAAGAAAGGATAAATAAATTTAAATTAATATATTGAAATTAAATTAAAAAATATTAAAAATATACCATACCTTGATTTCCTTCCAGACGGGGACCTGGATCTCCTTCCAGATGGGGACCTGGACCTCCTTCCAGACTGGCACTTGAATTTCCTTCCAGACAGGGACCTGAATTTCCTTCCAGACGGGCTTCTGGACCTTCTTCCAGTCAGGCTTCCAGATGAGCTTCTTGTCCTTGCGCCAAATCTTCACCCACTCATCCTTCCAGACGAGTTTCTTCTTCCAGATGCCTTGGGGTTCTGGCTCGTGGTGATGATGTTCCTCGGGTTTCCAGCCATGAGACTCCTCAGGCTTCCACCCGCCAACATCACCGCCTCCATAGCCACCAACTGCACTGGCACCTGCATCAGCAGCACCACCTCCGTAGCCGCCACCTATATCAGCAGCACCACCTCCGTAGCCGCCACCTAGATCCGCAGCACCACCTCCATATCCGCCAAAGTCGAGCGAGGCGCTGAAAAAGTGCAGGAAATTAATTAAGATTTGACGTGTTTATTGTTTTCACCGTATTTATATAAAAAGGATGGGAACGTTAAGATGAGTGTTTGATTATCTTACAAACAACAATTAACAAAGACATATTAAGCTTGTGATGCATTTGCAGCAGAGAAAGTTGCACTCGCTCAGTAAATACAAAAGAATGCATGAAATGTGTAGCTTATCACCTTTTTCTTATTAAAACCAAGCTGCCGTGTCGGCAGAGTGTGTACGAATCGAGTGAGTTTGTGCGCAGTGAAATGTAAATACGCAAGCAAGCAATAATTGCTCATTAATCTATCTTGCATGGGCTGCAGCGAGTGAAAGAAGAAGGATGTGTGCGCGTTCCACTTTTAAACGAAGAGGAAAAAATCGCGAACGCAATTATAATCAACGAGTCCCACCGAAATTTAATAAAAAAAGAGTCGGTCAAATTAATTTGAATGAATGGAGAGTTTAGTCCGACGCGAAGATTGAAAAACGCACCGAAGCGAAACGAAAGAAAAACAAAGGAGATAATGAACTTGATGGTGCGTGCGTGAGTTAATAAATAAATTGCAGGCGAAAACGCGGTCTAACTCGTGAAAAACGCAGCGTTTGAATTCGCCAACCTTTGACACGTCGAGACGAGTCACGACGTGAAGTCCCGCAGTGCTGAGAACTAGATTTTGTCAGTGCTTAATGATGCTTTGTTTGCGACGCTGACAAGACAGAAAGTAAAAGGAGCACTTTTTGAGAAAAATTTTCCGTTATTTAATAGAGTCATTATGGCAAAGAAATTTTCAAATTCACATGCAGTAATAATTACGTACAAGAAAACCGCAAGAAGCATAATTTCAGTTTTGACAACTTTCGCCGCGCCTAATGTGAGAAAAATTTAAAAGTGCCACATTTTAATAATTTTTTTCGCTGCAAACAGAAATAAGCTATTTTTTCACAAGGGAAAGGGTTACTTTTTTAGAAGTGCAAAATAAGAAATGAACTCAAGAGGATCTCATGATTATGCTAATTTGGAAATTGGAATTTTCATGCGCGAGGGAGATGAAGTGATTGTATTGAAGAGAGTTAAAAGGAGAGAGAGTGAAAGAGCTCGCGTTTCAATAAATTGCACCAGATAATAGATCACCCAGCATCAGTGAGTGCATGCGATGCTGCTCAATTCGCGAAAACGGGTTGAATGCGTGGAAAAAGTTTTCTAGAGCACGTTAATGACCTTCAAATCATATCACGCTTTTTAGGCACGCGCCGCCGGCGATTCCATATTAGCCGGAGAGAAAAACGCCGGATCCTCTCTGCGGCCTACGAAGAATGCGTGCGCGCGTTCGAAATCGCCGGCTGCAGCCTAAATTGTAGGGCAGCCCGTCAGACCGGCCACTGCCTTAATTAACACACTTACTTCCTTCCGATGTCAGATTAGGGAGAGAGAGAAGCAAGAGGTCTTCTCTCTTTTAATTGCGTGCGGCAGGTGTAGCCGCATCGCTAGGTATTTAGTGAATGCGTGTTCGCCAAGTTTAATTGCAGAAAAATTGCGTGCCTGACGATTTTTTTATTTTTATTATTGCTTTTGTCGTGATGCGTGTTTGTGAGAGAGACGCGTTCGAATGAGATGCTACCGTCGTCGAAAGTTGTTTACTTTTTATGACAAGTCAAAGAGCACCGTGATCTGTTTGCGACGCGTTCCCACTGTTTATCTTTTTCCGTGTCGCCTTGCAGAGAAAAGTAAATATTGGCTTCGAAGGATATTAAAATGAAAGCTATTAACACACGTGAAAACCTACACCGTTTGTTGTCAAACAAAAAAGTTATTGCGTTTATATATATTCCCACGAAGACTACCGCACTTAACTAGATGGTTAGGATCAAATACAAACGAGCTTAATCGGATTTGGAGTGTGAAATTATTTTATCAAAACAATAGCGCCGAGTAAAAACAATACAAGTAACTGTATTTTATTATTTTCACGTTTTAAATGATATTATTCTATTGCAAATGCAACACATTTTATATATTTTTTTGAAAATTTTATTTTACACACTGAAATTTGGGCACAATTTCTCTGCACTTCTCTTGATTAGAGAAATTACGATAGGAGAAATCGCAGAATTAAGCAGTGCGGGCAATTAAAACCTGAACAAACCGAGGTCTCTTCAGGTCAATGTAATTACGCAGATACTTACTCTCGCTTAACTGGTGGAATAGGGTCTGCTGTGGCGAGGTTTGCCCAAAGCAATAAGGCACCTAAAGGCACCTGCAAAAGAAAGATAATTAAAATTTGTTGGTCATTCAACGGAGCGATGATCATTATTCACATTGTTAGCTTTCTTTATCAAATCTCAGCAAAACATTGAATAAAAACTTTTACGTAATATTTTCACACTTATTGCTAGATTGAAAATTAATCTTCTGAAATATTGATTTTCCAAAACAATGACTTGTGTTTACAAACAATTTTGTACACAGTAACGTTCTCTCGATTTGCGCGTATTTAAGGAAGTAAAATCGGTGTGTTTTGATGAAATCGCGGAATTTACACGAAGCAAATAAACTGTCAAGTCATGAAAGAAAGTTTTAAAATGCAAATTATTTAGCAGGAAATTATCTTGAAGGCGCAAAAGTTGCGTGCCAGTGAGCAATAAAAGCTGAGAAGAGAGAAAAAAAAGTGTGTTCGCAATGCGAATACTCATCGTGCGTTGAAATCTCCGCCGGTAGTGAGTTGTGAGACTGAGCTTGGCGTACACTTAAACGGTTCTCCATCACATGTTCTGCCGATCTTTCGTAAGAGAGCCAGTGGCAATAATTTTACTAAAGCGTCACTCATGAGAAGAAAAAAATGTGATCAAATATCACAAATTAAAAGAAAAAGTTATTCCGAATTTGAGCCGCTTTTTGTAAGAAAACAAAAGAACACCACTTTTTATGTCACTAGCTCTTTGCGAATTCACGGAAAGTCCAAGTGTTGATAGTCGATGCGATGGAGAACGCGATCTCGGTACACACCAAATTCACTGCACACAATTCACTGCCTGGTTCGAATTAATCCAAAGGGCTAACCAGGATCAGGGTCTTCATGTTGGTGCGGCGACTACCCTCTGTTCGCCACAGCTGAGATGGTTGCTGTTGGGGTGGAAACTCTGTTGGTCGGTTGGCTCTTCCCTTGGTGTAGGCTGCAGGCTCTGTGGACCTACACCTACTTTTCTTGACAGACTGATATCAAAACGCGGTATCCTGAGTGCTTTATATACCACGGGTATATCTTCAATGCGTATCCCCCCTTTGCAGGCTGATACTCTCTAATATTTTAGAGAGAGAAAGAATAAAGAAATGATCCCCGCCACACGCTCGTTTTTTTTTCACCGCTGCCGCCGCGAGTCCATCACCACTGCTCTTATGTGTTTCAAATATAAAATCGTCCCCCCTGTGTGTGTGTTAATGTATAGCAGCGTGTGTGTTTTAGTCGCACAAAAGGCGGCAGCGCGCCAGTGCTTCACTTTCTCCATGCTCGGATCCTTGGCGGCGGCTCTCATTGTAAAGGGTGGGATCTCTTTCTCTCTCCTCCTCTTTCTCGGTGCTCGATTTTTGAACCCATCATTTCACTTGTCCTCCACACCAACACATAATGCACACACGTAATTTCTTCTTTTTCTGCTCACCATTACAGATACAATGGTTTAATTTTTCGTTTCAATTATTTCAAGAGAATTAACAAAATTTTTCAATAGATTTTACGCAAAAATGTAGCAAGCGATAAAAATAATAAATACACAATAAATTTTAAACCAGGAGTCATGTGATATTATGCGCGAAAACTTTACTTCTTAATAACTTAAAATAAAACAAAGCAATAAGGGTTTACTGAATTATACCAGTATTTAATAATTATGCCTTATGACTCTATTTAGAAGTTCATTCATTATTTACCACAAAAGATAATGGAAGCATTTTAATTTCATTGATATAAGGGTTCATTTTCAACGTGTAAAAATTTATTTCAGTTTTAACGAGCTAACTGTCTACAGCGTGATCCACTTGCATATTTGATAGTTTCCTCATTTTCTTTATTGTTCGGCAGCAAACATTCATCATCATGGAGGTGGGCGAGTGGACCATAAAAACACACGCCGATTCCTGCTGCGCCTGACGCGTTGCATAACCCAAGAACAAATGCGTGCGGAATATGTTAGCGAAAAAATCACGACGCGCCGCCAATAAATCGCTCACCGCCAAAAATGAAATTTTACGACCGCCGCGTGCAAAAATGTACTCGCTCTATGGTTTAATTTGCTGATGGTGGATTCACACAGCCCTGGCACGTAGGTGGTCATGAAGTGAAATTTCCGAAATTAAACAAATTCATCGCGGTACCTACGTGCAAACACACAATTAGTCGAGCAATTAGAGAACGTGCAAATTCAACTTGTAATTACTTCTGAAAAAATTAGAGAAGTTTATAAATATGTTACGAATTGATGCTGCAAATTTTCCGTTTATAAATTTTGGCTCTTGTTCTTAAAAAGGTGAACTTTCACGGGGAAACCAGAAGTGAGATTAACATAAAAAGAGGAAACATCGCATGTGTATATGCGCGCCCAAAAGTTGATGAGCGTTACACAAACACACATTCCGGTGTCACGAGTTGGCCCCTGGACAGCGACGGGCAATTGGCACGCTATGCATAAGCGCGAAAAGTGCCTCTAGCGCCGAAAAATTCGTAATCCAGGCAGACTACAATTTAGCACAAAAAACCTCTTAATGTAACACCCCTTTCGCAACACTGCACTCTTTCGAGTCGTTCAGGTGAAATTTAATTTCTTGCAGAGGCAAAAAAAATCCATCTGTGTTGAGCAAAGAAATGTTTTTAATTTATTTTAATGACGAGCAGACTGATTTATATTTATGTATTTTTCGCATGACCGCTCGCGCAGCTTCTTTCCTTTTTTGCTCGACACACACCTCGAGCAGCGTCATTATATGTATACGAATTGAAATTAGCAACGCGAAAATCGATCAAATTTCTTTTTGATCCCACAGCATTTTTTGATTCATGGGCAATTATTGCATTTCACTGCGAAGAATTAAAATTAAAAATGTCCTCATTACCGCTAATGATGTTCTATCTGCCGTTTGGATAGAAAGTGAATATGCTTGCATATCTGCACAGTCATAAGCTGCGTCAATGACGAGACGCGCGCAAAACTGTTACGCGCTCTGCAAATGCATAACGTGTTATTTCTTTTCCATTCGGCGCGCCTGCAGAATGAAATGCGAAAATGCTCGATCTTTTTTTTTTTTGTGCCTGCCAGAGTTCGACGGATGACGAGACCTTTGTCTGCTTGGTTTCAATCGCTTGAGGAAGTGCGAAATGATGAGCCGAGTGCTGATGAAACGGCCGCCGCGAGCAGAACAAAAACATTGAAAATTTGAGAGTTCATTTGATTCTTCCAGCACGTTCTCCTTTGAGAACATGAAGTAAGATAAGCAGTGAAAAAAGAAAATTACTTTTTTGTAATCCGACATACAGCATCACTGAGAAGAAACCCCAATATTTGCGCAACTTCGTGCAGTGTTTTAACAATTTTTAAATTTAAAGATTCTATCCCATTTTAAACTGTAGCAGAAAAATGTTTTATGAGCACATAAGAAGAAATATGCACCGATGTTCTATTTAATAGAAATTTATTTTTATAATTTATAAATGTTTAAAATTCAGTTCTATCATTCCCTGTGATGATGATGATAATTCAATAAAATAAAATTATTTGAGAATAAAACAAATTTAATAAATTATTTATATTCTGCACTTAAAACGTCATCAGATTTTCAGCTCTTAATTTAAAATTAATTCTCTTCAAGATATACTTAAATAGAATACCGATTTTTTTTTTAAATGCAAATTATTTGTATATTAATTTATAAATTATAGATGCGTTACTCTTGTTGAATAGCTAAGTTTGCGAGAGGAAGGGGAGAAAAAATTGCCCAGCCTCCACTCAAAGTCAGTGTTAAATTTCCAATAAAATGCAAGTGAAGTCAGATTTCATTAGAGAGCTGATATTTCCAGATCGTGCGCACCTGATGCGCTGCTCCGCGCTAGCTACTCCTTTGAGATTTGCAGATGCTGCACAATGGACTCCATAGTCGAAGGGAATGTGAAAATGTATGAAATGTTTTCTCTACTCTGCACGCCGGATACAAGATTTGCACCGGCAATTTCTCTAGTGCAGATGTGCACAAACAAACAGATGTCTGCGCACTCTGCACTCACTGGTGCGAAAATGCCATTGAAAGATTTTTTTTAGACCAATTTCAAGAAGTTTTAATTTTCAAGACAATCACTTTTTACTCATACTTGGTGGAGAGAAACTTGCTTAAATCAATTTATATTCTTTGATTCTGTTGACGTGAGTAATATTAAAAAGATATATAATTATAAAATAATTTATAATAAATAATAGGCTTTGGCAAGCGCAAACAAGAGATCATTTAAGCAAACGATTGCCGTTTTTATTTTCCTCTCATTTATCAAACTACTGCTGTGAGTTGAGATAATGCAAGGATTTACAGTCGACTAGCGAGAAAAGATGACCCAAGCTTTGCGTAACGGCACAAGAAAACCTGCTCAGCAATTATGAATAGATTTAGGATTTGGGACTCCCTAACCTCTAGGAGAGATGGTCAGTTATGTGAAATTATTGCAAAATAATCCCAGTGACCTTGGATACTTCCAGCAAAATTTGCTTTCTTTGTGGTGACAAAATTTTATCAGGCTTGTTTTTATTTGTACCGTTTGTGGGTCAAAAGTCAAAAACCTCTTTCATATTTTGGCACAAATATAATTTGCTTTCAAACAGTATGCTTTCAATGAGAAGCATTTAATGCTCTTTTTGCCATCAAAATTTTTATATTTTGCTTCCGTACTATGGTCGCAGAGTAATTGAATTTAACAGCTTCGTATTGTTACGCACGGCATGAAGAACTCAACTGGGCACTTGTTGCATACCAAGTGAAAGTTCTCTATAAGAGCTGCATGCGTCCACTCATCTTGCATTCCGATTCTGTGGACGGAATTGATGGCGCACACATGAGAACGCACTCACGGCACTCGACAAAAAAGGGTCGAGAAATGGCCAATAGAATCTTGGTTTTCCTGCTCACAATGCACCCACCGTATATTACTTTCGATTTTGTGCGGCGACAATAACAACATAATTTTTAATAGCCAATCTCGAGACCAAAAGTTTGTGTAACATCAGGATCAAAAACTTTTGATTGTGTGCATAATATAATATTCAAAAGGGAAATTTCCAATTCGGGTTTTTTGGGCTTCGCAATTGCGGTTGCACCTTGCAGCTTTCATTTTCTAACCGGTCGTTTATTCCTGTTTGATTTTAAATTAGAAAATGTATCAATAACATTGAGGAATACAGAGAGAGATTGCATCTTGTTGGAATTCTGCTCAGCTTCAGAAATTCCAGCTGCAGTTGAGAAGAGATAGCTATAGGTGCAATTAAAAAATGATAATTGATAGTACCATAAATTCCACACGCTCATTACCCGTATGCCGACACTGCGATGCACCGGCCGGCTTAAATTTTTTTGCAATTTAAACTGCCGCATTAGCACTTTCGTTGTGTTAAAAACGACCAGCAATTAAAACCCCGTTCTTGATTTCGGCTCGTAAAAGTGAATTGCGCATTGCGCGCAATTAATCTTCGCGCAGCTAATGCGATGCTCATCGCCAGATAAAAATTTCTAAGGTGCAAATTGCAGAAGACAATCTTCTCTTTTACAATTTGGCGGTTGGTATCTCTCCTCTGCTCTTTCTCCGAACGATTTTATCGACTGCCAAAGCCGAAAGGATGTGCTGCGCCAGTGTTTTTGCTCCACATTTCTCCAAAACGCTTTTCGCATTATCCGCACCAGGTTTATTACGCTCTCAACTTTCAATTTCAACATTTCACTGGGCCGCTCCGACAGGATGGCAATAAATAAACCGGGTCCAATATGGTAAGATGCTAGGAATTAAAACGTCCACGGCACGGTTGCGCCTTTTATTTATTCCTCACCCAAATATAAATGTGAGAGGTTATTGTTGTTGTGAAAATGCCAGCCTTATTTTATAAAAGCGAGGTTGCTTCGCTGAGGAAAAAATCTGCATCTTCAGTTGACGCTATTATATTTAAATAAAAAACTGCAGACGGTCCATTGGGGTCAAGCCTTTTA